ACTAGATAAGAAGATGTTGGCCATTATTCAAGCATTTGTTTATTAGCAGCAGTACTTAGAAGAAATAAAGTACTCTGTAGAGATTATTATAAATTATGCAAATCTTTATTCATTTATGAAGTTCACAAACAAGATAGCACAATAATAATATATAAGATGGATAGAGATTCTTGAGATATATAACTTTGAGATTCTCTATCATTCTGAAAAGTATAATCCAGCTGACATATTATCACAAAGACCAGATTATATCAAACTAGAAGAAGACATTAATCTGCTAATGTATACACTTAAATAATATTACACAGATGATGTTCCAGAATGAGATCTATTTAAAGAAACTTTCTTTGATAAAAAAGGTATTCAAGTATATACTGCTCACACTGTTCAAAGTAGTGGGGTAGAGATGGCACAGAGAAGATCTGGTAGTATCAAGATAATTGAGTCAGTTCAGAGAGCATCAGTCAAAGATGCTAAGAAGGCTCAATAAAGAAATTACAAGAGATTCTGAATTCCCTATATACACACAAATACAGTGATGAAAGATAAAAAGATCTATAATAAATCAACTATAAGTATGTTGGACCTGCTGCTAAAAGTACAGAAAAATAATCTCTCTGTATAAATAAGATTTGCCAAGACAGAATCTCAGCAGTCAGAGTGGAAAATAGATAAAGAAGATTTTTTGATAAAGAGTGGCAGAATCTACATCTCTAATAATCCAGCTCTAAGATAGAAACTACTATAAGTTCACCATAATAATTTATTCACAGGTTACTTTGATATGATAAAGATATTTGTCTTGCTTCAGCAAAAATACAATTGACAATTAATAAGATAAGATGTTCAGACATACATATATAAATGCTAAACCTGCTAATAAGAAAAGACTTCAAAACACAAACTATATAGATTACTCACATTATTGCTGACACTCAGTAATTTCTGGCATTCAATATTTATAAACTTTATAACAGATCTCTCTTCAAGTAAAGAGAAGAAGAATTCATACAATATAGTTCTAGTTATTGTGAATCAATTTACAAAACTTGCACATTTTCTTGCATGTAAAAAGAAGATTAACATATTAGAGATGGCAAATCTTCTGTTCAGAAGAGTATTTAAAGACTTCAGATTTCCAAATAATATTATTTCAGATCAGGGATCTGTTTTTACAAGTGAATACTGATTAGAGCTATGTTTTCACATGAAAGTTAGACAAAAACTTAGTACAGCATTTCATTCACAAACAGACAGCCAAATAGAGATACTGAACAAGATTTTGAAGAAATATCTTCATATTTATTGTAGCTATAGACAAGACAATTAGAAGAAGTGGCTTGTGTATACAGAATTTACATACAACAGATCAGAACACTCAGCAATACACATGTCTTTATTCAAAGTAATATACAGCTTTAAATCTAGAAAACCACACAAGATTTAGAAGTCAGTTAATAACAATAATAACACACAGGTAATATTCAACAGAAGACTGAGAATAATCTCTATATTAAGAGATAGTCTGGTAGAACATTTGACAAAAGCAAAAAAGAACCAAGCACAGTTCTATAATTAAAAATATCAAGATAAAGTGTATACATCTGGTAATAAAGTAATATTGTTATCAAGAAATCTACAAATAATATATTCTTGCAAGAAGTTAGACAACAAGTACTACAGATCTTTCTTAGTAATAGAAGTTATAAAAAATAATATATATTAACTGAAGCTTTCTTCAAGCTATCAGATCTATAATATTTTTTATATCTTATTGCTGAAACCATACTGCACAAGAATAAGTAAGACACCAACACATTCTCTCACAATACTAGTAAATGACCATCATGAGTGGGAAGTAGATGAAATCTTGGACAATAAAGTGCACTATCATAAGAAATATTATCTAGTGAAATGGAAGAGATTCTCTATTAAGAAATTGACATGGAAATCTGAGGAAAATCTTGAAAACACACAAGAAGTTCTTAAGAATTATCTATAAAAGAAGCAAAATCACTCTAAGATAAATAAATCTATATACAAAAAGAAGACTAGACATGCTAAAGATTATTATATATAATAAAATCATACAACTAGTAATAAGAAGAGGTATCATGAGAGCATTCAAAACACAGCTATAACAGAGGCAAATCAGCCAAAGACAGACATGATTCTGAAGTTACTGAAACCAGTAATATAATAATAAATGATATTGCAACAGAAGTAGACTTAACAGACAAAGAATCATAAGAAGAATAAATTATATCTACAACACTCTAGAAATCAGAGAAAATAACATCAGTCAGATAGTTAATGAAAGATATAAGATTAATCTAGACAGAAATTAGTCTGACAATAAGAGAAAATAATAAAGAAAATCTATAAGACTGCTTTTTATAATATCTTAAAAAACTTCAACTTTATCTGTTAAATAAGTGATGAAATAATCAAGTAAAACTTGAACATTTTTAATTTTATTTTCTATCTGAGACAAGACAGTACAAACTGAGATTGTTAAATAAAGAAGTTCAGACAGATTATTTTTAGTAAATTCTGTTTTGAACATAAGGTTCACAGTTTTGATCTTACAATATAATGCAGAATGATAATATTTTGTAGAAGATTCTTCAAGATAAGAAATAGTCTAGCAGCAACAGTATTTGGCAGCTTTAGAGTTAAGCTTATGAAACTCTCATACAAGTACACTCATGCACTTTATATTGTACAGGCAACATAAATCAGCTATATTAAAACTATAGTATTCTTTTTAAAGTTACAAGAGCTGATGAACTAGTTCAACAGCAGATTCTGGAATCTACAACTATATCAGAATAACAAGAAGAACAAATAAAAACATACTTATATTATAACAGATACAGATTTAATATTCTAAATAATAAGAATAAGATTTCTTCTCAGCATTCTATAGACAAGGCTTACTTTTATTCAGACAGTCTGTAAATATTAAGTAAATACAGACAGAGTACAGAAAAGTGTCTTCTTTATTATATATAATAGAGTCTTTTGACAATAATATTATGATAAGTTACAAGATAAATAAGAAACAATGTCTGAGTCCAAACAAAGCAGAAGAAAAAGAAGAAAGAAAAAAGCTAGAAACTCTCTATTTATATTTACATCACAATATACTAAAGTTGGTAGTTTCATAACTTGTTAATAGATAACATAACAACAAACAACAGATAATATAGTAATTAAACAAGCAAATAAACAAAGAAATAAGTATATAACAAAATACTGAACATTTATAATAAAATAATTACCATTTTATAACAAAGAATATCTACTGCAACCAGCAGCAATACACATACAGAATGTTTATATAGACAAGCAGTAGTAATGCAGAAGCTTGTATATTCAAGAATCTACAATGCCTCATTAATAATAGAGAAGCTACAATAATATACAAAAAACCACTTCAGTAGTTCTATATCTCAGAGTCTGAGATTTCTAGAAAGAGAGATAGTGTTACAAACATAGATCTAGATTAATCAAGCATCAGACAACATCAGATATTCAGGAGTATTCACATGATCTCAACTCTGAACATATAAGAATCACATAATTCACATAAATTATGGAAATCTCAGTGTTCAGTCTCCAAGTGAGAGAACCTCTATATTCTACACACAACTCCCTCCTATTAGTTGTGGAAATCATATCTACTTAGCTCTTTTATATCCCTAATTCTGGGAAAGCCTATGTAATCTATGACCAGTTCCTCTAACAGACTGCCTCTGAGCCTACTCAACTATTTAAGCTCAGTTTGGGGTGTAGAAAGATTTGTTGGAGTCTTCCAGTCAGAAGTTCAGTGCTCCAGTTTATTCATACAGTTCACTATAGCTTTAGCATTGCCAGGTGCTCAATTTGCTTGCTAGATGTGTTTAGCAGGTGTTTTACTCACTTTCTGGTCACATGCTAGAAAGCTACAGAGTTCAACTTACTCTCCAGCTCAGTACTAGAAAGCTACAGAGATTGCATGTATAGAAGGTGTCTATCTCAACATACACTTTCTCTTGTGCTTGTAAAATCTCATTATCTACAAGAATAATTATTCAGAATGTTGATTATAAGCTTCAATATCTAATTAAGCTGTAAATCAATCTTATATGCTTGCTCTTCAGCACAAAGAGCTATAACCTGATGGAGGACTTGTATGCTTGTCATTCACTAAGCTACCTAAAGGGGAATCTCGGCTAATCTATGTGGGTCACGTGAGCGAGGTGCTGGTTGGATTACCTAACAGAAATCTCATTTTTCCAGTATGGATGCGCCGGGATATCATGTGCTGGGACCTCTGTCAACTCTCCGCGATAGAGATATGGTTGATACATGTAGATGCAGCTGCAACCTATCACTTACTTATTGGGTCTTAGAAACTGACATCATCTTCCATCTTGAAATCAAGAAGGAATCTCTTTGATGTCAAAAGTTCATTTTTTTATGAATGACTGATGCAGAAATACCAGAAGTCCACTGTACATACCAAATGCTTATTACAGTAGCTTTTTGGCAAACAATGCCTAATGAGTGTGACAATCGATACTAGGAACCTAAACAGACAAAGATGCAGAAGAGAGGCTTTTGTTCCCTGCCGCCAGACTGCATACCATGGATTCCATTTCATGTCAAGCACCAGTGCAATACAAGTTTTAGAAGATTTTGCATGTGTGCATGTGCAGTTTGGAAGCCAGAACATGAAGAATTCAATCATCACCTTTTATGGTTGAAAAAACCAAACACAATTTCTGTCTTTTTTCAACAGCTGGAGGCAAGCAATGTAATGGCAAGAACACCTAGAACTTAGAAGAGGCAGATGTTGTGGTGATTGCTAGAAGGTTATAAGATATTAATTGTTATATATTTCTTTCTATATACAATTTTTACTGGAGATTCATTGTCATGCTGATCTGTAAAGTATGATCTTCACAAATGCTTTCTTTTCTTCTTGAACCACTAGACCGCACTAAATATTAAGATACTGCTGTGAACTTTAGTGTCAACATTATCAAATATTAGCCAGCAACATACTGCAGGCGTCTAGTGCGGGAAGCCGCAGCTGACTTGTGAAGTAAAATAATACCTAGTTCTGCAAAATATCAGATCTGAGCAAGTAGACTACTCCCACTGGCAGATTGCCAGGCAGTGGCATTATATATCACTATATTCAAGGTATTTATTTACCCAAAGTCAGCCCAGTTCCTCAATTCTTCTCCATCATGGGCTTCATTGTCAAAGCTTAATTCCACACCCATCATTGGTACCTGATTCAAGGCAATTTCATTGCATTGCATTTGATTTTGATTATGGTTAGCAATGTTGTCCACATCCATAAACCCATCCACAACCGGCAAATATTGTCCAAAGACAGCATCCCATTGATCCCAGTCAAAGTTAACATTTGGATCAAGAGCCTGAGTTCGGAGATGACCCGCGGCGCTTGGCGTGAAAGGTGAAATAGTATGTGATTCGCTTGAGCTTTTCGTAGAGGAAGAATCTCGCCCTGGTTGATTGGGACTATTGTGATGATGATTGTAGCCATTAGAAGTGTCCATGAACCTAGCTGTCTCACTTGATTTTCGCGAATGGGGCTGCCCATATCCAGGATTGAAGGCTTTCATTCCTGACATGGATTGTGAAGAATCCCATGCAGCTGAAGTTGGGGAAAGGTGCGGACCGGGGTTGGAATCAGGAATGTGTGTCGGCCAAATCGCATGTGTATGCCGCGACTCATCATTACTCGTCCGCGCAGTGCTCGTTTTCGGGCTCCCTGTCAGCTTTTCCCTCTCTGCCGATATCCTCTGTGACGGTTGATGGTTCTCATATGGCTCCTTGATCATCGCGTAATAGCTATCGGCAAAATTTGCCGGCGGTGAGATGTGATCCTTCGCTCCTGATGTTGCAGGGCGCGATGGCGTTGAGGAATTCTTCGAACTGAGATCCTGTGAGATGGCGGCTTGTGCTTGTGCATGCTCGGTCCAGAGGACCTTTGGATTAAGGCCAGCTTTCTGCCAGGCCTTTTCGCGAAGTCGACGCATCATATCCCAGGCTTCCCGACCGCCATCCTTTAGAGGTCTCGCAGTGGAAATCCCATCCTCGCCGCCGACCACTCCACCGTCGGGTCCCGAGAGAGAGAATATTTTATCAATAAAAGCACGTGAAATTGGTGCCTCTGGGGTGTTTGGCCGCTCATAAAGGTCGATAAGCATTATCCTGCCATGTGTTAGCTAAGTCAGATATCCACTGGCAGGAAGGAACATACATTGTAGCATGCATCGGTTGGTGATTGCTATTAGATAGTTAGATTGCTGCGTTGACTTGGTAGGCATAATGCACTCACCCAGGCCAGCTCCATTGGAAAGGTTGGAAGTCAGGGTCGGTCGCAAGAGCGATGAATTTTTCCATAAATCCATGGCAGTGACGAAGGGCACTGTACGAATCAGTTCCAACTCTCAACGTCCGAACACCACGGTGGAATAAGTCGTCGCCTTACCACTGGCGTGCAGCTGGCCATATTTTGCTTCTTGCATTTTTCAGGAACGGCTGGTAAGCAACGCAGAATGCCTGCTATCCGTTAGATTTATGGAAAGCTTTGACGGGCGAAAAGATAGTACCTTATCTACGAATAACGATAGGAGGATTCGAGCCCATTTATGGAAAGCGGCCAAGACCGAGGAGTGGTACTGCTCATGACAGCCAGGGCCGCCATTCGGTAAATCCGGCTTCAAGGTGGCGAGCCCGGCTAGCGACTTAGGATTTGTGTTCCTTTTCGAAACTGATTTTGGAATTGGTATCCTGTCAACAAGTGCATGAAGGTCAGTTTGTAGATCCATGAGAATAGACCTCAGATCTTCCATATCCTTCCGGGTGACAGGCTTTGTGCCGAGTTGGATCCTAAGCACCTTGCGAATGGCCCCTGGCCATTGTCAGCAAATGTCGAAGCATCTCATGACAGCGGAAGAACCTACGGGCCATGACGTATTTCCCTCTAGCACAGATATAGTAAACGTTTACCATTGAGTTTCCACACACGTTTGGGTCGTTGGGTCGATCGGGTTTTCTGCGATTCTCGCTTACCAGACGCTCGTACTCCACAGCCTCAGGACTGCCGATCAAGGTATCTTTGACATCACTGGCAATGCGCACATCCCAATAGTTCTCATCACTGACTAAAGGAGGTAGCCCACTGGACATTGCAACTACCCCATCCATGTGAACAATATGCCACCACAACCTTCGCCTATTTTCTGCTTCACAGGGTGGGATGCCGAACTGCGCAGGGTCTCGATGTAGACCCATGGTCTGGGCAACACGAAGTGCGAGGCTTATAAACAAACTACTCGTCAAAGGCTCCTCTTCTTTTGAAAGGATAGTCTGAACCAGTAAGAAGGCGGCTAGTCCGTGAAGAGTGGCACTTCTTGGGAAGGAGATTTTCTTCAGCCATCGAGTGACTTCATCATGAAAAGGTTCAGAAAGTTCTGCGCGGTTGTCGACGTCGAATTCTGCATGTATCGTTCGAAGAGATATCGTCACCGATCCACCATACCATATTGCATATAAAAGTGGGATGAAAGAGGGATCCGGGAACGGGGTTTTTTTGTGGTCCCTGCTATCGTACCATTCCCAGAAGCACTGGTATAGTCCTAGGACGGTGGGTGGGTGGACGACAGGGCTGATGGCGTGGATGCCAGACATGAATCCTTTGTAAAGAATATTGCTCTGTCGCCTAGATGGAACATAGTCTAGCATATCGGCCTCGATGGGACGATCGGAAGAAAGGGGCGAATCCCCTCTTGCAACGAGGCCCGTGCCCCGAGGTTCTTCCTTTGAGGAAAACCGCCTGGGGCCACTCTGAGCATCATAATGTGTAGACAAAGGTGGTATATGAACGTTTCCGATATCGCGAACAGAATCGGGGGATGTCAGTGGCTGCTGCTGTGATCTATTCTGGTCGCGAAGTAACTGGTTTAGTTCGTTTATCTTGGGGAGGGCAATCAGCAAAACTGCAAAGCTTAAAAAGGCGATGAAACGAGGGTAGGTAGGAGGAATACCTCATCAGATATATAGGCCCAGTACGTTGTGCCGACGTATCTATGGGCACAGGCTATGTTTAGCGGTATATGCTTTTGTCCGTAATTCTGGGGAATAACATACCTAGATTTGCCTCCATCTTCCAAACTCAGGTGACCCAGGTTAAGTGTTCCAACCGGGTCCACAAGATCCGTCGACAATCCCGCCGGGATGGGGAAGTCTTCGTTACTACCACTATCCGAGAGCCTTCGCGGACTTGGCTGTCGGGATTGTGACCTGGACGACGCGCTCGAAGCTGCAATCCCGTAACGGCGAACGTCGGTGGGCGACTGCTCCGAGGCCTGATAGAGAGACCTTACGCCTTGGAAGAGAGGGTCACTTTCCTGCGGTGTAAGCGGAGCATTCGTCCTACTCAAGCGTTCGATCATCGAAGTGAGCCGGTCCAGCCGCGCGGCAATCTCTCCTGAGCCAGATTTCTGCTCCCCCAGCCCAAGGGACCCCTGTACCCCCGCATATGGGGAGAGGATTTCGGCCAGGGATGCCTCGGCGGGCTTGGGAGGCTCTCTGCGCCGTTTGACCCGACTGTGGTGGTCCTGTGAAGACCGGTTTTGCTGCAGAAGCGACCTCGAGTCGTAGACGCATTCGGAGCCGTTCTTCAGACAGTTGCCGCACATAGGATGGACCTAGAGGCCCCGCAGAGTTCGCAGGAGATTAGACACGAGAACCATCGGACGCGGGAATCTGCGGGAAATTGACAGCGTACCTTGTCGCATTTGACCTTACGCCTGCGGCAAGTGTGGCACGAGTAGCTGACTCGGGTGCGGGTGATCGGCTTGCCACTGCTGATAGTGTAGTGCTTGCGTCGGGCTGGCGCCTTGGGTGTGGATGTGGCGGACTGCGGAGCAGGCGGGCAGAGCGGTCCATCGCCTCCAGCTCGGATTACGGGCGTGGAATTGGCTGACATCGATAACGCCTCCGCAGCCGGCGGAGGAAAGTCGTCGAGAAAGTGCTCCATTGACGCCTTGGGGACAGATGGGCGGGGAGGCGGTGTTGTGGGAATTTTGATAAACTGGGGCCCAACTATGTACGCAGGTAGAATGGTTGGAGATGACCGGTTGAGACTCTGGGGGAATGCTCAGCGGGGGGCAGCTCGATAGAACATCAAGACATGGGCGGTCGCAGATGGATCCTGTAGAGCCATAGCCGTGTGTTTGAGGCGGGATGGAGTGCTGGGGGGGTCGATGGCGTTCCCGCTGCGCTGCGTTGCTACTTTGAAAAGGTTGCCGCCGCCCCGACACTGGAGGTTGCGCAAGACGCCCGTGAGGATCGCCCGCCCGCCGTGGTGCTTGGCGCCCGGCTTGCCCTGGACGGCCTGGATCGCCCTTCTTAGGTAATCGGGGACAGAAACCCTTCCCGAGCCCATGCCTTTATATTGTATTGCATTGCATTGCATTGCATTCCTTTTTTTTGATTCCTTTTTTTTTTTTTTTTTTTTTTTTTAAGCTCGTTGAATACCGTTCGCACGTCGAAATGCACAATCGCTGGAAGGGCACCACCTCCAAGGAGACGGACATCCCCGCAAAACCAGCTGGACGATTCCAGGCAGCTTGCCACAACAGATACCGCGATCCATCTGTCAGTCTAGGTATACGGTACGGAGTAGTATGGGAGAGCCAGTGTATAATTATAGGTGCCATTCAAGCCTGCACTTCGCTAAACACAAACAGGATATCCTGTTATAGGAAAACAGCCCAAGTCGCAAAAAGCAAGCCCGAGTTTTTCGCTTTTTCTTCTTTTTTTTTTTTTTTTTTTTTTTTTTTTAGAACGCCGGATGCATGCTCCCAACTTTATATATGCTATTGTTTTACTTTTATGTTCTTCAACGCACCTCACGCCCTCGTCTTTCTCTTTTCTTTCTTCTTCTTCGCCTCACCTCCATTTGGTGCTATCCCCTGTTGCGCCTGCATCTCCATCATCGCCTCCTTAAACGGGTTGTCGGTCACGCCGCCACCGCTGTAAGCCGGGGAGTGAAAGGGCAGGATAGTCCCCATCTTCCAGCCTCGCGGCGCAGACGGCGGGGGGAGCGGCTTCTCGGGGGTTGGAAGGCCACGGATGCGAAGGCGGTACGGTGACTTTTCGGTGGTGGGGTTGACTTGGAGGTAGTTTGCGATGAAGATATACAGATGATGCTCTGAGTTCGAGGGGCGTCAGCGGGGTTCACGGGCATGTAGCAGAGAAACTCAGGGGGTATGCAGAGAGAAGGGGGGAGGAGAGAGACACACTGTTTTTCACCTTCTCGTTAACTGGTTGGCCATCCTCGCGCTTCAGGTGCACGCGGACGCGGCCCGGGTTCGCCCAATCCTTTGGGTGTATTTTGTCGGGTTCGAAGCCGGCCTCGAGCCCTAGCAGCTGCACGGCATCGAGGATGTCTCTGGCGAGGGGATTCGCGACGGCGAGCTTCCTGGAGACCTTCCTACCCTCAACGCGCGACCGGGCCTTGTCAAAATAGACGGGGTATACGCATTGGTAGTGTCGCGGGATATCTCTGCGGGGTTGCGGTGGAGGCTGCGGGGTGGAGGAGGACATGGGGACGTTGGCCGGAGAGATGACGGAGCTCTGGGCGGCATTCCGGGGATCAAAGTCGGCGGGATCCATCTCGTCAGGATCGGAGTCCGAGACATCTTCTACCCGGGCGTGGGACATTGTGATCCACGGGTCTTGCAAGCTGATGTATGTTGCAGCTTGTCTACTCTGTATCAGTAGAAAGAGGTTGAAGAGAGGTTAACAGGCGAAGATGCCCAGGTCTCCGAGACGGTGATAAATGTCGTGCTGTAACGTTTCCATGCCACTGCCTGTCTACCGCCCGTCCACTGGTTCGGTGCCGGAGTATTCTTATCCCGAAACAACAGGGGTAGGTAACTAGGTACTCATCCACAACTAGTTAGCATTTTGCGGGGATATTTTGAACTCACTTCCCTGGGATATTGGAATTTTTTGCCCAGGCGGGCTATTAACTAACTAGTTAATTAACTAGGTTAACTGATTAACCAACTAACTATGGAGTATGTAACCACCCTAAGCCACGGAGCGGAGGCAGGTGAAAGAGTCACCTGGGGGAATCTAGACCTGGTTCCTGATCTGTCTGACATCAATCGCACCCCTCAGCTCCGTCCTCACGATAGACTCATATCCAGCTCAGACTGCAGAGTATTATCATAAACTTGAGATAATTTTGCTAGTTTAATGGCCTTATAGCAAAGCTGGGAACATATCACCATAGGCCTTCTATTTAGCTACATTCACGTCATTTTGATTAACCAGAGCAGTTTTGCAGTTTTGTGACTCGCCCCGACCATAGTGCTATCGGGTAACTTGAACAAAAGATGAGACCGCTTCGCCCTCTAGGCTAGCTGCGTCAATCCTAGAATGGAAACGCTTTCACCAGCAGCAACACAAATGCTCCAGCAGAAAGAAGAAGCCAACAGAAGATTTAATCCACGCTCATGGGCACTCAATCCTAGGAACCTTGGACTCAGTGAAATGCACACTTCCATACTCCGTAGATTGAGCATATAAATTCACATGAGTCCAACCATGCCAATCTCATGTATGTCAAACAGGAAATCCAAGCAGTCATTCAGAAGTATCTCCGCGGCTATGGAGGATAGAAAACTCGACCCATCTTAGTTTCTTAGTTGCCCATCGTTCGTATTTTTTATATTCAGTAGTCAGTCAATGATTCAGACTAAAATTATTCAAGGAATGGACCCCGGTATAATGTTTGTGTTTGGCTCAACCACGCTCTTCTTGAATGCCACCATGGCAACGTGAGACTTCAGCCCTCGCTACCTAAATCAGAACCACCACAGTACAGAGTACTTCTCTCCAGACTGTAAACAGTAACTAAGTGGCATAAGATGCCTTACATCTGATCGACATTCGTCGAAACCTGCCCAATGGATCAAAAAGTCCGGGAACACTGGTGATCGCGTTGAGCGTCACGTCCAGAACATCCACAGACTTGAACGTGGATTTCTCAACAGTTGGGGTGCATGCGGAGCCTTAATAGTTCTGGGTCATTTGAAGGCAACGCCCCATGGGGAAAATATAGAGAATGCTCGAACTCGAAAGATTTTGGTTGCATTTAACAGGAATCTAGGCTCGAATGATCTTCATAATGGGCTACCAATGCCTAAAACACACACACACAAAATAAAGAAAGAGGAAAAGGGGGAAAAAATTTTTCAAGAATTACCAACAACAGACCACAGCACCTCCAAGAGCCAGTGCATACACAGCTTTGTCTTTATTTATTCTTTTTTTCTTTTTTTTTTAACTTCTTGTCCCTTCACTTTCTGATTCACCTCAGACCTTCATTTCCTCAAGGCCATGCTTCCAGATAGTGGCATATGGAGTCATGCCGTCTTCACGGAAGTCAATGAGGACGTGCCTGGAAGAGGTACGGTCAGTAATGGGAGGACCAAACAAAGAAATTTTCTATTCCGTCAAGTTAGGATGGGGTAAGACGTACATTCCATTGGGGTCCATGGAAGAGCCCATGAGGACGTCGTAGTTGTCATAATTGGAAAGGATCTTCTTGACAGCAGCCTGGGCTCCGGTCTGGAATTCCTTGATCTCCTCAGGGCTAGCGCCCTTCTCCTTGAGCTTGTCGTTGACTTTCCTGACGTAGCCTGGCGGGAAGAGATTAGCCACGGCGGAGGAATTGAATTGGGGTTGGGTTGGGGTGGGCTTAGGGTGTTGCAACAGGATGTGGACTCACTCTTGAGATGGGATTTGAAAGAGTCCTTGGAGGGTTTCGTTTCCACTCCGTTCTCGTCAGGCTTCAACCAGTGGAGCTGGAAAGCCTCTTCAATATCATGGACCATGACGCCGCTGCTCTCCTCACCACCACCGTATTCGTCACCGGCCTCCTCAGCAGAGGGGTTGGCGCCAGCGAGCTCTACATTGAGTCAGCAGGTTGCACATATATGTGTGTGTGTCTGCGTCTGTCTGTGATGGGTACGGACCAAAATTCTCTGCCTTCTTAGCGTACTTCTTGCAGTTGACCTCCCAGAGGACACCGCCAGGAACATCAATGAGTTTGTAGGTGTCGGACATGATCTCGTCCCCACTGATGATATCCTATGGACAATTTCAATCAGCCATTGTCATTCCAAAGTACGGGACCAAAAGAATGAGTGGATGCAGTTGTAGTCATCTTTATTTTTTTTATTTTGCTGCTGTTCCACCCTTTTCTTTTTTTCATCTCATTTCCTTTTTTTTTTTTTTTTTTTTTTTTTTTTTAAAGGGTCTTTCGTTGAAATTTTCCCCTAGGCAAAACCGGGACAAGAGGTGGGCGGGGTAGAGGATGTGTACCTTGTAGATGATCATTTTTACAGTGCGATGAAGCTGCGGGTTGGGGGTTTGTTTCTTTGGAGAGCCGTTTGTATTAAGAAAGAGCAAGCAGTGCAGTCACAGGCAAGAGAAGAGAAGAATAGGGATGAAGGTGATTGAAGGGGGGAGTGAAAGGGCAAGCGGATAGAGAAGTTCTTTTAAATGTTTCTGTGATTTTTTTGGCCCTGGGTTGGGTGGTCCTTTTTTTTTTTTTGGTGGGGGTTAAGTTAACTAATTGTTACTCTGCAGTGACAGCAAAACTTAGTCAAAAAATGACTTGAGGTTTCTGCCTCATTGTGCGTTCACCGCCCAACACCACATCAGCTTAGTCAGCAGAAGCAAAAATCTTTCTTCTCACGTGATATGGAGATAGATAAGATTATCAGGAATGGATTAGGTAATACAAATCAGCCATCCGGGCCGACTTTTCCCCGACCACGCCAAGGTTACTGGCCTAAACATCAAATTTGGTTTGCTTGGCCGCGACCGAAAAATCCAACTACGACATTTTTGGCTTTGATGGCTTTCCTCTGGACTCCGAAGCGCAGTTGTTTTTGTATTTTTAACTTCACCTCTTGTCTCTCCCTCAACCAAAGTCGCCTGTCTCCTCTCTCTCTCCCTCTCTTCTCTCTCTTTCACGCTCTTTTGCTCCTCTTTGCTTGCTTCTCTGTTGTTCTTCCCATCCCAGGCTGTGTTTCCCCTCAGGCCATCCCGGATCCTGCGATGACGGGCGGCGAAGAAGGGCTCGAGACTCCATCCTCCGGCTAGCCTCCTGCCACCCCCTCTTGGCCTGTTCCTCTCTGACTTTTTGCTCTTTTGTCACCTTTGCTACTGCTCCTGCTGCTTGTGCTGCTTGTGCTCTGCCTCCTCCTACTCCTCCTCCTCCCCCCCCTTTCAGTGTTCGCTCTCTTTCCAGATATTCACACTCCTTCTTGTCCTGAGTAGTCAAGTCGGTTGGTTGCTGAGGCGTCAGACATCATAATCATAATCATCATCGGTCTTCTGCTGTTCCCCTACTGCAGTCCCCAACTTAGCACATCCATATACACGCGTGTATAGCTACATACTTCTGTGCCGCCGCTGGCTGCCCACTCCAATTGGCCAAACGGACCCATCTCGCTCGATCTTTCCGCAACGTCCGGCTCTCTGCTTTTGCCCATACTGAGCTTGCTTGCTTCTCTCTGGTAGCTATCTACCTTCTCACACCACCTTCTTGTTGTCATAACCTCCCCCTATAAATAGTTTAATCTCTGCACAGCCCGAACCGCAAATCTTTCTCTATTTCTGTCTTTATCTCTCTCTCTTCCCCTCTCTCTCTCTCTCTCTTCCCTCCTCTTCATGGGCACACCTTCATTTTCATCTATTGCTTGTGTCTGTTGAATTTATCCTGATATAGCAACTGTTTCCTCAGTTGTCACCTGTCCCTTCAATCCCAACCAGCGTCTCAGATCACAATGGCCAACTTCACGGATGCCCTCCCGCCCCTCCCTGCCTACACCTTGGCGCCCCGTCAGCCCCTCGTCCCTCCCATCCCGGACAACATCATGATCCTCATCCTCCCCGTCGTCGCGTACTGGGTCGTCTCCATGGCCTTCCACTGGATAGATGTCAACGACTACTTTTCCCAGTACCGCCTCCACACCCCTGAAGAGCTCCTTAAGCGGAACCATGTCTCCAGGAGCGAGGTTGTCCGCGACGTCATCATCCAGCAGATCATCCAGACCGCTGTCGGCCTCGCCATGGCATACATTGATGAACCCGAATACACCGGCATGGAGGACTACCAGATTGCTGTCTGGGCCCGTCGCGTGAGGATTGCACAGAGAGCCATGCCACGGCTCCTCGTGCTCGTCGGCCTGGATCCCACCGGTTTGGCCGGCAAGCTCTCTCACTATCCAACCCTTGCGGCTGTTGTTTCTGGCGGTACATACCCATTTCTCACCCAGGAGATCGCCTCTGGGACCGGTAAGGCCATCGTGGCGCCGGCCTTTGCGCGTTGGGAGCTCTCGCTCGCTAGCATGATCTATTGGTACCTGATCCCGGCCTTTCAATTCCTCTTTGCTGTCTTCTTCGTGGATACCTGGCAGTATTTCCTGCATCGTGCCATGCACCTGAATAAGTGGCTCTACAGTAAGTAATTATTATTTGAATTGTTTTTTCTTCTTCCCCCCCAACCCGCCTTTCTCTTTCTCTTTGCGCTAACCACCGCGAATTGGTCTTCCAATAGCAACCTTCCATTCACGGCACCATCGACTCTACGTGCCCTATGCTTTCGGTGCTCTGTACAACCATCCAGTCGAAGGCTTCCTACTTGACACTGCTGGAACTGGACTTGCATTCCTCATTTCCCGCATGAGTTCCCGCCAAGCGATGTGGTTCTTTACCTGCTCCACCATCAAAACAATCGACGATCACTGCGGATATGCTTTCCCATTTGATCCCCTGCAGAAAGTTACCTCCAACAACGCCGCATACCACGACATCCACCATCAAAGCTGGGGCATCAAAACCAACTTTTCTCAGCCTTTCTTCACCTTCTGGGATCGTCTCTTGAATACCAGATGGAATGGTGATGTGACTCTCCGGTATGAACGCTCACGCCTGGCCGCTCAGCGCATGGTAGAAGCAGAGAAAGCCCAGGAAGGCACTACCAAACCTGGAGTCAAACCCCCGCCAAAAGAAGAGGAGGAGAGCAACTCACGCAGTTTGCTTGCGAAAACTGTCTGCAAAAAGACCACCTCATTCTCCTCCCAAACGGAACCATACAAGGGTGCCTCCCACCGGATCAACAGTAGCATCCGACAAAAATAAATGCTCTACACCACTGGACAGTGTTGTTCGCTTCGATTCTATCGACCCCGGGTATCTGCTTTAACGACGTTTATGACGTTCCCACTCAGTCAAGAATTACTTATTCCGGATTATAGAGTGGCTTTGTTGGACTAGCGTCGCCCCTTTAATCTTTGAAGCGGCGTGCTCTATCTTGGTATTGACAGCGTTTATCCAAAGCTGCTCTCAACCTATACCTCTCCGCTTTCCATTTTTCTTGATCTTCTTCTTATGAAGTCTGTGTTATGACCTCCTCTAATAATAAATAGCCTGGTCTTCCTTGTTTTCTTCTCTATTTTCTCTTGTAATCGATCTCTTTCATCCTGTTGCACTTTACATTTTCATCCCTTCTTGGCCAGACCATCCACCACCACTTTATGTATATTCTTGTCCGCATTCCAACCTGAATTCTGTCTTGTGTATTTTTATACATCAGTGTTGATCGCTACCTAAAACTTACTAATGAACGGTTTATTTTATTTTTATTTTTATTTTTATTTTTTTTTTTAATCATTTGTCTTCTTGGGGCCTGGGTCATATTTGTGTTGCAACAATTTCGGTCAAGGCTCCTGGAGGTTTGCAACCATTGTGCTCCATCGTGTGGTGTTCGATTCTGGCTTGTCCCAAATCACCGAGGCATCTCCCCATGAGCTCTGGGCCGAATATTCAACTCGTGGATCGCGAGTGAGGATGGATCGGTACTCGTCGGCCCAGTCACGGCTCGTTTTCGGCGTCGCTGAGCGTGCTACCTCGTTTGAGAATCCAGCAACAATGTGTCTACCATAGTGCAAACAGTTGTTGTCGAACACCTCTTGCTTGCCTTCAGCTTCGTGTATTGTCTCTGATGCTCCCGGGTGCTCAGACTGATTACAATGTGGAGGACATTGTGTCTGCGGGGAATCCGTTTCGTTGAATAATATCTCCATTCGCGAGTCTCGTTGATATAAGCGGATGATCTCGATGTCAAGGTCCGGGTCGTTGTCGTTGTCAAGAGCGCGTCTACCGCTGTATATGCTCGATGAAGGCCTGGGTGAAAGCAGGCCGGGAAGGTCTTCTTCCGCTTTTTCTTCCCGGCCTTCCTTCCGGCTTTCCTCCCTCCCGGCCTCTTTTCCTGGTTCTTCTTCATTGACGCCTTCCTCAGGTACGGCCGCCTCTGTGGCGACACAGTACCTTCTTCGCCTAAGTTTGTTTATTGTCTTTCTCACCTCCTTCAACTCCGCCGCATCCTCGCCACTTCTGACAAATATATCCAGCCTGCTTTCACCATGACACGCCATGCTCTCCTCCACCCATCGCATCAACTTCGGCGGTTTGCCTGCCCATCCTCTAGTCCGCGTCCGACTCAGCAGCACCGTACGCAGGTTCTTGATCGCCGTTGCATCCTGCAGGATTCGTGAGAGCATACACGCCTCGCACCCACTGGCCTGGAAGTACCATTTCGTATTCGACGGGAGGGAAAACTCCTTCTCCAGCCGTGTTGAGGTCATCCACATACCGTTGATTTCGCGCAGGGTATCAACCATGATCCGCTGCTTGACGGTTAGGCGCGAGCGGTGCATAGCGAGCCGGTCTAGCCGCGGGCCGACTTCGAGCTGGACCAGCCGGAAGATCGAGCTGATTACGTGGCTATTTAGGCGCTTGTGCAGTGAACAGGACTTGGCTTCGCTCGGAAGGAGACGGAGTGTGGTGCAGAAGAAGTCGCAGACTTTGGAACGCCGGAGGTGCCGGGGTAGGCTGGCGACAACGGCTGAGACGAAGATCCGCGCATCCTCCGGTGTTGCAGCTTGCGTTGTGAAGTAAAAGAGCCGAGCAAGAACCCTGATATCTTCTCGGGATAGGTCGCTGACAGACGTTGCGTGACGTTTTTTAAGTCCTTTGATCCCCATTGTTGTTCACAAGCTAGTATTTCCCCTGAAAACGATGAATATGTTATGAATATCTCTCTCGCCAACCGGGTATTCGGTTAAGCTCCCCTGCTCAGGGATATCTAGGAAGCTGGATATGATGGATGTGTCACAAAGCCTTCCTCCCTTCATTTAGCCCACGCCGTTCTGTTTGCTGATTGTTCTTATCGAAACGTTATTCTGCCATCCAAAGGCCCGCGAGCCCTAACAATCTAAAGATCTTGTACAGCCCAAGCGGTCATTCTCAGGATAAGCGAGCGCAGAGACCATGAGGTCAAACAGTGTAGTCAAGACTAGCTTACATGTGAATTCAGACCTGGAGTGTTACCTTGGAGATGCTTACAGTTCTATGAAATCAATTCACCACTATGCATGAACATCCCGTGTGGTCTTGGTGACATGGATCCATTTTACCGACATAAGATGTCCTCAGTGACTGAAATGCCTTACAATGTGAACAACAATCCTCCCCTTCATACTTTGTAACACACCGACCCGGATTAACCCACAAACTCCTGTCAAAATTGTAACGTGCTCGAGTGTTAAGCAGCTACGGTCAGTCTGGAAAGAGATTTCCTCTCTTTATTCTAGGAAGATCAATGAGGTTCTTGTTACTGAAAAGGGAGGTTTCAAATATCTTCCTGAAAAATCCCCCTCCAACCCCATTTTCTTGTCTCTGATTTAAGACTTCTCAAGCTTTCCTGGATAATTTGACAGTTTACTACTATCTGTGGGAGCCTGATTTAGCACATGCACACTATGTTTGCATGAAACAAGCAATTGAACGACCTCCGCATATCATCACCGCCGCAAGTAATGGTGTACTATGGATAAAGAGCAAGAAACAGAGAAGAGGAGGGTATAATTGATCTTGTATGTCTGTATGTACTCTATACGCATGGTATGTACTGTACATTAATGATGACATTAGGTTAGTTACACAGAAGATAGCCACTTTAGGCAGCTAGAGAAACCCTGACGGGGCAAAGGTCGTTGATACAAAAAGGTGTCCAAAAAGAGGCGCATAGCGGTCGGGAGACGATAGACACACGTTAATCGTAAAAAATAGAGTTACAATCGCGGAGATCCGATCAGGGCATTTTCTTTTTTCATCGTTTCGACCAGACGACGGCTTGTCCAATCCGTAATCGCCATGTTGGTCACCATTGGATTGACGCCGCTTGCGCTCGGGAAAACAGACGCGTCCATGACATAAAGTCCGTCTGTTCCCCAAACCTGACCGGAAGGGTCGACAACACTCTTCCTCGCTGACGAGCCCATGCGACAAGTTCCCATCTGATGTGCACTGGCAAAACTTGAGCCCCAAGTAGGAAGAGGATCACTTTGCCTCAGCTGTTGGATCCAGGCCTGAAAGGCCGGATTGTTGATGCCTTCTTCAAGAGAACCAGTAGGCTCTTTGGGGCGAACGAACGGAGGAACGGAATGGCAAGTGGTGCGAATCTCTTTGGCGCCCGAGACGTATGCTATCTTGGCGCTAGCAATGACGCCTTCCAGTATATGCTTCCGATCATAGGCCGAGGGTGTGTATTTGATTCTACATCTACCGTCGACGGGATCAGGATAAACTGAGCCCGTGTCTCTATCTCGGGCGAGAGAGATAAAGCCGCTCATGTTGCGAAGGTTTGCTGCGAATAGCTTGTAGTCGAGGCCATTTTTCCAGGTGAACGACGGAAGGAAAAACGAGGGCATCATCGTCAGTGCCTCGATTTTCGTGCCATGGCCGGTGCCATCTACGTTTTCAAAATCGCTGACCACAGACGTCAATATTCCTCCTTCCCATGGGCGAGTCTCATGATCGTAGATAGCACCGACAATCATAACTTGTTTACGAATGGTTTGGTTAGCGATGTAAACTTTTGAGAATTTTTTTTTTTTTTTTTTTTTTTTGAATTGGTACCCTTCTATCTCTCTTTCGCCCACTTTGCTTAAGGCTCAGAGAGGTGAGCGATAACCAAGGTAACATACCTGGATGAAGGTGTAGGTTCCGTCCTATATGTGAATTCTTGAGACCGCTGCGAAGGAGCAGCAAAGGAGACTGCAGGGAGCCACAGGAAATGATCACTTTCTTCGCCTTGACGATCAGTTTTTTGCTGACAAGGGGCTGGCCGTGGGTCAACCCGTTCGCATCTCTTGACCTCCAGGTTCCCTTTACCCCGACGGCAACTTTAGGGCGCTTGGGGTCGCGTGTGTCGAAGCGGACCACGTCCACCTCAAACCCCTCGATAAAGGTGGCACCGGCCCTGGCGGCGTCAGCAAGGAACGAGACAGCGGGGCCCTGCTTAGTGGCGGACGCGCATCCAAGTGTGCAGTATCCGCAGTAATGTTTTTGGTTGCCAGTGTTCTGAGGAACGGCTTTTGCATTGTAGCCCAGCTTGCGGGCGCCTTCAAGGAGGACGGAGTTGCTAAAATTGTGCTCGATATGATCCGTGGAAGCGCCCATATAGTCACAGACGCGATCGACGGAATCCTGGAAGGCCATAGAGGTGAAGAGGTCGAGGCCCGATTTTGCCCACTCCTGGCGGACGTACGACTGAGTCTGAAGAGAGGCGGACCAGTTGATCGTCCCGCCGCCTCCCCAGGTCGAACCGGAGAGGACCGAGATGGAGCCGTCATCGGAGATCTCTGCGCCGCCGTTGGCATACAGATGGACCGTTCCTGCTGCGGCGGTCATCGGGTAGTGGTTTTCAGAGAAGTGGTATGACTTCTCTGCGACGATGACGCGATAGCCGGCCTCTGCGAGGTTTTTCGCGGCCACACCGGCACCGCAGCCACTGCCGACGATGACGACGTCAGTCTCGATGATCTCCATGGCGTCGCCAGCGGGGAACTGGAGGAACGTGTAAGGGTAGCCCTCGCCTGTCTTTCCGTGGACGGGAACACGAGGCAGGCCCAGCACCTTGGGCAGGGTTGGGCTGCTGGAGGTCCATGACTTGTGACAGAGGGCGACGAGGGAGCGGTGCGCACGTCGCAGGGCGGGGAAGTAAGAGGTCTCCCAAGCGCGCAGGACGGACTCTCGGACATGGAGGGGCTGCAGGCGAAAGGGGACGGTCGAGCCGGTCAGGGGGAGGGAGAAGGCGCGGTGGTTGAGGAGGGTGAGGAGCCTCAGGAGGGCGCTGCGGGCCTCCGGGGGAACGTAGAGGGCGAGGGTGCGGCAAAGAGACTCCTTGAAGGCGGGGATGGCGACAGCGTTTTCCTCGAGGTAGTTCTGGGCCAGGGCAAGACGGTCGGGGTCGGTTGAGCCAGCGACGAGCAGTGCGATCGCATCGTCGTAGTCCTTATCGGCAACGGCATGGTGGCAGGCGGGGACGGCAGCCCTCTTGCGACGAATAGAGGGGATGATGGCGTCTGCGATGGATAGCAGGGTGGCCCACTGGCACGGGTCGAAGATGTCGTGTGTCTCGGGGGCGGGAGGCAGGGGGGTCTCCTTGATGATGTAGGTAACGGCGTCGGAGACAGCCATGGCGACGCAACTAACAATAGACGGGTCCTGAAGCGAGCGGACGGAATGGTATGTACATACAGCGCATGTGCCAGGAAGAGACACGGTGATTGATATCGCACACACAGACACACACAGAGAGAGAGAGAGAGAGAAGAGGTGAAGTGAAGAAAAAGAAGAAGAAAAAGAAGAGGAGGAGAGGAGGAGCGGGGAAGGAGCGAACTTGATGTTTTGGCCAGCGAGGGTTACCTAAAGGGGAAAAAGCCTGGGGTTTTTACGGATCCAGCAAGAACAAAACAAAAACAAGATAATTAAAAAGGCAAGAGTAAAAGGCACAGCCAACTTGGCAGGCACGCGTCTCAATCCTTCTTCCCAGGTCAGGTCAGCAGGAAGGGCAAGCACCCTATTGACACCTTCCCTAGTATCAACTAACCAGGTAACTACCCAAGCCAGAGAAGCACAAAACAAGCTGAAAGGGGAAGTGTTGTTTGTATATGCACACTGGCAGAGTTGAGTGAAAATTAGTGACTGAGAGATATTGAGTGACTGAATGAGTGAGTGAATGATGCAGAGAATAATAGACAAGAGAGAGAGAGAGAGAGATAATGCAATGGAGAGATGGCACCAGCAGTCAGTGCTGCATCTTCTCTTTGTTGAATCTCTTTCTTTTTGGACGTTGATTCTATCAGCTGCTTCAGCGCGTTCAGCCGAGGTTCCCCACTGCACAGTGCAGATGACTCAGCACAGGCCTCTTCTTCATTAGTTAACTAACTTAACTAGTTAGGCCAATAGTTAGTTTCTACCCGGAGTACGTGGTGGGTTCACCTAACTCTCCCCATAACACCCCCCTGTTAATACATATAGACTACTCCGTACAGAGTACGGAGTACTCAGGCCAAAAAAAAAAAAAAAAGGAAAAATAAATAAATAAATGAATAAAAGGCCAATCCGCCTAGGCTGGTTGAGTTCAATTTATCTCTAGATGACATCTTGTCTTGATATATTCCCCCTGAAACCCTGCCACGAGACACTCCAAGGGTTGTCTTTTTCCCCGGGAACAAAATATAAGTACGGAGTAACTAATGCAAAACAAGCAAACAGGCCGAGCACGCCGTCCACAGCTTTGACCCCGGCGAGCGAAGAAGAGGAAACCTTCGCCAGCTGAGATGGAATGCTGGAATCGGGCCTTTCGCGGGTTATACTCAGTGCCAGGGATCAATCTTTCTTTCTTGTCAAGCTCCCTCTGACTCAACCAGTCTCGCGTCAACCAACCTGCCTGATAACTTGTCACTTGCACTATAAAAACCGTGTCCCTGTCCTCGTAGTTTGTTACCTAGTTAACTACTCCATGGTTGGTTAGCTCGACCTCGCGGCCAGCGCATCACCTCGGGCCGATGGGGGGCGTCCACCGTTTGGAAACCCAGAGTCCATCGGCCTTATGCTGGCGTAACTACATGACTGGTGACCCAGTCGTTCAGATTATCTCCCCTTAGTGCCGGTTCTCGGGATTTTTGCCCTCATCACGCAGATAACCGTGCCGTTACTATCTTTCCACTTCCCGGGGATGCCTTATTCCATGTTATGTAGTTGGCTCTCCGGCCTCGTTTGTTGTCTGCATCCTTGAGCAGCAGCACGGAACTACATCATATAAATACTTTATTTTTTTTGTTTTTATTTTTATTTTTATTTTTTTACCTCCAGCGAGCCAGTCAGCGGGAGAGGTCCAGTTTGATTGCTCTAAACTTCTCATCGAAACACTGCTGCCCTTCAAACCCTCCTCTTTCTGTAACTGCACATACCCTAGCATTAAAACTCGATCATGCCAGCCGGGACGAATCGCAGCCGCGTCTATGTCGTGGGCGTCGGCATGACCCCATTCTTGAAGCCAAATCCCGCCAGAGACTACCCTCCCCTGGGCCTGGAAGCCGGCACAAAGGCTCTCCTCGATGCCGGCATCACGTACGACCAGGTGCAGCAAGGTTACGCCTGCTACGCCTTTGGAGACTCGACCTCCGGGCAGCGGGTGTTCTACCAGTTCGGTAGGACCGCAGCAGACTGCAGCCACCCTTGACTGACTTGGAAGACAGGCATGACCGGAATCCCTATTTTCAACGTGAACAACGCTTGCGCCACCGGCTCGTCCGGCCTGTACCTCGCTCGTCAGTCTCTTAGCCTTGGAGCCGCTGATGTTGCCCTCGTCATCGGTTTCGAGAAGATGCAGGCCGGTCGTATCAAGAAGGCCTTTTTGGATCGTGCCATTCCCCAAGGTCTCCTGGCCGAGAAGATGTTTGCTCTGAACCCCAACAGTGAGCCGGGAAATATGAGTCTCTTCGGTAACGCGGGCTTAGAGTACATCGAGAAGTATGCATGAACCCCCTAATGTCTGCTCAAGAAAAAAAAAATCTTTGTGCGCTAAGACAGAAAAACCTCTCCCCCGGCCCTGGTATAGATACGACGCCGTTCCTGACGATCTCAACGAGATTGCCCGCATCAACCATGCTCATAGTGCTCAGAACCCTTACAGTCAGTTCCGTACCGTTTACTCTCTAGACCAGATCAAAAGTAGCCCATCTATGTATGGCCCGGTCACGAAACTGCAATGGTCAGCAATCTTTGTCCTTTCTTTTTTTTTTTTTTTTTTTTTTTTTTTTTTGGCAGTTAAAGATTAAAGAAATTAATTCCTCTCTGATAAATAGTTGTCCAACATCAGACGGCGCTGCCGCGGCCGTCGTGGTATCTGAAGCCTGGTTGGACAAACACCCCGAGCTGAAAAGCAAGGCTGTAGAGATCGTTGGCCAGTCAATCGTTACGTGAGTCGGCTTGTGAACTACATTCTCAGGAGCTTAGACTAATCTTGTTAGCGATCAATCCGATACTTACGGGACCTCTTCTATGGATCTCGTTGGCTATCAGATGTCCAAGCGTGCTTGCCGCGAAGCTCTTGTCCAGGCTAACGTCTCCGTCTCCCAAGTCGGAGTGTGTGAGCTCCATGACTGCTTCGCCGCAAACGAGCTGATTACCATCGACGCCTTGGGTCTCTGCGAGCCCGGCAAAGCGGGGAAATTTGTTCGCGAGGGAAATATCACGCATGGCGGGAAAGTCCTGGTTAACCCTTCTGGCGGCCTGATTTCAAAAGGTCACCCATTAGGCGCTACTGGACTGGCACAGTGTACTGAGCTGGTGTGGCAGCTGCGTGGGTGGGCAAATAACCGCCTTGCCCCCCAAACTACGGTGGCTTTGCAGCATAACCTTGGCCTCGGCGGCGCCGCGGTGGTCACCGTCTACAAGCGCGCCGACGGCAAGCAAAATGATCTTCGACCCAATACGGAAATTGCCGAGGCATCTGGGCTGGGATACAACCCTGCGATCGAAGCGAAGCAGGTCACTGTTGCGCAGGTGAAGAAAGTCTTGAGCAGTAGGCATAACAGCGAATGGGCTCGTGTTGGTGGGAAAGGGAATGACTTACAGGGACCTCTTCTCGCAAGAATGTAGACAGCGTGTGTCCGTGCGTAACATTGTGTCCTGGTTTGAAACTTGACTCATTTAACCTTTAGGATGGCTTGTTTTATTCTAACTACTGAAATGACAACCCAGAACCGTCCCATTGTGATAATATGAATATTGGTATGCCAAATTAAGCAGTAGTAAACATTTGTATGACAGTTGGAGAAACAGCTGCAATAAAGTAGCCACGATCATATCTATGTGCATATTTAGCTTCTCTTGTAAGGTTTGTAGTGAACCTTCTGCTGTTGATACATCGCCAATAATTGAGAGCAGGCTGCCCAGCCTCAGGCGCAGAACAATTTTTATATCATTCTTGGTCATAATGCGAGTCAAAATGACTACATTGTAATATCATAACAATCGTTGAATATGTGAACATGGTCACAGGAACATCGTCAAATCATACAAGGAAACAGATATCAAGAATTCAAAGTGGAATCAAAGTGGAAATGAATGGGGTCAATATGTCATTAAAACAGTTTGTGGGGGGGCGGGGATGAAACACAGATTTGAATGTCAGATGAGACGTCCTCATCACCATGTTTTGAACTCCGGCTCCCCTTCATGGCGTGACTCAGAGTCAGATGAGAAATCTTCTGTGATGCCTGACACAAAATGGCCTCGCCGCATATCGTCTTCTTCATTAATAACTCTAGCATGATTATTATTGTCACTCGTCATAGTGTTATTCAATGTTGCCTGGAAACCTGTACTTGATAGGGATGAATTGTGCCGGTTATGTGTTGGTTGCCTGGGAGTAGTTTCAGGAGGCGGACTGACTGGTGGAGAAACGGGACCTGGCTCTGGAGAAACGGGGCTAAGAAAGCTCTCTGCGTCGCTAGGGAATCGAGGTCGTGAGGAGATTGGGGATTCATTATATTCGGTAGGGAGTTCCAAGGGTGCGATGACTGTGGCCCCTAGATAAGTGGTAGTTAGGTCACCGACGTTCTATATTCAATAGGGAAGTGAACAAACCTAGCGCTGGATTGGAATTATCTTGTAGTTCATGTACTGGAGAGCTTGCCGCTTCATTGAGATCGGAATATACAATGGCAGATCTCGAATGAGGTGTGAGTACAGATTCATTGCCAGCTTCCGAATATTGGGCTGACAAATGTTTCTCGGGAGGCAACCCTGGATCGGTCGCCGTCGTCGTGGTCGCATCGATGTTCTTGCCTGGCGGCGCGCCTGTTCCGTAGATCCATCGCATAATTCTCTTCCTGTTATCACTCGTAGCACCGACACTTGAAGCGTATCGCCTATCCTTCCGGCGACGCCAGAGAAGCCAAGCAACCACTAAACCGGTGATCAAGATGAGTCCGAGAACCACACCAAGTACCGGGCCAACCCACTTCGGGAGGCCACCACCTCCAGACGGAGCTGCACCGGGAGTTTCGGTAGGGCCTCCTGTTGCACGATAAGGATAATACGTTTTGATTGGCTTGGGATATTTCTTTCTAAAAATGGTACCAAGTTCCTCATCCTCCCACCCTAACCGAGGTTCTGTCATTGTGGCATCACCATCAGCACTATCGCTTTGGTTAGCAATGAGAAACGAGGGAAGGCTGCATCGGATTGGCTGATGCCTTGAATAACTTACTTTCCACCTATTATACTCGTCACGATTTCTGGAACTTTGTACTCCTCCCAATCCTCAGGGTCATAGACGTTTTGGAACTCGACAGAGTTAAGGTTGAGGACCTGAATAAGACCCCCGTCCAAGCATGTACTCGAATCTTTAAATATCCCACCAATGACGAGCATCTTATCAGGGTAGGGTTTAACGCATTGATGGCCCCGCCTTCCGTGTTGACTTCGCCCCTGGGGCGCCTTTATCCATTCGAAAGATGGCACGGAAAGAATATATACGTCGTCGGATGACGTTTCATTTCGATGGCTGCCACCATAGCCACCGTAGATATAAATATTGTGTGAGCTCCCATCTTTTGCAGAAGCTACGACAGAGCAAAAGTCACTACGCGCAGGAGGATGGTTACCAGTAGTGTTTTGCGTGTACCTAGTATAGTCAGCTATAATATTATATCTCTGCACACGAGAGGGCGATAGGGGACTGACCAATTACCAGAATCGATGTCATATACTAGCACGGTTTTCATGAAGCTCTCACCCATAACTTTCTAAGTAGAAATTAAATGTTACTCGAAGTACAATCAAATGGTAAGGACGATTGCACGCTCACATTGGACCTTTGCTGATCTTGAGTTGGTACAGGGGTTCTGAGAGAGGTTTCGGGGTATGGAACGCCACCAACAGCTATTAGCACTCCGGCGTCGGACACTGGAATCCACGAAAGCTCTGCCTTTCCCCTGGGAGTGACATTGAACTTGGTATTATTAGTCCACTGTTCGCCCCTCCATTCAGTCATATCAACTGAAATAAGGGTATTCGCCGCCCTGTCTGGCTTAGGGCTTGGGATCGAGATCTCCCCCCAATCTTCCCCGCGCAGTCCGCTGAAGTAATAGCCTCGGTTTTCACTGGGGACGGACACACTGGCCCCGTGAGTAATATATCGAGTTACATCGTTATTAGTGCGCGAGTCAACAAAGCCTTGCCTCCAAGTTGTGACACCTTCGCGGCCCCAGAAATACCGTTCGTAAGAGAGAATCTGATCTGAATATGGAAGGGGATTGGGGTTTGTTCGGGAAACAAGGCCGCTGGGGCAGTCAGAAGTAGCACCAATGATGATTTCGATGCAAACATACCCGTATAGTATAAATTCGTTCTCACTTGCAAACATGGCACCATCCATGTAATTTCGCGCAAGACTACTACCCGCACCCGGGAAAGGTTTGAGACGACCAAACAGAGAGGTTAAATTCGTGCGTGTAGTATCGAATGGTGTTGAAAGGGAGAGAGTAAAGACGTCGCCGTCGACATTCTCTAATTCAAGCTCAGATTGGCGTTCAAACTATGTTGCTAGACTGGTGGTCAGGAAAATATAAACATACTATCTCTTTCCAAGGCGCCGTAGCTGCCATCTTCACGTCCTCTGAGTGGCATCACATATCAGCATCCCGAACGAGGGCCCGCGCAAATTTTGAAATACATACGGCGCCCACCAAAGAATACCTCCATCTAAATATACCGTGTCCCGAATAACACCCACTGGAAGGAAAACTCAGCATCAAACTTAGTAAGGAGTTGCATCACGTACCTCGGAAGTGATTCCAGTTACACATAGTGACGTTGACAATATCTGGGAAGATTTGCGCGGACACAAGCCCGGCCGCTCCCAGAGCAATACTCACAACAGCGGCGGAGAGGGGCGCCATTTTACAAGGCTTTTTTTCCACACCCTGCTGAGCGGCCAGAGTCTGTAACGGTCAGAGCGCCCTAGAGAGCTCTTGGAGACCTCGCTCATGGGCCTGGGGAATATTATCAACATCAAAATCGATGGATGGAAACTGTCTTGAAATACTGTTGAAATGAATTGACCAAGTTGCCTGAGAACAGCAGCGACCAAAAAGCGTGTTCCAGTCTGCTGGAATTTCATCCAGAAAAAAATAAAAGTAAAATAAAATAGAACGATAAGGAGAAGATGCGGGTGCCTGGAGTTCTGCTATCCTTGATGGGATATGCTGAATGGCCTCCGGTGGAGGTCTAATGACAGAAGAACTTTTTCAACCTTAAATTACCGCACATGCTTGGAACAGAATATTAGGCAACATATGGATGGGCAAGTGATGCAAGTAATGCAACCAGCGAAATTGAAGAAGGGAGAACCAGCCAATGCGGAGTGAACCGAAAGCGAACAGGCAAAGCATAAAGTAACTCACCACAAAGATGCGGCTCAAGCTAAAGATGGCCTCAACGGTCTCTAGAGGTAAATTGAAGAGTAAATGTCTCCAGCCTTAACCTCGTTTGCAAATCAAGGAAATGAAGTCGAGGCATAAAAAAAGCCGGGTGAAGGACAATGAGATTTGTGGCGTACGTTTTGTTGAGCATCACAAGATGATGTGACAATCCACATGGATGGCTGAAGAGAATCGAAGTGTCTGCCACCCACTCGAGGAATCCCATGCTCATGTGAAGATAAGAATAGCCCTCCGTAAGCAAGCGATAATAATAGGTCGAATTATACCAAGGCCTCGTTCGAGGGCGATCAAAACAAGGTGCCGATAACATCACGTCTGAGCTCAGAAAACAATTCTCCAAAACAGTGTTACATTCAAGCTAACCAGGATACAAGGGTGGGTGGCTTTCTTCTTCCTTTTTTCTTTTTTCTTTTTTTTTTTTTTTCCCTTCTCTCTCCTCTTAGCTTTAGTCTGGCGTAGATAACTCATTAGTGAGGGGAACTAGTTGTTCTTTCAGGAGAACAATATAATTCGTCAAGGAGTTCATGCCATCCGTGTGCGCTGCATGTCATGCTTGGGTTCCTCCGTAACTTAACTAACTAGTTATGTAACTAGCTTTGCGGAGGATTGACTTGTTAGTTAGTTAGCTTGGCAGAAAACCGGGGAAAAGACCGCAATGCCCAACGGGTGCGCTAGCAAACTCGACTGATGTCAACGTGTGCGAGAGACCAAGCTGCAGCTGGCGCGGGTCATTTAATTACGCTCAACCCGACGGACCCTACCGCCAGTCGTTCTGCTTATAATCCTGATCAGAAATGAGTTCATAAGCCAACGCTGCCATTTCTTTCATGATCTCAAAATTCAAGACTCCACAGATGTATGGCATGCAGAGGTTATACTCCTCACAAGCCAGCCGCCTTGACTGATTGTAGGGCCTGAAGGACTTTGCGGTGCACGACACCCCTGGACCTCTGACTCATTATTCAGACAGGATCCATGGCAATTGACATGGATGGAATTCGAGATAGGCCAGCGCCCAGTGAAGATATACACCGGCGCTCAAGGTGGAGAGCCCGGGTGGGTGATATCAGCTAAGGATTTGTATGTCAGGATTTGTATGCCATCCAAAAGCGCGGCAAACAAAGCAAAAACACAATTCTCGCAAATGGGAGATGTAGCTACACATTCAACTGTCCTCCATTTGAACAGAGATATGGTCATGATGATAGTTCTTACAATTGTAGGGTTGTCAATCCAGTTTGAGCAGCCTTGCTGTCATCGCAGTCACATCGTCGAACATGAGCGGCGATGACTTTTGCAGTGGGGCAGCAACTTCGTTGTGTTAAGGTTCAGCCGCGGCTGGGTGCAGTTTGATGCTGGGTTGCCAAATCATCGGTGTGTGCTGTGGACTATCGACAGTCTTTATTCTTCATCTCTTACGACAGAGAACTCTTCTCTCTCTCTCCCTTTTTTTTTTTTTTTTTTTTTTTTTTTTTTTTTTTTTTTTTTTTTGGGTTTGTTTGGCCAGACCAACAGGCGCAGTGCGACCGAAGCCGGATATGCCCGGTACGAGGATGCATTTATGCTTGTCAGCTGGTAAAGGGAATTGAGAGTCGGCACCTTACTCCAAAGCAGTGTAAGATCTCAACTGGTGAAAATCTCGTTTCTCTCCGTTTATCACTCTATGGCCGGGGTGGCATCGACTGGAGATGGATGCGGTTGTCCTCGTAGAGTAGCCATGCGAAAACACGTCTTTGTGTTTCGCGGCCAATGTTACATCTGTTTCTGGAACAGAGTGACAGAGGCGCACCCGGCCCTTGTTGATGATGGACAGGGATACAGGAGGAGGTGCAGTTGAGAAGGGGTGTGAGGGGTAACTCTGTACGAGTAACCAAGGGCTCGATTTCCGTTAGCGAGCTGATCGCGCAGGGTCCGAACAAAGTCGACGGGCCGGCGACCCCGAGCTGTTGCTCTTCGCGACCCCGCCGTGGACACGGGCATGAAAGCGATCGTCGTGGCCGGGCGTCGTCCTTGGTTGACGTTTCGGGAGATCAGCGCCTGCTGACTAAGGATCGTCGCTGGGTCGGGCAAAAACAAGAAGCAACGTCCATTTTCCATCCGGCCGTTGGACAAACCGCTTCTACATCATCATCCATCTCCATCATGTCGGAATGCTGCAGAATCTGCAAAACCCCCCATTTGATAATATCGGCCACATCAAGTAGCCATTCTTCGCTCAAGATATTCCATACTGACTGCGTGTCCCACTCCCTAGTTCGCGGACCCTGCCTCTCTGCAAATGAGACCTGTCCCAAATCCTACCCGGTTAACGGCCAAAATGAAATATTTCTGTCCTTGACGAATAGTTCAAGATTACATATCATGCCACCTTTAAACCAATGCCGTTCTGGGCGGCCGACTCACAAATCAACATGTTTGGCTGGGCGATGTTCTCGTCCTTGCATTTGGCACCAAAGAGCGCCTAGCAGGGTATCCCTTGCTAGTGGCTTCTATTATGCACAGTCTCTGGAGTATTGCCAACAATCTTCGTATTAAGCGTGCAAAAAGCAAACGAAACCCATTACTTGCACCACAGAGCTTTCCATCCATGAGTGCATGATATGCACCAGCATGCACTCATGATTTGTCTCTGCGCTGGTCTCCCTGGTTACGAGTACGACCATGGCGGGTCCTCCCCCCTCCCGCCTTGGATACCTTGAGGCACACCGCTGACGCGACATCCATCATCCCGTAGAGAGCACCAGCTCGCTGCGGCTCTCTGGTGGTTGGGGAAATTCCCGGCTGTGCATGGCAGAGAGCCCTTGCAACTCGCGACTTACCCGGCCATGTGGTCCCATGTCCGTCCTCCTTAGCGGTTTGCCATTTTCGTTCAGGGCATTGCCGAATTGGAAGTGACCAGACCTGCTCCTGGTTTCTCTCGGAAGGCGGATTGAGCCTCGATTTCTCTGTAACTCGAGGCGGGGAGGGAGTGGGGGGTTGTTCTCCCTGCACATCCTGGTCGCTGACTTCGCAGCTCGATTTCCGCATATACTCTGCCCAGACACCCTTTGAAATTCTCAAGTTCTTCCCTTTGCTGTTGTTTTTGTTCCTTTTGCTTCATGACCTCTTGACTCTCGTGCCTGTTGCCTCCCACTTCCTTTTCTGCGCTCTGGCCGTGTCAACTTTCTGTCAGCCGGCGCCACGGCTATCTACTCACCCAGCGTCCATCAGGCGACCGTGAGGTTCACCAATTGCCTCGCATTATGAGGTTTTTTCGTTCCTTCCTCCTTTTGAGCGCGCCGCTCTACCCTCAAGCTTACGGGCAAGGCGAAGCGTATACCCCAGTCCTCGAGAGTCATGGCTCTGGGTCCCAGGTTCCTTCGACGAGGAATAGCTCCCTTCCAGCCTCCACGGACCTGCCATCGCCAACGCAGATTGAAGATGTAACATCCTCGGCTGTTTATGCAAGTCGACCAGCAGATGACAGTGACTCGGTGAGATGTTGCAAATGCAAACCCCAGGGCAGAAACAGAAATGAAGTTATCAGCGCTCTAACATTCTATACAGCTTGAGGTTTACTGTCTTCATTCCAAATGCTATACATCTACAAGACTGATCACAAGAACTTTCTCATGGCCCACCCACTGGCCCAGTAAATATCCCGAACCACCCTGCCACGACCCATGGTGTTGGTGGTGGAAGACTGTCACAAAGACTATTGTCAAGACAGAAACCGCCACAGAGGTTGTCACAGAGATCACTACAGATATTGAGACTGAGACTGTCACTGTGCCCGTCACTGTGACAGATGAGGAAACACTCACCTTGCCCCAAGATACCATCACTCTTCCCCCAGAGACCATTACTGATGTTACTACTCTTCCCCCCGAGACAACAACTGAGGTGGTCACCCTGCCTCCTGTCACAAGCACCATTACCACTACACTTCCTCCTGATACAGTGACAGTTCCCGGTGGGGTAACTACGCTTCCACCGCGAACAATAACTGTGACAACAACTTTGCCCGCAAGCACAGTGACTAGAGTCACCACGCTCCCGCCCAGAGTATCTACAATCTATCAAACAGTCTCTCACACAAAAACAATCCCGGGAACAGACCGCACTGTGACAAGAACAGTGGATTACATTTCGATCTGTCCATCACGCACATTGAACCCAACTTTTACTCCAACTGCGCCAGTTCCATCACATTATATTTGGGGTTGTCCACCGGGCACTCTTTGCAGGCCAAGGCACGGCCCCGAAGACGGTAACTGTAACTTCGAAGTTGGTCTCCCTGGCGCAGACTTTTTTTGCAGTCCGGAGGAATGCGGGCCGCCACTGCCCGAACGCCCGCCACAATATTGGGGTGAACCAGTGTTTGGAACACAAGTTGAGAAATATGTTGTTTCCCCGGGTTATTATTACCTTGATCCTCGAATGTTCGGCCTCGATTTCGATGTATTTGTGTTCGATAATACAACGAGTGAATACAGTGAACACGGCTTACACAAGCGCCAAGGTGACATTCAGTTACCTTCTAACTGCATGGACGAGTGCAGTAATGTGGCCCTCCCCATCCAAAGCGGGATAAGTCGTGATGAGCTTTGTCTTATCGGCTCCGATTTCCTACAGTTTGTAAGCGAGTGCAGGGACTGCATTGACCTTTTCGCCGAACCCGGCGGTGGCACATTCCCGGATATCCAACCTCAATTCGCGCAGTTCCTAAATTATTGTGAGCAACATCCAGGCGAATCTAGCGTCAGCCCGGAACCACAGCTTCCTTCAAGTACCACCCGAGACACCGGTTCGTCCACTGAGCCCTCAACTTCTGCTCCTACTTCTTCTTCTTCTTTCCCCTCTTCTTCCCCCTCTTCTGCTCCCCCGTCTTCGCCTTCTTCCTCTTCCTCTTTCTCTTCTTCGCCTTCTTCCTCTTCATCTTCCTCTTCTTCGCCTTCTTCATCTTCTTCTTATACACCTGATAGCTCTTCTGTTTCTACACGTTCTTCAGCGCCTGAGTCATCTCGGCCAACATCTCAATCAGAGACCACACCAGAAATGAGCACCACGGTCCCCACGGAACCTCCTTATCCAACAACGACGCCCACACAAACCACCGCTATGACTAGTCATCCCAGTGATGGGATTCCAATTCCTCCTTCTACTACGCCCATAGAATTCCCAGGAGTTGCGACAGCTATTCAGCCACTTCCATGGACCTCTCTCATGGGAAGCATAGCTGTAATGTTATTTGCATTTTTTTGAACTTAATATTTTATTGTGAATACCTTAATGTCCCCTCTACCTTGGGTCTCACACCGACGCATCTCTTCTGCTATGCCAGGCGATCTATCTTCCTCCGGCATAATGATGCATGCAACACTTGGTTGGCTTTAAATTGACCGGGCTTCAGTGGATCCTCTTCGTACACGCGCCCAAACCGAGTACATCCCCCACTTTCCCAGCCACTTCCTGTACTTAATATCATCACTTCCCTTGTTCCCTCCTGTATCAGTTACCTGGGTCAAACAGATTGCGATCCTCACTGCGTATTTAGAACGTGCCGTGTTTATGATTTCTGCGTGAAATTTCGAGTTTTCAAATACCTTGTATGAGCAGTAATACGACGTGCATGGCCCTTGCTTGGGGTGGTTATATAGCTTCTTTGCCAACATTTTTTGTAAACCAGGGCTTCTTGACCTCCTGAGAATTCATTACGGGTGTAAAAATGACGGACTGTCGCCTTTAAGGCTACGACCAGCCCGCAGGGCTTGTGTTTGATAGCAGCCAATATTCTCTTTTTGTCTACTCCGTACACGTTCTCTTCACCCAGGGACAACGTTAGTGACATGTATAGCAGATGGCACGGGGAACCCCAGAGGGTAGTTATGGTTCCTATATGCGTATGTTTAGTGTAAACATTCAGGGCCGGTGGTACCGCGAATGTATATGTGCAGGCGACATGCAGGCAGAGTCGAGCTTCACGTCCGAGTGCGGGGAAAAATTGCCGCAGTGGATCTTTGTTCCGAGGAGCTGGTCCTGGGTTAAACTCTTTGTTGTCCGGGGCACGAAAATGCTAGGGATGTCGACTGGCGTCTCTGTCTCAAAATGATTCGCGGCTGACATGGAGGGCTCTAGAGAAAAAGGGCCTTCAAAGTATTTTTCCATGCACACGCATTTCATCATTCAAGTAGGCTACGGAGTACGTATGTGTTTAATGTAGAAATTCGATCGTCATACTATTCCTAATAAGGACCGATCGAGGTCATTCTTCATTATAACCCCCCATAAGACCCTGTCCAACCAAATAGAACCTTAAATTTCCTTTAACCCCTACTCCATACTTCTTAGATATAACCTCTCATAAGGATTCCTTTAATACCTTGTAGTAAATCTTCTCCTAATGGGGTGTAACCGAGCAGAGCCTTAGGAAACCATCAAATATCGACAGGCTACCTTGTCACACATCGACGGCCAAGTGTTTTTTATGCCTTTTAACAACTTCCTTCTCAAGCTGCTTGAGGGCAGACGCGTATCGTTCTCGTAAGTCACTATCAGTGGAAGGTTTGATGGTCATCCTTTTGACAGACCGACAACCTCTGTCCAACGCACCCTTGACGATTTCATTTGAAAACCATCGCCCTTCGTTATGAGCGACGAGCGTCCATGCCACTCCTCTCCGTCCAGCGCGAGCTGTCCGACCCACGCGGTGGATATAGCTGGTTACACTCGTAGGTACATCATAGCTGATAACATGATCTAACGCGGGGAGATCAAGCCCTCGGGAAGCACGATCGGTAGCGACGACGACCCGGATTTTGCCTTGCCGGTATGCGGCCATGGTCTTTCGGGCTGTGCTTGACTTGTTGGATTTAACTAGAACCCCAATACAATCAGCGAAAGAGGGACTTAGGAGCGCAAGAAGACGAGCCAATCGCAACGCAGACTCTGATGATTTTGTGAATATCAACGCGGAACGCGATGAAGCGGGAATGTCCGGCAGGCTGTCGGGAGAGCCAGAATTTGAAACTGTGGAGGGCGCAGGATAAGAATCATCGTCTGATGACTCTTCGGAGCCTGAAGGCGAAGTAGCAGACGGCCTGTCAAGCCTAGGTAGATCAGGTATGGGTCCCTGGGCCTCAATGTTTAAATGAGAAGCCATCAGCTCAAGCAAGTAGAGCGGCTTGTCAGATCCGTCTCCCACCGGCACAAACATCTCATTTAACGTTGGAGGGAGTTGATAGCCTTCAACCCAGGTGTTAGGAGGCCCTGTTAGCAATGACGGCAACATTCCTTTGCTGTTGTCGAGGGCGCGGACCTCCACAAGTTTGGGATTTATCAACCGCAGTGAGTTCAGCTTCGTGATGTCTCTTGTCATCGTGGCGCTTAATATTATCTTCCGAACGGTCTGCTCTTTAGGTAAGCTGCATAAATCTTTAGGGACCGGATGGGCATCATCGTTGCCTTTTGATTCTACCGCCTGAAGCACAGTCTGAGACCATTCCTGAAAGCTCTCATTTAGTAGCTTATCAGCCTCATCTATGACTAGCCATTTTAGATGCTTCAAGGTAAATCCCTTGGTGGATCGGATGTGATCTACAAGGCGCCCAGGGGTCGACACCAGGATATCGATATTTGGCGAAGTCTTTGCAAAGTGATTAGGCAGAGCGCCACGGCACTCCTTGACTTCAGCTACATATTCTTGAAGATCAAAATTCGTCCAGTCGCTGACAGTCATGACAGAACTAAATTTCCCCTTCCAAGCTTGAAAATTATAAACCTGCTCTTGGCCCATCAGCGCTGACTGTTCATCCTTTAAAGCCGTAGACCCCACAGCAGTTCCGATCCGCAAGCCTGTGCCTGCAGCGCAAAGTTCACAGGTGTTTCGGGCTTGCTTCACAAGTTCACGCGTTGGCACGATGATTAAACCTCGTAATTGACTGACGGGTGATGGTTCAATCGTCGAAATAAGAGGAAGGACGTAGGAAAGGGTCTTCCCAGATCCTGTGGCGGCAGAAATACAGATATCTCCCCTATGCTCGCTCTTCAAAGCCAGTGGAAGGACAGCTGACTGGACGGGCATCGCCTTAGAATACCCTTGGCTTTGGAGGGTAGAGATTTGTTTCGGGTGGAGTCCAAGCTCTGTAAAGGGTAGATGAGTATCAGGAGAGACCACAACTGGGTGCGCCAGCCATTCCGGGAGGGTTGCGTAGGAAGGCTGCTGGGAGTGTTCCGGCGCCTGCGCCGGCTGCGGCAAAGGTGTAAGACCATGTGTAGAAATCTCTTCCGCCAGTTGATCGACTGGTTCCAGATCAGGCCCCGGTTCCTCAGCAGCGGAAGCCTTGGGTGCTTGAACTGTGTATCTTTCATACTTGGAGAGGATTTTTGCGTGCTTCGCTGGCGGTGCGGCTTCCACCACCGTGAGATCGTCGTCGGCCATCCGTTTCCTTTTCGGCTGTTTCGATTTCGTCTGTGTGTGGCTGGGAGAGGTTTCAGGAGAGCTTAGAGCAGGCGAAGGTTCTTCATCCGCCTCATGAGACCCCTGTGCTCTGTGTTCGCTTTGGCCTGGCGAATCGGCCCTCGAAGCCTCTGAGGTGGGACTGGTCTCCATCGGCGACCTCGCACGCCGTACGCCCCCCGTCCCATTGGCATCACGACTCTTCTTCTTTTTCTCGACAGAGCTCGTATTTGAATGGCTTTCCGGGTTGATCGAAGGTTCCGGGCGAGAGGAATTGTTGGGAACCCTTGATTTCTTCTGCGGCGATCGAATTGCCGGCGGCGCCGCATTAGCATGGCGGGAATCCTCCTTGTGCTTCGAGGATTTGAGCAAATCTTCTGATTTGATGGAAGACAGCGAGGTTGGGGGTATATAGCGAGCGTAGAATGCCATCTTTGGGATGTCTGGATGGAACCCAGCTCTGGAGACGTGAGAAGCACCTTGCTCTCTCTCGTCGTGATTTTGGGTTGGACGGGGAAATTCTCTGGGTTGAGGCAGAAAGACACACCGCCCTTCCAAACTCAATAATTAACCAGTTAAGTAACTGACTGACTGCATTTTGAGTTGAAAGCTCCAGGCTGGCCAACCCAATATACGTTGCTTCGCACAACCCCCTCGAAGAACCGCGAGTTTCAACGGTATCGCCGGGCCGACAAAGCTGGAGCTCGACTGGAGGCCTGGCACGGTTCTCCTTAGCTAACTGCGCCTTTCAGCCTCCGGCCGTAAGAGGGGTGTGAGAAGAGGATCTGTGACGGACGGCTCAGTTCAAGCTATCTCCATGCCGGCCATGACCTTTCTCGCCTCCGTGGAACCATCACCAAAATGCCTTACAACATTGCGTGAGTGCGACGAAATGCGAGAATTGCCTGATGCTGAATTCTGACGACCCTGTAGGATGATAAGCGACTTCTTCTTCCCCCAGCCTGGTAAGGATCGGGCCTTTATTTTTATTTTATTTTATTTTATTTTATTTTTTTTTTTGCAAGTTATTGATCAACGACTTGCTGATATCCCTATTTAGGCGGAGTGGAAAGTCACATATACCAACTCTCGACGGTGAGCCTGGAATTTAACCTAGTCTTCACGCTCTCGACTCATTGGACCGGCAGAAATTGATTGATCGGGGACATAAAGTGGTTATCGTCACTCATGCATACAAGGGGCGAACCGGAGTACGATACCTAACGAACGGCCTGAAGGTCTATCATGTCCCTTTTTTTGTCATCTACCGAGAGTCCACAATGCCGACGGTATTCTCCTTCTTCCCCATGTTCCGTAATATCGTCATTCGAGAACGGATAGAGATCGTCCATGCCCACCAAAGCCTGAGTAGCTTCTGCCACGAAGCAATCCTCCATGCAAGAACCATGGGTCTGCGGACAGTTTTCACAGACCATTCGCTGTATGGATTTGCAGACGCCGGCTCTATACTGACGAACAAGCTCATAAAGTTTACGTTGAGCGACGTTGACCATGTGATATGTGTTAGCCATACTTGGTACGCCAGTACAGCAGCCTTCATTGCTCTACGGACCCTCCTACTAACCATCCGTTTCTAGCAAAGAGAACACGGTGCTTAGGGCCTCTTTAGACCCACTGATGGTGTCGGTCATTCCGAACGCGCTGGTGCCTGAAAACTTCCGGCCGTTGCGTTATGCCGACCGTCGGGATGATCGAGGAGAACAGGTTCTGAGATCCGCACCACGGCTCTTAGGTCCCGATGACACGATCACCATCGTGGTTGTTTCCCGTCTCTTCTATAATAAAGGAACGGATCTTTTGATTGCAGCAATTCCAAGAATTCTCGAAGCGCATCCTAACGTGCGCTTTATCATTGCGGGAAGCGGGCCGAAGGCAATTGATCTCGAGCAGATGCTGGAACGGAACGTACTCCAGGATAAGGTAGAATTGCTGGGGCCTATCCGCCACGAAGAGGTTCGGGATGTGATGATTAGAGGCCATATATACCTTCACCCCAGCCTGACTGAGGCTTTTGGTACCGTGATAGTTGAAGCCGCGAGCTGTGGCTTATATGTCGTATGCACGCGGGTTGGAGGAATCCCGGAGGTCCTGCCCCAACACATGACTACATTTGCCAAACCTGAGGAAGACGACCTCGTGCAAGCCACAGGGAGAGCGATAGCCGCCCTTCGGTCGAATAAGGTGCGTACCGACAGATTCCACGATCAGGTCCGGATGATGTATTCGTGGACGGATGTGGCTCGGCGTACGGAACGTGTTTATAACGGCATATGTGGTGCAATCAGTGAAGAAGAGTTTTACGGTTACCTCCCCGGCGAGAGCTGGACAGGAGCCCGGGGCCGAGAACATAGTTTCGCACTCATTGATCGTTTAAAACGATATTATGGGTGTGGTATCTGGGCTGGTAAACTCTTTTGCCTCTGTGTTGTTATTGATTTTCTCCTCTACGTCTTCCTTGAATTTTGGATGCCTCGCACCAGCATCGATATCGCGCGGGATTGGCCGAAGAAGGTTAATCATGAACATGGGCGACATCGGACAGGGCAAGCCCCCTTTAACAGTTCTAGCGTGCGTTCTCAGGATTCTTGACGAAGAAAAGAGAACCCTTCCAGCTACGCTTACTCTGTTGATCTGCTACTCACCAGCCTTGTTCGTTTCGAAGGCTCCTGGAGCTACCCAGACGCCCCGGTCAGTCTGCGGATGTTCGTGGGAGGCGCCTATTTTCGAGCCGCCGCACGATACATTTCTTCCTCGTTTTCTCTCTGATGTTATCTTAGAACCGGCTTTCCGGACATTGATACCCCTTTCATACGCATATCATCTTTTGTTCAAAAAAAAAAATCTTACAAGTGTTGCAAAACAACTGTGTTGACGTCGAATATAGAATTCTCATACAAATAATCATTAATATTCTGTACAATAATTCACATACAAGCTGCCCGCTATAGTCCGGGTGCACTGGTTGGCTCCCGTTGCCCAACCAGACATCCCACTCTTACACTCGATGCCTGTGTTTAAGATGAGCTGCTTCTCCAGTGGAAGTTGCACCAGTGGGAAGATCCAATCTGAAAAAAATAGTTGAAGAGCTAGCGTAGCACCTGCCAAACCCTGACTCTGCTCCCCTTGAGGCGAGGCTGTCGTTCTCTTAAGAGCATTCAAGACGGATATACTCATTAACTGGCTGATGAAGGCGAGGAGCTCTGCAGTAACACATGGCACACTGGTATTTCCGGCCTTTGCGTGAAGGGTGGAATGTCAGGACGCTGTCAGGAGGCCATACATAAAAAAAAAAAAAAAAAAAAAAAAAAAAACGAAAAAAAGAGATATTATGTTCAACAAAGGTTGAAGTAGCATATCTCCTCCATTTGCAACTATAGGATTACTCTATCTGCTGAAGGAAATCAGTGGGCTGACAAAAGAAGCTCCACTGGAGGCTGGCTGGTACAAAGAAAAGCAATCAACGCCTGGGTATATTTATATTTACTACTATCTCATCACCGGCGGCCTCGTCTCTTTATTCCACCTCACGCGGCTGCGTACCCATTCCACGGCTTCCCGGACTCCAGCGCCCATGAGAGCGCTGACGGGCAAAACTCTGCTGTCTCGCACACCACCGCCTTCCTCACCCTCGAATACCTTTCGCACGAATCCCTCTTTGATACGGACCACCTCGACACAGTCCTCCCTATCCTGCTTGTTTGCGAGAACGAGGATGGGTACGCCGATGGCATCAGAGTGCTGCAAAACGGATTCCAGAACCTGCCGGCACTCGTTGAGCCGACCAAAGTTGCCCGCGGGGTCTATGGCTTTCAGTCGTTCGTCAGCGGGTTCGGGATCATGGGCGGAAGGATCCGATGCTTTCGAGGAGCCCAGACGAGAGACGTCCGCGTCGTCCCCGACGTCAGCGCTGTCGACGACGAAGATGATGGCGTGGCAGCTGGTGTAGTAGCTCTGCCACAGGCCTCGCATGGAGATCTGGCCGCCGACGTCCCAGATCTTCAAGTACATGTCCTGCAGAGGAATGGTGGCGACATTCTGCCCGACGGTGGGGACGGTCCTCCCGACGTCTGATCTGCGGGGGTCATCGGTGTTTGGGGAAGGGAGGTAGAGGGTCTTTATCTGGTTGAGAAGCGTGGTCTTTCCGGCGTTGTCCAGGCCGAGGAGGAGGACGGAGTATTCTGGAGCGAGTCAGGATGGCGAACGGGAGGACCTGCATGGGGGGTGGGGATTTTTTCCCCCCCTCCCCCATAAGATAATCACTCACCTTCTCTACTTGTAGCATAAAAGTAGAGTGACTTTGCTAGATGGTACATTCTTCTTCTTAAAGTGGAGGCCGGAGGGTCATGGCATCGGTCGCTGCAACACCATCGCTCTCCCTGCCACGGTGCGCGCGGGGAGGAAAGGAAAGCCGAGCGGCACACCACGGAGAGTCAGCTTCCACGTCTTTCTGCAAGTCCCTAGGATGAGCTGATCTCCACCCCACTGTCCATCAGACACGGAAAAAGAGGAATACGATGAGCGGCTGGATCAGCAGCTCGCCGACCGGGTTCCCGTTTTCTTTTTTTTTTTCTTTTTTTGTTTTTTTGGGTCCCTCCTGGATTTTCACACCAGCTGTCTTCGTAACGAACTATTCCAATGGACAGTTTGATCCTCGGCGAAACCGTTGCTCCGACGACCGAGGGATTTGTCAGCGTGATTCTGTTAACTAGTTAACTAGTTTATTAGTTTAACTTAGTTAACTAGTTTAACTAATTTAGTTAGTTAGTTTACGGAGAACATAAGTTAATAATAGAAAAAATTCATTGGAAAAGAAAAAAGTTGTTAGTTAATTAGCTACATTTTGCTGTATCGCCAAAATAAAGAAGAGTTGCACCTGAAAAAGTGACGGATCTTCGATTAGAAATCAAATATCAATTGCATTTTTAAGCTTCTCCCCCGGTCTCCATTCTATCCCGAGACCAAGGAAAAAGAGAAACCATAAAAAAAGACGAAGAGAATTTTTTTGGGAAGTAAAAAAAAAAAAAAAAAAAAAAAAATCAAAATCGTGAGGAGATGGCTGTGAACCCCACATGTCCCAGAAGTCCCAATTTTTCTCCAATTCTCCCGACCGATGATGGAGGAAGCGCTGTTGCTTTCCATCTGCCCATCTCCTCTGTCTGATCTTTTTGTTTCCATTGACTCGGAAGCGGAGCGCGCCTGAAGAGTCCATACATTCTCCTCGCTCTCTCTTTCTCTCTCTCTCTCTCCCCCCCCCCTCCCCGCTTCGCCCCGCGCATCCTTGCATGACCTCAACCACCCCCCAGAACATGTGATGGCGAGCAGCGCCTAATCAATGGCTGCAACCGCACCTGAACCGTCGTCCACCGACGTGGTCATCGTGGGTGAGTCGATGCAGACACGCTGGTCTTTGACCTCTGCCTAACGCATCCATATCAAGGTAACGGGCCATCCGCACTTCTGCTATCGTACATCCTCCATGGAAACATCCCATTCTACAACCCGCGGACCCCCCATCCGGACCCCATCCTCCACGAGAAGCTGAAGGATGCGCCTAAGCTTCTCGACCTGGATGTCGACAAGTTGACTGATCATTTCGAGGCCTCGCGGTTCTCGTACTCGACCCAGGCTCTTCCGCTCAACTCGCTTCTGGACTCTCTCGCACGTCCCAACGCAGACACGGATGAGACAGAGAGGAATACTTGCCTGGAGTGGCGCCATTTGCCAGAAGCAGCTGTTCCCCACGTGGTCCTAGGAGACGCCCCCCGCCCCGGAGGGCAATGGACGGAGTGTCCAAAGCGGACGACATGGGACATCCAGTCCCTCAGTTATGCGGGAATGCTATCCCTTCCAGGATACAGTTTTGCAGAGTATCATCAAGACCGCTTTGGATCAGAACTGCCTCCTTTCACGCGGCCTTCGAGGCGGGAGATAGCTGACTACTATACCGCCTATCCGGCTGCAGTCGGGATTTCCGACTCCGTCAGGTCCGCAGAGACCGTCGCAAACGTCTCCCGCACCGATAGCGGATTTTATATTGCATCGCACAACCTCAGTTGCAAATTCCTTGTCTTGGCATCGGGGATCTTCACAGAACCCAAGCCAGCGCGGCCACTTCTCCAGCCGCTCCTTGATATCCCAGCCTCACTCGCTACCCAGCCAGCGGCCAGAGACCCCCTGTTGGTGATTGGATCAGGGTTTTCCGCCGCAGATGCCATTATTTCCGCTCCCAAGGATCAGAAAATTATTCATATCTTTAAATGGGATGATAAAAGACCCTCACCGCTAAAGGCCTGCCACCAGCAGGCATATCCAGAATATGCTGGTATATATAGACTCATGAAGAGGAGTTCTTCGGCCAATTTGCGAGAGCCCTCTGATGGGCGCGAACGGTCATGGCTTCGACCGGCAAGCCTGACTCCTTTCTTGAAAAGTAGAGAGTGGGCCAGTATCTACGAGGGCTTGCCCAATACATTGGTGACAGATACAGGGTCAAATGACAAAGGGGCAGTTGTTACGCTGCAGCTCCAGGATGGTACGATCTTGCAACGTCAAGTCTCCGGGTTGGCATACGCTGTCGGCCGCCAAGGCTCACTGGAATACCTTGATGAATCCGTCAGGAGCGAGGTCATACCCGGTGACGATAAGGACAGCATCACAACAGGGTCGATATCCGCGTCAACTCTCCGTAATGCAGCCCTGGCGGACCTGGAAGTTGCGCGGAACATTTTTATCATCGGAAGCCTGACTGGCGACTCTTTGATTCGCTTTGCGTATGGAGGATGTGTGTATGTGGCCGGGAAGCTAGTATCCCGTGAAATCCGCAAAGACAACGGCTTCAGGGCTCCTTGTCACCGAGAACAGCCAAAACATATGAAATTTCAACCTGATGGCTTGATGAATGGTCTCGATGGCCACAATGATATGCATAATGACGATAATAGACAATACCATGATGTTTTGCCGGCAGGATCGCCGGACATCCAATCCCCCCGGTTTCCAGGACTGGTGTGGGCGAAAGGGAAAAGCTGGTGGAACGTTTTATTCTCATGGTCGGGTTAACCGCGATCTCCGTTTTCTCCTTTTCCCCCCCCCACCACCTTCATTTCTCCTCTGCCTTATTCTTTAGCATTTCTCTCTCTTTTCTAAACAATATCTGTTAATTGCGTTCACAACTCCCGCGATAGAGATTTATATTTGGCTGGTCGTCCCTTTGATGTCGCGCGCACCCCATGTACATACATACATATATGCGTGCATATGAATGTCACTAGAAGCGGAAGCAATTTGCTCTAAAATCTTCGGGTTAACTCGATGACCCCCAATTCCGCAAAGACTGAGAGTTCTCAAAAAGCGAAATGTTGGTTGAAAGAGAAAAAAAAAAAAAAAAAAAGTATCGAATCATCGAATCTGGATTCTGCTCGAATAAATAATTATTTGCAATCCAAAAAGGTTGAAACTATATAAAATTCTACTTTGTGGGAGTTAGTGTTTTCCAGGCTCCAGACCTGCTCACCACCGCGTTCTGCAAATCAGCCCGCGTCCGTGCCTGGTGGGCAAACAACCCCATCAGTGCTCTTTTTCTGTGACCAAGCTTCTGATGAAAGGACCTTGTCATTGTTTGCTGTTCCGATAACCTGATAAGGAATAGTTATTTGGCCTTCCTTTGAAAAGAAGAACAGACCAACAAACCATACCACCACTGACCTCTTCCTCACGACTGAAGCCTAAGTTGTCCTAATGGCCTCCAACGCCGAACCCAGCTCCCCCGGAATAGATCGCGAAACCACCACGCCATTTCACCTGAAGCTATTCTATCGCCAAAATTCCTTTCATCACCTCTCCGATTTTCCGATCCCTTCGTCGTCCGGTGGGACCTCCGCTCCTCCGCTCCCCCCACACCTTCAGATCTACACATGGTACTCGTGCTCCCTGCGCGAGCTAACGCATCTCCTCACGTCATGTCTCCCGTCGCTGCTGCCTGACCCTGTTGTCGGGACGCGTCTTAGCTTTAGACTGATATATCCCGACAGCAAGGGCCAATTCGTGGGCTTTGGTGGCTCCGGTGCGCCAGGCGCTCATGACGAAGGGAGAGGGAGGTACCTCAGCAAGGATATTGGGAGTGTGATCATCGGCCCCAAAGCGGATACAGGAGGGAAGGATTCGTCTACGGAAGTTGATAGCAGTAGGCTACAGGGTGAAGATGCCGATCGCACTTTGCAAGATGTGCGGTTCATCATCGGTGACTACGTCGAATGTGCCATCTTACCTCCGCTTTCAGACGGGTCTGTCGCCCCACCAATTTCGTCAAGAAGCATAGCGGGAAGCTCAGCCGTCGGTGGCGGGATGCGGGCGTTCCCACCTGTGAGAGAGAACGGGTTTGGGCGTCCAAGAGCTCTAGGTGGTGGGATGGGACGAGGAGGACTAGCAAGCATCCCCAGCGGCGAATGGAGGAGGGGAGAACGCATTCCAGATAGTGGAGGAAGGGCTTACAGTCGTGGACACCTGAGAAATCGAGGGCGACCGTATTGACACGTTGACGACTTACCTATCTGGTGATTCTGGGAGATAATGGTCCAGTGGACACCCGAATCTAGCATCTCGTCTGATTCGTGAATGGATCCTCGATTGTGGAAGAAGGATTGGCCGGTGAAACCAGCAGACTGAATGGGATCATGAACAGACTGATGTCGGAGGGGAAGATCGGTTGATTACAGAAAGGAATGTGATGCTACGAACGGGGAGAATGGTCGCCTGTAAGCTAATATTGAAAATTGTTTTCATTCCATACGAAACTCTGTAATGACTATTTTAATGCAAGCCGACTCAAAAGTACAAGCATGTCGTGGAGTCCTGTCCTCCCCTTCGATTGTTTATCCACCGAGTAAGAAAACATTGCGAGCGATTGTCGTCGTTTGCGGAAGGATCTATGATTGCTGAATTGCAATGTAATATACAAGGAAGCCCACAAAGCCACATCCCGTCTACCACTCCGCAATGGTGTCACCCCTTCGCTTGCCCCTCAAGTCGTATTTTCCCTATAGTTCAAAGGCGACCGCATCAGCACACGGGGTTGGATTGACTAGAATTCAGCTCGATTGCTATCTTCAGCCAAAGAACCACGAGACTCACATCTGTCTTGTAACCAATGTATCCAATGATTCCGGGCACGAGGGCCATGTAGCAAAACGAAAGCCAGGCTGTTCTGGGCGTCCACCGGAAGTACTTGTATCTGTTTTTATTCGCATCTAGAAAAAGGAGAGTTGTGGTCTATTAGTTGATCAACCGGGGAGAGGCTTTGGCGATCGAGGGCGTACCATAGTATTTCTGGAGGGCGGGGTCCAGATGAAGATCTGCAAGAAAGGTCAGCAGGGCGCAGATAACATGCCACCGGTGGCAATTTAAGGAGCATACTCGAAGGGCCGGCCATTGTTGCTGCTGGATTTCACTTCATCGAACGTCGATCGAGAGCGAGCATTGTCGGCTTTGAGCCCGTCGCCGTTTCGCTTCAAATGCCGCAGAGGGGCTTGGCGCTGAGTCAGCGTGACACCGCCAGGAGTTCGACGATGGCTGAATGGTCCGGATTGAGCCCTAAACTGCGCCAGCTGCCATGCTTCATCTATGCAGTGGCACACAGAACTCTTTTTGACTATAAATGTATATATATCATATGCCTTTGGTCTTTACACAGAATCGTCTGTCTAAAGATCCCAGAAACTAATCGTCCAAAAGCTTCCCCATTCCATATTGCTTTTCGCATTCCCCCAACACAGCCATGGCCTCTAACCAGGATGTCAAAATAACACTCTACTGGTGCGAACACCTTTTCATTTGATTTGTTTCGCGAATATCCGATTCTCTGAGACGTTAGGTTCAGGCTTGAAAACTCCCGTGCACAGCGGATTGTCTGGCTGCTGGAGGAGTTGAGGCTCCCCTATGGGTTGAAGATGTTCAAGCGGATGAAGGACATGCAGGCCGACGCTCAGCTGAAAGAGATTCATCCTCTAGGAAAATCACCAGTTGTCACAGTAGAGACACCGTATACCCCGAAACCGCTGGTCTTGGCGGAATCTGGAGTCATAGTGGGATATCTTATCGACTGCTTTGGGAGCAAAGATACCCTTAGCCAATGCGAGCGATTCCGGCCAGGTTGTGACCATTCTGTCGGGAGGGAGTCGGAGGCCTGGATGAGAGAGCAATACTTCATGCATTATGTGGAAGGGAGCTTGATGCCATTCCTTCAGCTTGAGGCCGTTGTCTCCAGTGAGTGAATGGACCCTGCACGTCGAGGCCCGTTCACCTTCCTTCAGCTAATCACACGTAGACATTCGCAACGCCCCGGTACCCTTTTTCATTAAGCCAGTAACAAGAATGATATCCAACAAAGTCTACGAAGCCTACCTTGGTCCCAATTTGAGGAGACACCTGGATTTCTTGGAGGAACAAATCGAGTCGTCGCCAGAAGACGGCCGATATCTCTGTGGCAATCAGCTGTCCGGGGCTGATATCCTGATAGTTTACGCACTGGAAGTTGAAGAGGCAAATGGGCTTCTCAATCAGAAAGATTATCCGAGACTGACGGCATACCTGCGTCGTTTGCGAGAGCGTGATGGGTTCAAACAGGCTACTGCCAAGGTTGAATCAGCGGGCGGGAGTACGTCACCCTTACCTAGACAGTGATACTGATGCCATGGTTTCCCTCAAATATTCTTGTATATTCCCTTGCCTAGCTCACCGTTGTATATATCCAAGCCAAGCTCTCACCTCCAGCAGCTGTAACCAGACATGTGTACTTTGTACTCTGTAGTCCCCAAGCATGGTGTTGCTGACTAAGCGTTGTCATCCCGCCGACCGCCCGCTTGGACCCGGCGATGGCGATGGCAACGCGTCCAATTCTGCATGGCGATCGTGTGTACTCTGTACCCAGTATATGTATGTGTACATATAGTGTGCATAGGTTACTTTATGGATTTGCTGCTGTTTATCGATATCTCCACCTCCTAATCTTTCAAATCCCAGAAACCAAAGAGACCCGCCTTTCCCTTCACTGGGTCTCGTTGAACGGGACCTCCCACACTTTGTAGCTGACTCCCAGCCCATATCCCCGAATCAGTACGATCTTCTGGAGAAGTCTGACCATCAGCCTCCCGGCGGCGGACCTCCGTTATCGTGGGCGGTCAGTAGGACTCGCCATCTCTTAAAATCCCATGTCCTCGTCTGAATCTCCAGGATACCCCGCCCCAGCCCAGGGCCTAACCGCAGTCCTTCCCCTAGAGAAGGTGTTTCCAATTCAAATTGGGTCTGAACTGTTCAGGCTATCTGGTGCATCTATCTCCTCGGATGGTTAGTCATGCGCACTGCACGATATATCAACTCTCAACCCCGGCTCCATCCTTGCTGACAATCTTAGAGCACCCTCATACTTCTCCCAGTTTTTTGAGGAGCAGCTTCGACAGAATGGAGACAGTTCCGCCGTGAGAACGCTTTACATAGACCGGGATCCAGATACGTTTCGTGACATCTTAAAGCACCTTCAAGGTATGGAGTGCGAGCCGCAAGACGGCGAACCCCACCCCTCTTTGGAATGGCTGCGGAAGTGGAACGCTCTTTGATGCCTTTTTTTTCCTTTTTTCTGGGCAATTGGCTGTAGATCCAGCGCTCAACTAACATAAAGTTCGGTAGGGTATTACATACGGCCGCGGGATAATTCGCATTTCGTTAAACTGTTTGCGGATGCCCAATTTTATAGCTGTCAGTGCATCTAATCCCCCTCTAGTTTTATAGGTACCCCGAGGCTGACCGACACACTAGTACCGCGGTTGATATCCCAGCTGTTTGAATGCGAGATCTTCATCCAGATCGGGGACCGCCACTTTGAAATTCCACGCGATATATTCTCGAGTCCCGGCGACTCCCCTAATTTCTTCTCTCTGGGCTTTGCGGTTTTCTTTGCAACACCGGGAGAGGTGTTTCCCGGCCTGGAACGCCGAGGACTGCTTCGACCCCCCGCGATAACGCCTCCAATTGTGAGCAGTCGTTCTGGTGAAGTGTTCGCAGAACTATTGCATATGCTGCGAGGATATCCTATCCACATTCGAAGTGAGGAGCATCGAGCAGAGCTTTTGCGTGACTGTCGATATTTTCATCTGCGGGGGCTGGAGCAAAAGCTCATCCCTCACCACATCAGCTACAATATTGAGCGCCAGCGGTCAGAAATTGTGATCCGCCTTGAGGATATCCGTCCGTCTGGGGTGCAGGTTACTCCTGATCATCATGATCATCACTCTCCACAGAACCCACATGCAATGTTTGGTGGATGGGTGCAGTATGCTCGTCCATTTGTCGACGATAAGCATTATGAGCTGATTATTGAGATTGGCGGAGAGGACACACGGGTCGACTTGGCGACACAACGTGTTGAATTCTACGGCTCCACCGAAGCGAGGATGTCGAGTCTTTTACAGGTCATCGCGAACAAAACGAATCTCCAAGGCACGCTGAAAAAGGGAGCGGAAAGCAGGAGCAGGTCTAGCACACCCGGAAGCAGTTTACCCAGTCCGTGCGTCTTCATAATGCAACTAGACTCGGAAACAGATATTGTCCTAGACGGTGAACGCTATGAGCCACCGTGCAGCGGTGCAGCTTGGAATTATTCCCACGAAGAACCTGCATATACATCAAATTCTACTAGAGATGGCAGTGAGGGCCTTCGAAACCTGGGTGTCATCCAGACGGGACTCGTGGATATCAAACCGCCCAATCTCCAGCAGAGCGATGGGGGCGAGAGTCGCCAGTTAGGAAGCAGGGAAACGCGGTTTCACGCAGCGCTGGAGGCGACCATGCCCGATATGTATGCCCCTCCCGGCACGCAGATTCTGGCTGGAGAGCCTCCGCTTAAGCGGAAGCGAGGTGATAGTGAATACAGCGGCGGCGAGTGGACGGTTCACAAGGCGCATTGGAGATTGAGAGTACAGGCACGTAACGATGCGGGAGGTGTGGAGCTGATTCTCATTGCTCTCAAGTTGGATGGGTCTACACGGCAGCGGTCAAGGAACGTGCGCAGGCGATTTCTGGGCTCCGATTAGAGCAGGTTCTCCAAATGCCCGCGGCCAGCCAGCCAGCCCGCGATGCTGTTCCCGCTGCCTCTCCCCAGCGAGCGCTGACCGCCGTGGTGACGGGGCCCTTACGAAACGGTATTTGCTGTAATCATACCTGTAGTACAGTACGTGATGACGCCATCCGGCCAATCAGCTACACCCGATTAGGAGATAAGGTGTTGTATTATATAAGCATATTGTTACTTTCCTGGTTATCTAGCCAATCGCCGTTTGAGAATTGAGAGGTCGCAGCTCCACCGCCAGCAAGCTGCCAAATCAGGCTGTGTATTTTATTACCGTTACGATCGCCCGGCATTGTTACATCGATACCCCGTTTGCCAAGGCCGCGTTCTTTTTGCTTCAATCCGCCATCCCATCGACTTTCGCTCTCCTCGCAACCTCTCTCTTCGCTCACATCTCACATCTCTCACATCGCTTTCTCCTCCTCTTCTCCTCTTCCTCTTCGCTTTCGCGTCGACTCACTCAGCATCAAGGGCCTTTGTGCATCGAATCCACCGCCAGAATTGCCTTACATCTGAACTGGTCTCCGTAATAGTCCTGTTGTTCTTCCCCCTTCTCGCTGGACTGGTGATCTGATCACCCTGCCGGCTGTCCGCAGTCTCACTCTCCATCCGTATCGTCTTCCCGCCAACGATGCAAACCTCGAGCACCAACACTTTTGCTCCAGGTCAGATCTCTCCACATGGCAACCCTTCGCCCATAAACTCTGCCTCGGTCACGCCCGCAAACAATTCTCCCACATCTCCTCGGCTACAGCATCCGCATCTTCACCATGTTCATCCACAATCCAAGCAACTCCGTCCTCTGAAATCCCCTCTGTACGTGCCCGCCGTGCTGAGACCAACCGAACGCGCCTCGCGATCCTCTCCCTTGACGCCGCCACGGAGCGTCCATGACCTCTCTGAAGATAGCAACACTCGCCGACCACCTTCACTCTCGCGGCAGTCAACGGTGGAGAGCATGCGGAGCGAGGTCAGCAAGCTGGCTGAAGATGAATGGTTGAAGGATCAGAACCTTGGCCCCGTAACAGGTTCGCCAACCAGGGAGCATTGGAAGGTTAGTCACTGTTTGCCGAGCATCTTAATTGTCTGGGCCCCCTTGAAACCTCGGAAATTATGAGGCTCAAAAAATCGGAGAGCTCACCTGTTCACTCGATTCCTAGGCTGATTCCGCTTCTCCGTCTTGCGACTCCCCTGTCTGCAGATCTTTCTTTGGCCTGTTCAATCGCCGACACCACTGCCGTCATTGTGGACACGTCTTCTGTTCATCCCACACTCCCTACCTTGTCCCTCTTGACCAGAATGCCAGCTTCCATCCCGACGGGGTTCCATCCCGAGCCTGCGATCTCTGCTGGAGTGCTTACTGCCGTTGGGACCAAAGTCGAATCGATCAGCTAAATCAAATTCAGAGGGACTTGGCGGCTCAGCTTGAGCGATCGAAGAACGATGGCGCTACGTCCAGTCTGCCCAAGGAAACCGACTCCGATCATGCTAGTGTCGGCGATGCGGGTTTCCTCTCACCATCTATGGATCATCAAGACAGCGCAGTTGCTACCAGTGTCCCAAGGGATTGGAGCTGGAGCACGTTCTAATATTCCGTGTTCCTGGCGCGTATTCCGCTTCCTTTTCAATATGATACCCGTTTTTTTCTGTATTCTTTTCTTCTTCTTCTTCTTCTTCTTCTTCTTCTTCTTCTTCTTCTTCTTCTTCTTCTTTCTTCTTTCTTCTTCCTCTTCTCCTTTCCTATTTCTTTTCCTTTTCTTTTGGTCTCGCGCTTGAAGAGCACAATTCGAAACTCCAGGGTCCTCCGGTAGCCCCTGACGTTTCCATTGCTTATCCGATAGATTGTGTTGCGTTATGTACTTTTTTTTATCGTCGCCGTTTTATATCCCAGCCCACTGCTTCATCTTGTTGCCTTGATACCCGCTTTGACTTCTACGGATACATAGACCTGATCCCACGGTTTTATTTTATTCCAATCGACACTAGGCGGTCATTCGCCGCCTGCTCCTTTCTGCGTTGCGATCGAATATTATTTTCCCATTCTTTGCTTAGGGACGGCTACCCAGGATGCTCCGCATATGAACTCGGTTGATGATCGCCGTTATGAATAGAGTATCGATTCCAGATCTACTGGCCTGTTACAGGGTATGCACAGCCATTTGAGAGCAATGATTTTGTTAATATGTTTGTGTGAATTATATTCCGAATACACAATTTACATGAACGTGAAAACATATTTCATGGACCACCTTTCTCCTGGGGCATTGCTTAGATATCCCACTAGCATACAGAGTATGATGTGAAATAATATTTCCATTAGTGCTGGCTCTTGGGCAACAAACACATACTCTATTTGGAGTAATATCATTCTTCTTTTCATAGGCACTGAACTTATACAATATTTCCTCACGTCTTTTCTTTTCTACCCCCCAATCAACTCCCGCCCTTCTCTCTCCCCCTTTTCTCTCGCCAATCAAGAATGGCTCCCTTGCGCTCATCGGCGGTAAATCCCGTCCTAATTCTCAATCCGAGCTCGCATCCGCTGCTTGGTGTTTGCCTAGAAGTTAAAATCTCCTCCGGGGGAATTGGTAAGTGAGGTACCGAACTTTCACTTGTACCGTACTGTACATTATATCGAAAGTGCTTCTGTAGCCGGATTCTCTCGGTCTCAGCATAGTTCTGAATAACAAGCGCAACATTGTAGATGGTTTACGTACGGAGTTCAATACTAGTAACATTAAAATTATGCGATAACACTACGGAGTACTTTGTAGTTAATTAACTACTTACAGAGTACATCCGTACTCGATATAAATATGGGGGATTAGGGAATGGTTAAGGTGAGAAATAGATTTAAATGTAATTCTGTGGGTTTTGGTTTGAATTTTATATTTCACCAACTACATACTCTGTACTCCGTACTGACATCTGTATTTACTTTGCTTAGTCACACGGCGTGATGAGCTCAGGACACCGAGAGTTGATCTGTGCGCAACACAACGAACACACAGTGGGCAGAGGACCCTTCTTCGGGAGATAACTCCGAAATCGCCACACTTGACAAAAGGCGGGTTTAACCTCGGCGTTCGACATCTGTTCCCTCAAGCTTCTAGCCTCGTAGATGCCAAATTAGCAGCGCTCCCCGGCAATACGCACCTATCGCGTTGCCTGAACGGGCCGGCTGGTCAACCACGGTTTGCGACGAGTCATTTGCTCAATGAGAGAGTGGGGAAGAGGATCTGCTCCGATCCGTCTGTGAAAACTGATGCGGAACTTGTGGCTACTTGTCATACATTAATATAGCCGTGTGGGAGGAAGGACGCCCCAGCCATTCCCGTTGTTCAACCCCCGTCGTACTTCAATCCGTTCCACTGTGAAGATGGGTACTGCAACAGCGCAATCCGGACTTAGCAGCTCGGTCATGCACCGCGATCTGCACGCGGCCCCGAAACGCGCCGTGGGTGCTGAAGGCAACTATGTCATTCTCGAAGATGGACAGAGACTCCTGGACTCGACTGGTGGTGCCGCTGTCAGCTGCCTCGGCCACGCGAACGAGCAGGTAAAAGAGGCCATCAAGAAGCAAATGGACCAGCTTTCGTACTGCCATACAATGTTTTTTGCCACGGACGTCTTTGAGGAGCTTGCAGCGTTCTTGAAGGAGTCTACTGGCGGAAAAATGTCCAGATTATTTGTTGTCAGCTCTGGTATTACTCTATACCTACTACCCCTTCCAATGTCAATATGGACATTGTACACATAAATGCAAGGAGCGAGACGTTACTTGAAAGGCGGTGACTAAGAGCGAAACACAGGCTCCGAAGCCATGGAAGCTGCCATGAAATTGTCTCGTCAATACTTCCTCGAACTTCCCACTCCAGAGCCGAAGCGCACAAGATTCATTGCCCGGCAGCACTCTTTTCACGGCGTCACACTGGGTTCTTTGTCTATGGGTGGTCATGTTTTCCGCCGCGAGCTGTTCGAACCGCTTCTACTCCCAAACATTTCCCACGTTTCACCCTGCAATGCATATAGGGGCAAGAGAGATGGCGAATCAGATGCAGATTATGTAGGAAGACTTGCTGCCGAGTTGGACGCCGAGTTCCAGCGAGTTGGCCCCGAAACTGTGTGTGCGTTTGTTGCGGAGCCTGTCGTCGGTGCTGTAAGTAGTATTTGACATTTCCGTCATGGATGACCTCCACCTGATTGCCGCACTTTAGGCACTCGGCTGCGTGCCTTCTGTGCCAGGCTATTTCGCAGCGATGAAAGCGGTATGCGACAGGTATGGTGCCCTCCTGATCATGGACGAAGTGATGTCAGGAATGGGTCGCTCTGGAACGCTGCATGCCTGGGAACAAGAAGGCGTTGCGCCTGACATTCAGACCATAGGAAAAGGCCTTGGTGGAGGTTATGCTCCCGTCTCAGGTGTGCTGATTGGCAATAAAGTAGCTGAAGTTATGGATAAGGGAACCGGAGCATTCCGCCATGGTCAGACATATCAAGGCCACCCCATTGGTTGTGCAGCAGCATTGGCCGTCCAGAAGGTCATCAAAGAGCAGAATCTACTTCAAAACGTGAGAGAAATGGGTGCGCTGCTCGAGTCGAAGTTAAGAGAGTATATCGGCGATCATCCAAATGTGGGCAATATCAGAGGCAAGGGTCTATTCTGGGGTGTACGTCTGTTCAAACACTGGATCACTCTGGAGACTAACTTCTTTGTAGATCGAATTCGTGAAGGACAAGGCAACAAAAGAGCCTTTTGACCCCAAGCTTGCTGTCGGTGCGCGGGTTCAGAATACGGCTCTAACACCTAAGTATAGTTTCTCCATCTACGCTGGTGGCGGGACCATGGATGGAAAACGCGGCGATCACGTCCTTCTTGCCCCCGCTTATAATATTACAGCAAATGAGGTGGACAAGATTGCACGCTTAACCGCCGCCGTCATCGTTGAGGTGTTCAATGAGGTCAATGAGGTCAGCGCCTCCACGTAATGAAACTCTCCCTCAAGATGTTCATTTGAAGCTTCTGTCTGGATACACACACAAGTCTTGGCCGCGAATATCCTGAAGGAATACAAAACGATGAGCAGCATTACTGGCTCAAATAATCATCAAGCAGTGCTCTTTAAGATCAGTGAGATCAATGTGTAGCAGAGGTCAACTCAAGCCTAACCCTCAGACTCGACTTTTATGATTCCACCAAACACATCCACACCAAGCCGCCCCTTTCGCACTGAAGCCTTCACCGGGTTTGATGAGTTGAATATTAGATCAAGCTCTTCGAGCTATAATCGTAAAATCCACCATTAGTTCCTAGGACAAATGGCAAAGAACAAAGTGAAATATATAGAGACTTACCGTGCAATTCTTTGTTTCTGGAATGAAGTAGTATATAACGACGGCTTGAACAGCACACCATACACAGAAAATTATGTATGTATGCCAGCCAATTTTGTCCATAGCGACGGGCCAGGCAAATTGGTTGAGTAGCAAGGCTGGAGAGATCGGAAATCAGTCCAAAGGGCCTAGAAAGAGAGGGGATAAGACCAGATACCTACCAGCATTCAGCGCCAGATTCTGAAACGCCAGGCCCTTTGCACGCATTTCGAATGAAAGCACTTCGACTGGATATAAGGCTTGCAACGGTGTGAAGCCAATCGAAAACACTGCGCCAAAAACGAAGATAAAGGCCAACGTTGCCGTTCCTGCCGCAGGAGATGTTCCTGGAAAATCTTTTGTGCCACCGTGGTTTGCGAATTCAGAACTAGTTATGCAGATGCATAGCCAAACCACGGAGCATCCGATATTGGCGAAAAGCAAGAGAGGGCGGCGGCCGGCGCGGTCAACAAGAGAGGCTCCGATAATCGACCAAATGAATTGCTGGCAGGAGTTGATGAGTATGACGTTGAGCTGAGGAACAGTCCCGGAGACGCCAGCGGAGTCCAAAACGGCAGACATAAAGTAAGAGAGAACGGCTAAAACAATGAAAACTGTTAGGTAGATACCGTGATGAAGGGAGACCGGGAGGAGCATACAGTTTCCCGCCCACTGGCTGAAGATTGTTACGCAACAGCTGCAGAATATGCGGTATCGAGAAACAGGAGTGTTGAATAACGACCTATAATCCCACCAGCGCTTATCCGCGCCGTTTATGTCGAGGTATTCATCGTATTCGGCGAGCTGGAGCTTAACCCATTCGCTCTCTGGGTTGCCTTGGCCATGATATTTGACAAGCATGGCTTTGGCGTGGTCCCGCTTATTGTGGACGTATAGCCACCGTGGAGACTCAGGAACGAACAAAACACAACCAGAGATAATTCCAGAGAACAGCAATTGAAACCAGAGAGGAATCCGCCAAGTAGCATGACCACCCAGATGGTTAGTTCCGCGGGCCACGCCGCTAGAAAGGATGGAACCGATGAACCTGGAGAGGGTGTCAGTCAAAATCCAGTGCTCCAATTCAGGGGCGTGCATGCAAAGCCTTGTGGACGTACCAGAAGGTATTTGAGAACCCAGTCATTACGCCGCGGTATGCCGGATGCGAAACCTCTGTGACATACATTGGACCGGCTGAAGAAGTAATGGCAACACCGAATCCGAGAACAAATCGGCCGCCCATGAACTGTCCTACATTCCCGCCTGTCACGGTTGCAGAGACAATTGTCCCGACGATGACAATCAGCGCACCAGTAAACATGCCTATTCGGCGCCCGAAGCTGTCGTTGATAGGTCCTACGAACGGCAAGGCCGCAACGCTACCAATCTGATACATAGAGGAGACGATGCCGGCCCAGATGCCCTTATTCGAGCCATTGAAGTACCGCAGGAACACCTCGTTCGCGGCAATGGAGTTATAGAGAGAGCCGTCGTAGCCGTTCATACTCGAGCAGAGGAAGCCAACGAGAGAAGCGGCGAAGAGGGCAATAGAATTCCATGAGCGAGGGTTCGGGGGTTCTTTCAGCATGGCGGTGTGGTAGGCGGTGTTCCCTCCGACCACTGTGGTGTGAACGGGGCGGACATCCTGCATACATGCCGTTAGAAGTTATCTCCGACGAAAAGAAAGGCGAGGTGCGGACACAGGAGCGACCTGCCTTCTCATCACCCACGTCCTCCGTGCTCCTCTGACTATCCGCCATTCTCAGGGCTTCAGAGGAGGAGACTGATGGATGACTAGGCAGAGCTGCTGCAATGATCGATAGCGTGCGTGGTGACGCCGCCTTGGGGACGAGAACGACATCCTCGATCGTTATTTATATAGTTATAGGAATTGCCCGAGACACAGCGCCTCCTCTGCCCCGGCACCACTGAATGTCGTGGAGACTAGTTGACTCTGCGCGGTGACATGGTCGTTCCCTGTGGCGATGCCAACTATGTCATTAGACTTTCAGCTTTTCCTCTCTGGATGACAACAGTTTTACGGGTACTGGGTCGAAGGCCCAAGATCCCACGAGGCGTCCAAACTTCCGACGAGAGATCCTGAGGGACCATTGCTGGCCGGGTGTGTGTGAACCCCCTTCCACTGCTCCGCTCAAAAGCAGAAGAACTTTCGCCTTTTTTTCCCCCTATCTTGCACATGGTTCCCTTTCATTTCGGCCTCCGCGCCTGTGGATGGCGTTTGTGATAGGCGTCTGAGAGACGGCTCATCTCCACAACGTTCTTTAGCGTCGAGCGTGACGAGCTTGGAGAAACCCTGCTCTCCACGAGGCCACCAAGCGTGAAACGAAAAAGCAAAGAAGCTTCGCGAATTCTTGCTCTGTGGACGCCGGACCGAAACCTCTCCACATGGCATCGCGTGGATGGTTGGCTATCCCACCATAGTACAACAAATCTTCATGTTCAACGGCGACCGGCGCAGCCGCATGTCGGATCACAGCCGGTTCCCACTTTACGCGGGCCGTCTGTCCGGATAGCCTCAGCCTATTTGGCCGGCCCTGAGTTGGCCACCCCAGAGGGTGTTATCAGCTGTGAGCAAACAAGGGGCCGAGATGGGGTTTTGGCCTCTAGAACCCCATCCTCAGGAGGCTGAAGAAAGGGGCCTGAGCATCACTGGCCGCGTTTCGATGCTTAGAAATGGCTCTCATTCGATCATAGGTTTGCCGCGCAATGCGCTCGAGGTCTGCGATCCCGTGTCTGCATAAACACAATGGGGGTCATATTGACTGAAGCCGACAGGCATGCCGGCGAATATAACAAGCCCCGCAAGTTCTGCGCAGATATGGAGTCGCGCGCTGTGAGAAATTCTCCTTTGGCGAGGCCGAGGAGCCCCCTGATGCAGCCCGTTCATCCAATGCCGGGAACGCCAAGTTACTAACTTGCCCGCTAGCGGACGAGTTAACGAGCTAAAGCATCGGTCGGTGCATCGAGACAGGGGTCCGCACCATTGCTTTTGCTGGCAGTGGACGTCATGGGAACGTTCCAGGAAAACTCTTGAAAGAAATGCGTCTTTTGGTCCCGTTATCCGATATACTCGACCGTCCTGTGTGAACTATCTTGTCTGCAAGTAAGGCTATACCACTTATGGAGTAGGGAGTAGGGAGTACACTACGTTAATACCCATCACAGCAAAGCAGTTAATACGGAGGGAGTGAGGTGGTCAGGGATCAGCGCCACGAAGCCGTGGTTTTGACCTGAAGATAGCTGATCCAGCAACCTGGCGCAGGCTATGGAGCACTAGAAACTCGGCCTTTTCAAAAAAAAAAAAGTCAACTTTGAATCAAGGATAGCCAATTCTCGCAGGGGAGTGCGAAAGCAGTGTTCGACCCATGGACAATTCTACCGAAGGTGATATATGTATAAAAAAGTATGTATGGTACAGATCTTTTTTCTCCATCCCCGGCACGATGCTCTAAAGGGACATAAAGTAAAGTGAGTAAAACACGCCACCAGCAACCCATTTCTCCAGCCAGCCAACATCCCAACAGTGCGTAGTATGCTTAAGACGTATTCGAAGCAGGTATTCCCCAATAGAAAAGCGCTACCAAAACCAAACTCTGTCCCGTAAATGTAACCGAACGCATCAAGAAATGGTGTAGAAGTATCAGCTGGGAAAAAAAAAAAAAAGGCAAAAATAGACAAGAAATTCACATGTTTTCCCCCTTAATTAGTTCCGTTTCCTGTTTAACTGCTGCTTTATCAACCTTTTCATCATGCAGCTTGTCATTTAACACACCTGTTCGCGGAGATGCCGCCTTGGAACTCCACAGATCCGCCACGGTCTCCACAGCCCGCTCGACCACCACTCTCACCCGGTCTCTCAACACGGGGTACGAGCATTCAACCTCCAATGTCTCAAGCCACACGCGGGCAACGTGCTTATCAACTTTAATTTCAATGCCGGGGACAGGGATACCCAACGCTTGAAGGCGAACTAATTCCGCTTCTTCAAGGTCGTCGAGGTCCTCCTCGTCTAGCGCAGGTTCATCTTGTTTGACCTCACTATCCGGCGTGGGGGCACTTGACTCGGCTTTAATACCTGCAGTCCCGTTAGCTTTAGCATTGGCGGCCGGGCGAGTTATCTTCGGTCGCTCAATTGGTGCAATGTTGGAACCAAATTGGGCTTCGAGCACCATCAGCAGACGGGAGAATCGTTCTTCTGGTGTGAGATAAGAATGGGGATTAGGGAATTCGCAGGCGTTATGGGAGTGGCAGTGCTTGTTCTTGCTCGAACCTGTGACAAAGCAGTCAGTCTCACGACGCGGGGATACGAGTTTCGAGGATAATCCTACGTTTAACAGCCGCGGGACTGCTCTCTACGGTCAGGAGGACAGCCATAACAGCATCAGCAACTCCATCATTCATCAAATTGCCTTCCCACTCAAGCTCAACTGCCCTGGTTCGTGGACTATATCTCAGGATAACGCAGCCCATTACCAGGTAGGCAATTGTATCATCGAGAGGAATTTCCTCGTCTGCTTCGTCCTCTTTGACAGTGGCAGCATTTTCATCCTCGTGTTCCTTAACACGTCCGTTTGTAGCGGCCTCTTGGCGCTGTGTGCCAATTTCTTCTATTGACCCAAAGGTGCCCTCCAATGCCCATCTGATGAGGTCAATGCTCGCCGTGCCCAGAGTTATGTGCTGTTTACAGGTAATGGTGGTGGTCGTCAATCCAGCATATTCTCGCAAGTCCTCTGGGGCCATCATGGAAAGCTGAAATCCGTTCTGAACAAGGACACCATTCATGAGCCGCGATTCTTGGTCTGCGGCTGGTGGTGAAGTTTCTGCAAGTCGTCCCACTACTTTTGCAACTTTGTCGACGGTGAATGGAATTCGAATTTCCTCGCAATTGGTAGGCGAATATATTTTCACTTTCACGGTCTTTTCTGCGTTCAAGCTGAGAAGTTTAGATTTGAGCCTCATCATCTGGTGTTTTTCACCATGGACCAAAATCTGCGCCAGTATAAAAATGGTCAGAAGGAAGGGAAAAAAAAAAAAAAAAGTGAAACAGTCAGTGAAGTAAAGGGCACGGGAACTTACCACCACAGGCGCGGCGACTGCCTCTATGAATTCACGGTTCTCCACGCCATCAACGTGGGCAGCAAAGCTGATTTCTTCAACAGTACATCTGCGTGGGATCATGACCTTTTGCTCCTCATCGCCATCCGGTATTCTGCCGCGACCGGGCCCAGCGGCGGTTCTAGCGCTCATCACAGCGGGAATCTGTTCGGGTTCATTGAGGATCTGTTTCCCCATTGTGCCCTCAACACTGTAACCGGTCATGATAACACCATTACGTTCACTTGGTGCCCATCGCTCCAAGAGCTCTCGACTAGTTCCCGTTTGCAGCATACCAGGAGACGCAAGCATGACACAGCCACCCACATCGTCAAAGCGCTCCAAGTTCCTTACGCTCCTCACGAATTTGAAGTCCCACGGACCCGCGGTTGTACTCTTGTCTCCTCTGGCTTCAGCCTCAGCCATGCGCTGCCGGAATAGCCGCTTGATGTTGTCGTTCATGGCTCCTATGTAAGTTTGATACACGACCATACACCGCCTGGCCATGTTCCCAATATAGTAAATTGGGATTTTCTGCAGTTCAGGATGGCGACCCCAGTATTCATCCAGGATCAGCAACAGTTCTTGGGCTCGCCCCAGTGCAAAAACAGGCATTAGCACTCGTCCACCTCTGTTTAGGACGCTTGTGACAGATTTCATCAGCGCGGTTTCACGTTCCAGCCGGGGTGGATTGGAAGAGATGCCGAAAGTGGATTCAGCGATGAGGACATCTATCTTGATGCCCTTTGGAACTTCTGCTGATACAAGGTGACGGTCTTCTTCACGAGAGTAGTCGCCAGTAAATAGGATATTCAGGCCGGCGATGGAGATGAGAAACATGGCTGCACCAAGCACATGGCCGGCAGGGAAAGGGGTGATCCGGATGCTGTTGATGGTATGGGTCGTGTTGAAATCTATTGCTTCGATGAGAGGTAGAGTAGAGAGATGGTCTTGTTCGGTATAGAGGGTAGTTCTCTGGTCAGACGAGGAGGAGGTGTTGCTCACTCGGACATTGTCTTGGATGAGCCATTTGTAGATAGCCTTGGTGGCATGGGTCATGAAGACTCTGCCTTTGAAATTGGTCTTGCTGAGGACGTAGGGGAGGGCAGCGGAGTGATCCAAGTGGAAACTAACAGCAACCGAGGAGGCACGGATTAGCCAACTGACCAAAAACCACACACACGCATGCACACACACACACAAAGTAATACACGGATACGGCGGACACTGCGAGGATGCAGGGAAAAAGCAGAGAGCGACAGGGACTGGCAAGAGTCCCGAGGAATAGATATACGGGCACAAGAGGCCAAGATTGATGGAGAATAAAATATATGATTCATTGCTTTTCTGACATACATGCTCAGGCGAATGGAAGGGAAAGGGAGTGAGATGTTCCAGGAAAGGTGTACGGGAGCGGCAAGACCACAGGCGGCTTTGCTCTCCCCTCGAGGACGACGAAACGGCCTCAGCATTTCCAATACACTGCACCCATGCCCACAAGCATCTCAAGACAGACAAGGAAAGACAGCTTGCAACGTACTGGCTCACGAGAAGTACGTCTACCGTACTGAGATCGAACTCGTCGAAGAATGGAAGGGCTGCAAAGCCATCCTTTGCGGGGTGCATTCCGGCATCGAGCTAGATGGGATCAATCGCAACGGATTAGAGGGCGAAGGCAACGGGGGGCAGCAGCACAACGGGGGGGAGCAATGGCATACCATGACCGTTTTCCCCTTGTATTGAATTATATGGCATGATCTCCCGACCTCGTTTCCGCCACCCAGGCAGTTGAAGAGGAGCTCATCGGAAGGGTCGACGGGCTCCTCGTCTAGCCCGGCTGAGATGGCCGAGGCCTTGCGCTTTGCTGCCATGTTCTGAGGGACGGCGTGCGGGTAGCCGAAGCTGTCAAGCGCATCCAATGACGCTCAGGCGAGGCGGGCAGTTGACTATGGCATGAAGGCTGCAGATAGCGAACCAGCCGAGAGTAGATACGGACAGACACACACACACACACAGAGAGAGAGAGAGAGACAGAGAGCAGAAGATGCAGCACACAGAGAGAGAGAGAGAGAGAGAGCAAAAAAGAGAAGTGAAAGTGAAAAGCAACGAAGCAAGCAGCATCCTTACGTCAGCAGCACGTGACCACTCTTCAAGGGCGAAAGTCGAAAAGCAAAGCGAAAAGAGAAGAAAAAAGCGAGCCGAACGAGAACGAGGACAAGAAGAAGACAGCACGCTCAGAGCAACAACACAGAAGCGCGAGCAGCCCATCCTCAGCAAGTCGACGCCCGCTCTTGCTGCCCGCCCCATCGATCGATCGATCGACCCTGCCTACAGCCTCCTCTTCTTTGCCAGACTCGCGTTCCTCGATGCGTGACGCCACCACCTGAGATGCTCGCGGTCGCGAGGGAGCCTGATGAATCGAGAGCACAGCGCTCCCACTCCCGTCCCCGGAGCTCGCTTCATTGTTGACTCTTCGCCGCTACAGCAGTAGCTCCTCGCACATCAGCTTTGTTTGCTTTGTTTCTCCGGCCCAACATGGCGCAGACCCAGTCTCACCAGTTCCCTTCGCAGTCCTCCTTCTCCCCTCCCGCCTCCACGCCCTCTCCCTCTCCCTCTTCCACCGGAACCCCTTCCGGCAACCTTGGCCCACCGCCAAAACGACAGCGTCTCTCGCCTCTCCCTCAGACCCAGGCGCCATTCTCGTCTTCTCCTGGCTTTGGAACCCTGCAGTTGCCCCAGACCACGAGCCCCGTGAACGGTGTGCCCGTCGCCAACATGACAAACCCACCTGGAAACGCCGTCCATCCTCCCCCACAACCACAACCACAACCACAACCACAACCACATACACCCCAACCACCACCGCCACCCGGGTCGATGGGTCCTCCATCGCGGCCCGCCGAGACGAAGCCAACCGATGCTGCAGAGCTGACAGACGTCTTGGCCTCCTCCGGCATTGATGTCCGGGAAGAAGAAGCTTTTCTTACCAGTGGATATGGCGCTGCACCCGCAACTACTCCGCAACCGCCGCCGCGCATCCAGACCAATATCACCACTTCATTCACCTCACAGCCGTCCGCTGGGTCGACCCCGTCTGCAGGAAATAGCTTTACTGAACCCGCTTTCAAGCAAGCCCACTATCAGCCTCCACCCACGGCTGCCGGAGCACAACCGGTTCCCCGGAAATCCCCAGAGGACCTGGCTGCAGATGCAAAATTGCGTGACGATACCGTGGCCAGCCGACGCGACCAGTACCCTCTCCACGCCCCTTTCCTTCAAACTGCTCCGCTCGGTGAAAGACTACAGAAAAGAGGAAACGAGCTTGGAATTCGCATGCCATCCGGTGGATTCTTTCGCCCATTTCCAAATCGCCCCGCGACCCCCATCGAGATCGTAGGACCTGACGGCCAGTCGGTGATTCGAACTGGAAAACCGGTTCTGACCACGGATGCTCCTCTAGGTGACATTATATCCCTGATGTCTCTAGCCTGCGAGGAACGTTTGCGTTCCGTGGTTGAACATTCCGCGGTTCTCGCCCAAAACCGCCGCGCCTATTCCCACGGAGTTGTCCCGCAAGAATGGAACGATTTGGCTGAAGGAAATAATCAAAAGAAAGGAAAGGAAGACCAAAATGGAATTGCTGCAGCCTCCCCAAATGGTACCTCCCAAAAGCGTATGTATCACATTTCCCCATATGTGCAAGATTCGGCCGATTCCCCGATGCTCACATGATCTACAGGAACTATCTCTACGAACAGAGACGACTCAAATGAAGCTCGAAGGATCACATTTCCGAATACTCTCGCGATGAAAAGTCGCAGATTGATAGAGAAGGATGGGTCGTACGAAGAGGGCCGTGCAAACAAGCGAATGAAGCGCAATACCGATGCAATTCTCAGCGGAGACACTGGAAGATCAGCCTCTGTTGGGCCGGGTGCTGAGCCTTCCGGTGAGAGGGCGCCCGACGTCGAAAAGAAAACAAAGAAAGAGTTGAAGAAGGCAGAGGCCAAGGTAAACGATGCGGTTCAGCATCAGCATGCAGTTGAAACCGCTCGCATGGCAACAGGCGGTCTCAGTACATCGCGATTCGGAGGCAAGAAAACATATTCGTGGCTTAGCAATCCCAGTGCGACCTCTGCCTCAAGAACCAGCTTCTCTAACCCCTCACGAGCGAGACCTGGCGGTGGATCAGCCCCGTCTGGCACTGGAAAACCTGGTGGGTTGTCTAATGGAATCAGAGTGCCACCAGGAAAACGTCTGGGTGAATGGCGCGAAGACAAGGATCGTGGTGCCGGAGTCCAGATCCGGGACATTCTTTTCATGCTCGAGGTAGACGGTAAGGCTGCCAAACACCTACAAAAGGCATATTCAAAGGAATCCAAAGAAGAGGTTGATAGACCCGGCAAATAAGCCGGGGCGGAACTAATGGTCACACCGGGGATCGTCAACCTTACCGCAGTACCCCTGACCCAACTATAAATCGACCAATCCTTGATACTAATTCGCACTTCCCGGGCCAACGGCCGTGCAAGGACCAACCTCCTCGCGCCGCGGAGATTACCTTAGGTCTACCCTCCCTCACTTTTATTCTGTCTTCCTCTCCATTACCCTTCAAGAACCGTGCTTCGGCGTGCAGATTGTCGTGTATTCTACTTATGTTCTTGCGGTTCCAGTCGAATTCATAGGCGGCGGAGTTTACGGGATCGGAGTTCACTTTCTAACATACTGCTTGGCTGATTTTTAATTTTGCGGGTCGTTTCTTTTCTTCCCCCCCCCCTTTTTTTTTTTTTTTTGCTACTCCTTATCCCTGTGATGCGGCATATTTTACGTTCCCAGATTTCATTGTTAATCCTCGGAAAAAAAAAAAAAAAAAAGTCAAAACTATGCATCCTTCTTTGCCAACGCAGCACATGGGGAGGAGACAGGCTTCTATCGCGTGGACTAACTGCCAGGCATGTATGTACGAACAATGCGGGCCCGCCACTGCTAGCCATGAAAAGAAATTGGAGAAAAACAGCATCCTTCAGTCCTTATCCTCCCTATACTATGTATGTGTGAGGCCCAGTACCTCCGGACGGGACAATTCCTTATTCCACAGAACAGCCTGTGGGTATATGTAGGTCAACTACCATGTTGTACCGGTGATCCGCAAGCGAACGTTGAGTGCCTCTAACCGACCAATCTTCACACAAACACCAATGGCAATGCAAGCACCGCCAAATTCACGTTGATTCTCTGCCACTTCAGTGCTGACAGTCATCTCCTGTGTATCTGAATCTGGATATGCATTCCTCTCTGACAGATGGATGTTTTCATCAGTGGATACATATGGAATAACATACCTGTATTCTATTAACTTTCTGAAAGCACTGTCCTACTACTTTGATTGACGTTCTCTCTCTCACAGTGTGTGAGAGAGAGAGAGAGTGTGTGTGTGTGTGGAGTTCTTCAATTTCCCTTTACTTGTTGCAACAAAGAGGACAATCTTCCCCCAGATCCTGTATCACACACCTTACTGCATTGCGGTGACAATGATCTCCATCATTGGGAAGCTTTATGCCCAAATGACCACATCCACACCATTTAAGCGGAACCCGAAAAACAGGCATCGGATTCCCCAACACCCGGCTCCATTGATATAGCTGGTTTAGTTCGGGACGTTTATCAATCTCCGATCGTCACCACTTGGGCTATCCCTATGGCTATGTAAAAGCGGAAGCATTTCAAACGGGACTCCTCATTGACGCAAAAGCATGAGGTGCAAACCGCCTCGCAGCACGTCTTGTGTGGAATTGAAGCGCCGTTCGTACCACCACGAGATGTGACTCGGCCGTTTCGGTGGTGATAATGCCATTCTCTTGAGAAACTCCCATTGTCAATCCACTTGTTCATCCCGTTCAAACAATGGGACTGGGGGGGAAGCAGTTCATATCGTCCAGGATGTCGTTTCCCCAGTACCTGGCCTGGTGGTTGATCATGTGTCACAACACTTCCGGTGATGGTTAAACCCAAGGTATCGCAGGGTTTACAGGGTTTGAACTGGTCACAATGGGGCTCTTTTCGATAGCTTAATGGCCTAGGAACTGATGCGGAGACCCTTGTGATACATATCGGACAAAAAGGGACTGCGTTGCTTCACAATTTCCCGTCGCGAATGCTCTCGTGAACCTCGAAAGTGAAATTGGCAGCAATCCTTCATTCATAGGGACTGGCTCCCAAATCTTTTCCCCCTCTCCAATTTGGGACGTCAACGGGATCACAGCGGGCCTGTGTCATGGACTTTTGCCTCTATGCGGCTTTATGCAACTTCCTCACTCCTGTTGGTTTGAAATGCTCGACCCGCATGTCAAAGGAATTCTTCTGTCCAAACCCTCTATCAGCGATATACATGATGTCTCTTCTCCACCTGGAGAGTCATCATGGTCCGAACAGTATAAATTCTCCTTCAATTCCTTGTGCAGACGGACGTGAAAGAGAGCATCAATCACCGGAACGCAAGCCGAGAACAGTCTGCCGCCAGTTTCACTGTCTGGAACACTCCTTTGGCAACATACTCCTTTTGACCATCACCATGCTGTTCGTACGTGCCTTTATCTTCCTATTCTGCGCGCTCATCGGCGTCACTCTGGCAGCGCCAGTTCCGCAACCCGATTCCCAGTCTGAGCTACAGGCTCGCGGCCAAAAGCAAGTCTACGGTCTTTGTATTGAAACCGCGCCAACGGGGGCCGGCACACTAACAGCCAGTCCAGGTTCGGTAAGGGCACCATCTATCAGCAATTAGGCGCCTCTGGTTCCTGTGGCAGGAAACTCGGTGACGACGCTATGATCGTCGCGCTCAGCAACGCCTGGATGAAGGGTCAACCTAACGCGCCCTTGTGCGGCCGAAAGGTGAAGGCCACGAACAAGAAAAACGGCAAAACTGTTGTCGTGACTGTTGCGGATACTTGCGCAGGCTGTGGAGCAAATGACCTCGATTTCTCGGTCGGAGCATGGAATGCTCTTACCGACAACGCTCCCTGGGGATCGTTTCCCGTCGCCTGGTGCGTTGTTACGAAACGGGGAAAAAATATTGTCCTGCGATTCCGGATGCTGATTCTGAAATCTTTGCAGGGATTTTGTATAAATGCACGTCCCAGCCCGTTAACAAGCTGGCCAGCGCTGCACGCGTACCGGCTAGGCGGTTGTTCACACCAAGCAGGGCGCAATTGCGCTCACATTCCACAGCGTAGAAATATTTTGCCAGCCAGCCAAGAGGCCGCTTCCGAGTTCAATCCCATGACCACATACATATTCAAGTTGTCTTTGCGCCCTCAGCATGTCATTTTCAGTTCAAGTAAACTTCTGTCTGTTCCTACACACAACGAGCTACAGTCACTCTTTTCGTTTTTCAGATTTTGAGTATTATGCTTTTTTAAAAACTTTCTCCTTCCCACGCACGGCTGGTCGAGCGAGCAGGATATAAAGATCGAACCCAGGCATACACAAACTCTCCAGTTTGTGATATGGCAAAGGGCTGGCTCCCGATTAGTATGTGCTTTGAGTTTTAACAGGATGTCCTGGACAATGCTTTGGTTTGTTCGATAAGCTGTTGGGTTAATTGAGGTGGGGGATTTCCTCATGCTGCCATCGCAACAAGATTAGATATCAGTGGCCATCAGATTTAATGCATTCAATTGTGCGTTCTGCATTCTCTCTCTCTCTCTCTCTCCCCACTCCAACTTTGCGTTAAGGATTTGTTACCCAAAGCCGGCATTTAACTTAGCAGGTAATATCACTGCATATTCTGTACATCAGGCTATTTTTGCCGAAACCCATTCACTAGATGTCAACTCACAAAGACAGCCATAAGTAGGCATCTAGCATTATTCTAACCCAGAGTCTCCCAGCTACAGGAACGCATCACTTGGTGACGGCGTTAGCTCCAGGAGTGTGATGATAGACCTGCATGCGTACACTGCCTTTTCTTTCCAAGGCCACAATACCAACCCAGTTCTTCAGGCCAAGTATGCATTTATGCGTATTTGTTGATGTGAAGGACCTGCATTGCACTGAAGCACGGGCTGGCTGCACTTCACCAACATACACAATGTTCTGTATTGGACATAGCATAGAAGCAGATACAAATCAAGAAAAAAAAAGAGATTTTAGCAAAAGTTGTTAGAGACAAGAACAAAGTGACGATGAGAAGGAGTGATGACTCCTTAAAAAATAGAAAGTGATTTAAAATGCATGATCCCTCATAACATCTAGTTACTTAGTTTCATCCCTTGCACAAGAAGGCAAACATTACAGCATGAGCATCCTTAGAAGAGGAAAAGTGGAAAAAGAAACAAAGACAACAAACAGAGAAAACACAGAAAACGCCCCCCTGGGTTTCCACCTCACACTCAGCATAAGCACAATTCATAAAACATTTGAAATGGTAATAATATGGAAACACAAAGATTATCTCTTTTGCTCAATGCCTCCAGTCGATCACATTCATACTAGTGGCTTCAAAATGGGAGAATCAAAGCCAAAAGAGTACTATAGAATATGCAGCATCAGATACAGGGAGCGTCAGGGAAGGCTTAGCATGAATGTCGTCAGCAAATCTTTGCCTGTCGTAGATATGTACAGGCTCCGGGGAGTATCCGGAAGAATATGGGAGTCGGTCAAGTAGCCAATTCCTTGTAACCGCTCGTGGGTATATCGAGTTGAAAATTTTAAACTGTATTTGAGTAGAGGGGTAATCCGGTTGCCTGCGACGTAATATTTGCCAGAGTAGAATATAACCTAAGGAGCCAGCGCGAGGTATGAATATCTATGCGCGATTTGCTCTCTCTCGCTGCATTTGGCCAATGCGAACGGCCTCGGTGCCATCGTCTATGATGGACTCATTAAACCAGGGGTGCTTAAGGGCCTCACTGGCTTTGATTCGCGCGAACGGGTCATACACGAATATCCGGCGGAGAAGGTCAAGGAACTGCTTATTGAAGGAATTATTGGCAGGAATGAAGTCCTGGGAATTTTAGTCAGCATGGATGCCTGCAAGATGGGATGGAATACTGCAAGATGCTTACCTGCAATTGCTTCATAGCCTTTACATATTTGCGAGACGATCGAGGAGTATCCTGGTTCGGATAATCCAGCCTAGTCCGGTTGAAATACCTAGCTTTAAATTAGCACCGGCTGAAATTTACGGAGAATCGGGAAAAAAGAAAAAGGAACTTACTTGGCAGCGGGATTCGATCCATTACGTCCTTGCATTACTTGTCTCACCAGCTTGGTATCGATCCGGCTTCCCACGACGCTCTCCATCATTGCAAGATGCTCGAGGTTGTCGTGGGTCTGGAAGAGAGCATCTCCAGTGAAGAATTCGACTAGGATACAGCCGATGCTCCAGATATCGCAGGGGAACGTCCATCCAAGGTTGAGGATGATTTCTGGAGCACGGTAGTGGCGAGTTGAGACGACGGAGGAGTGATACTCCTCATCAAAGGTGGCAGAGCCGAAATCTATTAACCGGATCTCGCTGTCTAGCAGCACCCGTCGCTGACGGGCAGTACGGTTGGTGGTATGGGATGAAGAGGGAATTGTGCGATTGTACGTAAATGTTTGATAGGCGTTGTTCACCAAGAGAATATTTTCAGGCTTCAAATCGGTATGGATCAGGTTGACATCATGGAGAACTACGATAACTCTGTCAACCAATGTTTCGCATCGCATGTACATATGTCCAAAGGGGAAAACTTACAAGCAACACTCGTGAACAACTGGCGAGCAAAACTCTGGATCTGACTGCTTGGGAAAGGTACAAAGCCATTTCCTTTGAGGAAATCAAACACACTTTGTCCTAGCAGATCAGTCACGATGCAGATATGGTTTCGAAAGTCAAAACAGTCCCGAAGATGAATGCACTTGTTGCGGTTGGTTTCGTCGTTGGATGCCAGGGTCGATAGGACCCTAAGTTCAATACGAGAGGCATCACGATACTTTTGGACAGATCGAATGATCTTGATAGCGCAACGGGTTTTCTTCTGCCTATCAAAAGCCTCGACGACTTTTCCAAATGTTCCTTGACCCAGCAGCTTGATGATCGAATCTGAATACAGAGTTTTACCTGTTAGTAATGGCGGAAAGGAGAAAAGGGGTTATGAAATGTGTGAAAAAAAAAAAAAAAAAATTAGCCAATGACAGGGATCCAGACTCACATCGATCAGTCAAATTTGTATCAGGAGTGACGATGTAATGGCCATCATCGTCGTCAACCTTGGAATGTTTTGTAAAGTTGGGCTGGGATGGTGGTTAGCACGGCCCAGTTAAAAGCGGGAAAAGAGTATGGTCGACTCACGTCGCGGATCACAGGAACATAAACATCCTTCGCCTTGATGGGCGGCTTAGGGGGTGGAATATATGTGCTGTATCCAGCGATTTCCAACTCTCGACGTTTCTGCTCATCGCGGGCTGCCTTGCGTGTTACGACCCGTTTGCGCTTCTGGCCGATCGCGGCATCTTCGTAGTACACATTATTGGTCGGGGCGCTCCCGTGGGATCCCAACGACGTCGGTGCAGTGGTGTGAAGAGAGGCAGTACGGTCCGTAGAGAGTGAGGTCCCCGAAGAGCCTTCACCATACTGTTGGACGGCCACGGAGTAGCTTGGAGGATCATGATACGAAAGGTCGTAAGTCGTTTCGACACCGGTGCGTCGCTTCTTGCTCGCAGGCTGTGCAGCGACGCCATTGCCGTAGGAGGCCATAGAGGAAGGCTTCACGGTGGATGATGTGTAAACAGAGTTGGCCGCAGATGTATTTTGTGGATCATCCTCGTCATCGTCAATGACGATAATTTCCTTGGGGACGCCATTTTTGTAGAACTCGTTCCAATTCGGCTTTCTCCGACGACTTTGGGCGGTTGGGAGGGTGGTGGACGTCTGATATGCCGCCATGGCCGGCTGGGCTTGAGATGGTTTGGGGGCGGAGGACGAGGGAGGAGGGAGGGCGGCGGCGGCAGGCTGGGAGGGATAGTTGTAGTTGGTGACGCGGGTTGCGGCCACGGCCACGGCGGCGGAGGAGGATGAGGAGGAGGTGGTCGCAGGGTACGCGGTAACGTTGGAGTGGAAGGAGGACTGGTGAGGATATCGGTAGTGCGGATGGTTCGCCGGGTGGGTGGCAGTGGCAGTGGAGGGAGTCGACATGACGAACCCGAGAGGCCCGACGAAGGCCGTTGAGAGCGTGCGAAACGGGACAGATTTTTTCTCCGAAAAACGATGTTTAAAGGGGTGATCGGGTGGATGGTCGAGCGATGAGCAGCTCAACGGGCACAAGGACGAGCCAGAGTAGAGGAGGGGGCGAAAGGGTGAGAGTGCGTGGTCGAGTCAGACGGACGATGTGTGGGCTTGACGACCAAGGGGAGATAGGAATCAGGGAACACAAGAGAAGATGTAGGAGGCGAGAGAACGTTCAGCCAAAAGCAGCTAATGGCGAGGGGATCAGGCGAGATGGAGTTACGCTTAGCAAGGAGGACGGCGAGGCCACAGAGTCCGGTAACGATGCCCACCTGGAGACCGGGGCAAGATGCACAGGACGAGGAATCAGAACACTGGACTCAAGCGCGGGGAGAAGGGAGTGGATCGACCATTGTGGGCAAGACGGCAGGAGGGTGGAATGGGCATTGGGATGGAGTTGCAGAGAGAGGCAGTGAGGGAGAGGGAGGGAGAGAATGGCGATGGACAAGCCGGGCAGAGAGGGCGTTGTGAGGGCGGAACGAAAAGTCTCTTTTTTTTTGCCGGCCGTGCTCGATGATGAAGAGTTGCGCTGGGAGGCGAAAAGAACAGGGAATGATGGGGAAAAAAAAAAAAAAAAAAAGAAAGGGTAGAAAACACACAACACGCAGACAGGATGGAGAAACCAGGTAGTGAGACTGACAAGTTGGTCAAATCAAAACCCATCCATCTCATTAAACAATGGCAGATTCTGAAAATGATGCCCATAAATCAGTCAAATACAGAGAGTAGTCAGTTGGTTCAACCTGTCAGGGCGTCCTCCCTTCTCCCAGCCAACGCAAATCGAGCGAAGAAGACTTGCGACAAAAGGCTCACCGGCCCTCTTTTTTTTGCACCCACTTTTTCAATTGACAAACTTCTTGGTCTCTCTCTCTCTCTCTTTATCCTGCTGCAGAAGGTATCACTTAAATTAATCAGTTAATCAAATTCATCCTTCTCTAGCGTGGATGGATCTCCTGTTTGAGACCTGTTGCCCGTCTCCCCAATCTCGCGTCAAAAACATATCAAACCATGTATTTATTTGACCGCAGCTTCATGCTCCAGATCTCATTAACCTTCACTGTGGCCAGGCCACTTTGATTACCTTTATTCAACTTGATATTTTTCTATTGTGTTCGTCTCATCGCTAGTACATTCATGATACCCATGATACCCTAGTTCGAGCCCTACAGGCATCAATTGCATTTGACAGTAGCAGTATGGGAGAGGAATGCGTCACTGCTAGTCGTGGCATTAGTCAAATATATCTTAAGGGATGGTATTACTATACCCATCACCACAGCCTTGACAATCTATCCTGGCGGACGTTGGAGAGTATACAGGAATGGTTCTAGGCTCTAATAGAGATGCTATTCCCCCTGAATTCTGCAGATACCTGTTTCCACCCGGCCAGAAATTATACTTATATAGTGTAGCAGATATCAAAATGCCCTTAGTCCAGGCTTGTTTGACACAAATCTGTCGCTTCTCCGGAGAAATGTGTTCTATTCGAATGAATGTAGAGATTTCAACCTTATGGCGAAATGGTTAAATCCATGATCAGTGATAAGAGCAAATCAAAATGCATATTCTCAATTAGCTCCTAACAAACCTGTAGGGATGAGATGTAAAAAGTTGCATAAGCACGATTCTCTCCCATTATCTCATCGCTCTCGTTTAGACCTTACGTCAAGCATTCTACCCATCGCCTCCCGGCGATCGGCGCGTTCATTCCCAGCCGAACCGATGATCAAAAGACGACTTCGCCCTGGGCTTCTCGAAAATGGTGCACTGCGAGTTTAACCTATCAGACCTGGTCAGATCACAGCTTGTTATTATCGAGGCTATGTGAGTCAGTGGCCATGCCTGAGTCTTCTTAACTGTGTGCAGTGTGTCAGTTACTGAGCAAAAATTACGTATCGATCCAGCTCCATTGGCGGAGCCGGGGCAAGGCTTGTTTGGTGGAAACAAGGAATAGAATTGCGGAGGAGAGGGAATATGGCACGAGGACAAAGTGTAGCGACGGCGGAGGGTGGGCAAAGCAGTAGTTAGCTGACCGTGCTCAAGATATTAACTTGCAATTGACCGTGTCGACACTTCAGATGACGGAGGCAAGTATAACGTCAACAGATAACAAATGAACTTGTAAAGTCCGGAATTGCTCTATGATTGTTAGCCATAAGAACAAAAGCAATAATGCCTTAGACCCAAGATACTACACTAACTCAAAAGCCCAGACCAGGGCATGTAGACATCAACAGAAAGGAATCTAGATCTATCACAGAAAAGTTCAAAAGATCTATGCCTTGTAATAAGAAATCCGCGTAACTCCGTGCCGATATCTAGCCGTTAAAACCCGAACATGACTTACATTCCTCACCTCCGCCCCTGCTAAGCAATTAGCTAAAATGAAATGGTATTGAAAAGGTGCGAAGACAGCTTTCGGCCAGCGGTCCAGAACTATATTCCCCGGTTAAACTCAACCAAACCATCTTTCCCGCCGCAATCCCAGAACTCCTCCTCAAGCTTAGAAGCACTGATGGCCTGCCGTTGAGGGAAGGCTCCTAGTGCTAGCGGAAGCGCGAAAATCGATGTCGCGAAGATTAATCCTATAATACAGGGTTAGTTTTTCCATATGCAATCAAATTAGAGTCTAGTGTTTTCGTACCCAGATTCACCGGAAGGACGAGACGAGGCCGAGACTTCAGCCAGTCCATCTTCTGCAGACGAACCAATATTAATGGTGGGAGAACCATGATCGGGGTAGCATTGAGCACGCGGCTAACAGCAGTTTCTCCGACCGCCAGAGTGGCAGCCTTCTTGCTCTTGCCGAGACTCTTAACCTCTCCTCCGTCCACCTCGCGCTTCGCCTTCTCTTGCGCTGTGAGGACAGGGTAGATGTCGATGCCTTTCCGGATCTCCTCCCCACGCATGAGGAACACGTTGAGTGCACCGGCAGTGGCGACGGCAGCAAACGGCACCAGTCTCCCGAGAATCAGTCTCGTGTTTGGGGTTAATTTCCGTAGTCGAGGAACGACAGAATTCAGTCCCAGGGCAACGGAGCACGAAGCTGAAACCGCAAGCAGGTACGACTTTACAATCGACGAGGTGGAAAGAGGAGTGGATTTGTTTGCGTTGGCGTTGTTGATGGCGACGTTCAATGATTGGTTAGTTATCTGCCATAGCAGGGTCCCCGTTGTCTGCCCAGGATTCGTTAGTAAACTCCGCTGGGTCGTGCAGGGATGGAGTGGATGGGGAAGGGGAGTGGGAAGGTAATCTGTCTCCGTACCCTAAGTCCGGGCGTAAGCATGCCAGCTGTCACGATTAAATTGGAGAGCACGAAGCAGGACATCCGGAACGGGAGGAAGACTGGTTCGCCAGTATCTAAGAGAGTCGTCAGTCAGCGCTTTGCCGGCCCCCCCCCCTCCGGAAGGAGACACGTTGACCACATACCAGGGTGCAGCGTCGAATCCACTATTCTCTTTGCATCCCAAATCTCCGGGGTCATGGCTGCGATTTTGCCATCCTTATACGATGCAAGGACTCGCTTTGCATTCTCTAAGCCGGCCGAGGATACAAAGAGTGTTCTATAATATTTGGCGTCATTCGTCATTCGTTTGACTCCTATAACAGAATGGGTCCTACGGAGCTGTCCAGCGCAAAACGGCGCCCACGTCGACTGTCGCGCTGGATGGGAGTTCTATTGACGTACCTCGGATCTGATATCTCTGCGGCCTGCTTGACCCGTCCCCAGTAAGTGCTGAGGTCATGTTTCGAGGCGGGAAGATCCCGACTACCGGACATGGAAGCTGACATGTAAGGGCTCACTGAAGCTCAGCACGGCGATGCGAAATAGGGTAATTAGACTGCTCCGTATATCCGAGGGATTGAGTGGGGGACAAGAAACTCAGAGCAGAGAGAAACTACGGCCAAAGGGGATTCCCGGAGAGCATTAAATCAATTAAAAAGCTGAATCTCCTTGAATGAAAGTGTGTGTGCAATGCAAAAGAAAGTCCAAGAAAGCAAAAGCAAAAGAAAAGCACCGAAGAAAGGGAGGGCGTTTATCATCGGCTTGTTGTGGAATGTTGATCTGACGCAGACTCTCCAACAGAATCAATCCATCATTTAAATTTCGTGATTCTTTTTTTTTCCCTATCTTTCTCGCCGGCCTCGGGGGCGGTGACGGGAGCGCCGTGGCTTGGCAAAATGCGGTGCTAATCCAAATTTGGTATGCCAAGAGAAGCTTGTTTTGTACCCAAGACAAACACTAAGCTGTATAGAGCTAGTTAGTCATGTGAAGTGGTTCGTGCGGGCTGTCAGGTGACCTCGATGAGTGGGCAAGAGCGATGATTGGCTGAAATTGGTTATTTTGTTTGATTTGTTTGCTCTACTTGCTTCTAGCATGGCGTAGTAGAAATTGAGGGAGGCTCCAAGAGTCCAAATCAACATCAAAAATTCAAAATCAACGGACAGGGAGACTTCGGCGGAACAAAAGACTCGAAGCTGGAAAGACAAAGAAGAAAGAATATGACAGGCAGCTAAAGGTAGGCGGGCTAATTCTCACACACAGCCGTGTCTCGACTAAAACACAAGAGAAACATACACCCCGGAGCTGCCCATCTTTGGATCCTTCCTGCTAATGCCCTTAGTCCATTAGCATGGCCGAACCCCAACTCTCTGCCTGGGATAACCTGCTGCTTTCGGGGTGGCAAATTGTAAGGTTAAGCTGGGGGGTTGCAGGGTGATGACGGCCTTTGGGGGTAGTGCGCCCTTCTCCGTGAAAGAGTTGGTCTAGCATTTCTCCAGCGGAAGCACGTTGCCCGGCGTCAACAATTGCCATCATTTTCAAAGGCAACAGGCTGCTATGCCGAGCTGCCTCTTGGATAGCTTCTATCTGACTCTTTGGGTTCCCCATAAGCTTAGGGTTCCGGAATTGTGCTCTCAATTCTGCTACATTTAAAATCACAGCGATGGTGACAAAGAGCGACCAAACATCCATCTTGTGGGTCTGCGAGACCCGGCCTTTTATGAGTACTTCCGGGGCCATGTATGGTAGGGTACCAGCCCTTGTCGTGGCCCTTGTCGCATAATTGCATAAACCAAAGTCTGCAAGCTTAAAGTTATAGCTTCGGTCTGGTGCAGTCAAGTATAGTATATTCTCAGGCTTCACGTCTCGATGGATAAGGCCTCTTAGAGCGAGAAGGTCCAAGGCCTTCAGCATCTGATGGAGGAGCTCCGCTGTTAGGTTATGATCCGTGATGAAAGCACCGTCGTTCATAAGACGGGCGACTGAGCCGTGCATGCGAGGCATAACTATAATAAACATATGCATGCTCTTCCATTCGGTCCAGAGATACCTTATAATATTTTCCTGCTAAATGTTAGCGCGGAACTGGTGCATTTACGGCACAGAAGACAAACACCACTTACGTGTTTGATGCTCCCAATATTTTCGATTTCGATCTTCAGACTTTTATATGCGGTCCCATGATTTGGAGTGTCAGGCAAAGTCACATTTTTGACGGCTAGCAACTCGCCAGTGTCAACATTTACACCTTCAAAGACCTCCCCAAAAGTACCACGGCCCAGGGGATAATTCGTGAGGTAACGGTAGCGAAGCTTTGGAAACTGGGGGATATGAATTTGAGTGAATCGTTCTGGGCCTAACGCCGTATCCTCCTCACCACTCGTGTCCGATATGGTGAGACAGTGATCGGAACCTCGGGAATCAATCTGCCGTCGGATATCAAAATGGACTCTGTGCCAATGTATTCTAAAATGGTAAAGATTGCTATTGGATCCTCCAAAGGCAAACTCGGTGTTGAATATCGCATGTATCACGGCTCGCCGAGGGGTGCGGCCCGGTTCAAACGGTACTGCATCGAGTCCTTTGAACTGCGTATTGTGGTGTCGAGATCGATCGGTGAGCCTGAACATTCCCGTGCTTTGAACAACCTCAAAGCAACATTGGATCCGGGATATAGCGCTTCCCGAGACGATAATGTCTCCCTCGCAACCAATAGTTGCCAAAGTGCAAGGGGAAGATGACTCGATGTTGAAGCCGATATTTAACCCTCGCCCTCTCTCTGAAGAGTAGGCATCATCGTTGTAGTCGGGGAGGTATGAGACATGAGGTTGATTTTTGGGATGATCAAGAGCCCTAGAACTTCGCTCGTTAAGGGGAACAAGCGAAAACACGGATAGTGGATGGGGCTCTGAACGTATCATTTTATACAGCACAATCCAGAAGCCTGTGTGCCGCACGGTGTCAGACCGAAAAGAACCCTAAGCGCTGCGCCAAAAGAGAACGTTCTCTTAAGACCAGGACCCCAGCGGTGCTTCCTTTTGAGCCACCAATATCCTAATGAGCCATGAGACACGATACCATCACGAAAGAAGATATTAGGACCCACGGAGAAACTCTGAGAAAATTCGAAACCGGATTATGGGCGTCAACCCGAGGACTTATCCCCGCCAACATGCTCTCCGAGGCTCCAACACTCATTCTCATGCACGGTGTGCTGCAATGTTCTTGCAGCGGTCCTGCAGGGGGTTTAGCCTGTGCCATCGTGGGGCGTCCAATCCTGGAGAAGAGCGACGAAAAATGGCCGGGTTGACGCGGGCTAGAATAGGTACTCCGTACCCTATCGGAATTCTGACACTGATGGTGGTGCATGAGGCTTGGAGCGCAATGCTAAAAGCCAGGCTATTGGCACAGGCATTTTGACCTAGAAGGCCAGGCAACATTAAATAGTCAGTTGGAGGGGCTCTCTGAGGCGACAATAGGACGCTATAAATAGGAATGCCAGCACAATTCCGTAACTCTACATGTACCACACTATGTAATTGCAGATGCACACACTCTGCTTGAAGCAGGAGCGCATAGACGAAGTGAAGGCTGGGGTTTAAAGAAATTAAGCTATTGGGCCACGAAAAGGTATGTATGTAATTCTATTAGGCAATGGATCCTGAACTTCTTTTGGGGAGATGCTTAGTTACATAGTATGTTATATTGTACTCCGTACTGTATAACTAAAGTACGGAGTACTCAATACAGTAATTGAACAACATACACACATTCATATACAAAAAATCAGGCCAGGTAGGAATGAGCTCTGATCTTAATACTCCCGTACTGTATGGAATAGAGTCATCATAATTATCAGTGCAAATTATTATCTGGTAACCTCCTTACTTGACCCTAACCTAGAGACATGAAAAGATACCAGCAATATATATTGAATACTGAATCCAAAAGTATGTACAAAATCTCCCATGGGAGAAAAGAATGAAGGCGTGCACAGTCCAGTTACTTTATTCCATCACTGGCCAGCGGAAGATATCCTTTAGTTGCGGGTGACATCTGCAATGAGTTAGCATCAACAGGTCTTATAAAATAGCAGGATGAATACTGACCAGCAGCAAAGAGAGAGTAGTTGTCAGCATTGCTAAGAGACTGCTGGGCATTAAGTCTCCTGCATTGCTCATATCCATAAGCATGGTCAACAGTGCCAGGGCTGAAAATGCTAGTAGCATGTGTGAACTCATGGACAACAACATAGCCGTGGTCAGGGTCAAGGCCGCGGTTGACAACAGGAGGAAGGCGCCAGTAGTCTGGGCAGTTGACAACATGGCTGCGGGCAGGGATGGTGTAGGCAATGAGACCCCTCTGACAGTTGCGGTAGATATCCTGGCAGAAGTAGATCGTGCGGCCCTGATTGGCAGAGCTACATTCTTGGGCAATGGCTTGGAACCGTCTGGCAACACTCTGGCGTGCCTGTTGGCTGGTGGTCTTGAAGTATTCCTGGAACTTCTGAGCATTCCCCCCAGAAGCTGCTTGGGCGGCACGCTGGGCATAGGTGACACAGTTGCGAAGACCACCTTGCAGGAGTTGGGCGTATTGACCAGTACAAGTCTGGCCATCGACACGGGTGCGCTTGTCAAGCTCTGGAATGGCACTAGCCACTTTGGAGGCCATCTCACCATCAATATCCATGGTCAAGACATTTGCCTTGAATCGAATTGAGCCAGTGGGCTTAGTGCCCTGGCCATCAATGACAGGGATGCTGCCTTCAGCAGAGATCTCAAAGGAGCCACCAGCAGAGAGGTCAGATGTCTCAGCAATATCAAATTCAGCTTCAGCACTGGCACCTGGGGCCAAAGTCTTGTAGGCCTCCTTCGGAAGGTTGTTGATGTCATAGTAGAGACGCATGCCGTTGAAGGGAACAATAGAGCCTGAAAGTCAGAAAGTATTAGACCAATGTCTTAGGAAATATAATGCAGTAATACAGTATAGGGATATATACCATCCTTGGAGATCTGGACCTTGCGCACAGGTGAGGAGTCAAACAACGTATTATACTTCACAAAGGACATCTCATGGTCAGCATTGTTGGTGATGATCGCCTTCACACGGGTGTTTCCAATGGGGATGAGCTTGACATCGAGTCCAGTATCGCGCTCAGCCAACTCGTTGACAGGCAAAGCAAGAGCTTGGACAGCCAATGCCGCCAGGGCAATCAAAGAAGACGAAACACGCATTTCAAGGAGCAATGAGAACAGAAAATTTTCCCAAGGACAAGCTAAATGTTGGAGAGCGGGATGCAATGGAGCGCGATCAGCCGAAACGAACGAGCAGGTCATTGGAAACTTATATTACATCTGACTTCGAAAATTTCCCATAGAGAGGAGACCACCCGCGGAAATGAGCGGGAGATGAGCGGGAGGATTCATTTCGCGCCGGGTAGTTTAATTGTAGCAGCCTGCAAAAAAACAAATGAAGATGCATTTGCAAGGAGACCCCGTCAGCAGCGCTTCCTCTCAGCCAAGCAAGCTTTGATGAAGAAGCAATCGGAAACGTTACAGGTGGAATCATACATTTCGCCCGCTGAAAAAGCCGAGGGTCCGGGGTAAAAGAAACATTCAAAAATCAAGTGAAAAGTGCACTTGATTGCGGAGTTCACCCACATACTACCTTTGCCTATGGTAGTATAGTTGCATGGCTTCATCACTTTGAGCTTGCCAAGGGGAAAGCTTATCAATATCGCCCAAGATTTGCTGATATCCAAAGGTTGAAAGCATTCTGCAACTCGATATCGCGGAGCTCATGCTCGATCGAATCATGCCAAGCAAAATAAATATATGTATTTTGCGCCCGGGTATTTCGGGTTTCGGGGCCCTGGAGAAGAAAAGGTCGAATCGAGTGTTGCTGAGTGAGGTTGTATCGCCTCGGTGCGAAAAGGTTCCTGGAGGAAGTCCTGGCTCAAATTCAGCGCCGGTTTATCGGACACCACAGGCCAGCGTGTCCTGGTTGCTGCATGATCCATGGTTGCTTCTCAATAACGAAGGGTCGCTTAGCAGTCAGCACTGGGTCAGCAAGGTTGATCCTTTTCATGTGGGACGATCACTTGTCAGGGATTGCACCAGTTCAGTCCATCTGGGCGCTGAAAGCTTGTCTCGCACAATGGGGTCCTCAGCCATCCGGTCTCTTAGAAAAATAATATTCTTCAGTCAGAATTCAGACCTGCATCTCCTGGATAGTACCTTTGTGGTTATGTTTGGCCGGAATCCCCAGCTTCCCTTGGGGTTCGGCAAGCCGAATTTCGCGCTCCTGAAATGACGGGATTGGGAGGCAGACTATGCCTTGGCGCGTGGAAAGCGCGGAATTCCTGTCAGTAGGATCCCTGCACGATCGCGGACCGAGTTCCTTTTCGCAACTGGCCTGGTGGCCTCTTGTGGCTCTCTGTGACAGGCTCGAAAGTCCTTTGCGAGGTGTCCATGCATGGCTTGCTGGATGTTGTGCCCCTTTGAAGCGCTTCTCCGCCTCTCAGTCCAAAATTCCCACCCGCGGGCCGGCTAATTAACAAGTCAGTTAACTACCCCGTAATCTACTCCGTACTCCGTAGAGACAAGTGAGATCACGGAAGGCCAAATTTCTGGCCTCCAAAAGTTGCGAACAGAGACGTATGATTCAAACCCACCGAAATACTTGGCTGTGAAGTTACATTGGAGAATGACACGGAATCCATTGAAGTTGAAGAAGGGAAAGGATTTGGAAGCTCCTTTTCGGCTATTATCCAAAGATTTCCCACTGAAAGTCTCATCTTGCCTGCATTTTGCACCTGCAGAACAGCACTGAGGACAAAGGGTTCAGATGAAGCTGCTCATTCAGCAATGGGTAGGTGACAAGTGATGTAACTACATACCTCACTCACTGGAATTTTGAAGGCAAGCAGAGGGCATGATCATGTCTCCAACTCAGAATGTCTGCCCTGTCCAGTCAAACGCGAGCAATATTTCAGTTTCCTCTGTATCCTTTTTGCACCCACCGCTTAATTCCATAAGCAGCACTGCTATCACCAACTCAACTGGCGATAAGGACGTGTGGGGTCATGTGATTACATCTCTATGAGGGTCTTATGCTGTCAATCCCTCTTTGTCCTTGATCTTCGATTTTGCTCTTGAAAATGCACAAAGTGGCTTTTGTCTTCTTGTCTGAGGCCGTGAGCCCAGTGCATACCCTGGAAGTCAGGCTTGACCTTGTCATGCCGGCTCTTATGTGTGCCCATGAATTTTTTTGCCAATATATCTGAAACAAAGATGTTGAAACTTGAGGCATAGTTAAACCCCTTCGAGCTTTTGTCCCTAAGAAGATCGATCCGCCACCAAGGGAAACAAAAAAAAAAAGGGAAAGAAAAGGAATCGAATTCTCCGCCATGTTTCAAGGTGCCCACACTAGCCAATGGGGATCCCTTGCACATCTTCGAGATCCTGGTTGATAAGCCTAGAAAATTTGTCCTAATTGCAACTGCCCTGTGTATTTCCTGTCTCCGATCATGCTCAAATAGACTGACAGACGAGCGGAATGAACCTTGGTCATATCTTCCGGTCCTCTGTGCAGGCTGCTATCCCTAGATGGATTTATGCCACTTCCTAGAATATAGCTGCCGCCTTGGGGGCTTGGTCTAGAAGGCTGGAATTTGCTCCTGAATGACATTGCCTGTTTCTTTTCCGGGTGGGATGAACTGTGAGCTGGTAATGCTAGTTATAACCACGCCAAACCCCCCCCCCCCCCCCCCCCCCCCCCCAAAACAATATATATAACTCATAGTTATGACTAGTAGTTATTGGCAGACAATCACTCTGAAATTGAGGGGAATATGGCCAATAGGTATATTGCTCTCTTATGATCTTTAGAAGGGGTACTAGGAAGTAGGAGGAAAGAAGGTCGTTGTTAGATGTGGATATTGATTTATGTGCTGTTTGAAATGGTGTATTGGATGCAAGGGAGTCAATTGAAATGCAAGTGAGAGAAAACTGCTGGTTACCAGCATATGGAGGAGGACTGTATTGCGAGAAAATGTGGCTTTGCTGGCCAAAAGAGCCCACATATTGATGGTAGATATAGATTCCAAGAAGTTGTGAGGTCCAGTCACATGTTGGTATATTGGTAAAGAATGTAGATCAGGATGAGCAGTGAATTTGTCGTCCTATTGTCCGTAAGCGCCCATTTGGACCAAGTTACTGTGAATGTGCTTAATAAAAGCTGAACGATTGTGCCTGTGACCTGGCACTGTATCCCATGCTGCTCTATGCACATCTTGCTCTCTCTCTCCATGATCATAGTTGTACAATTCTGATCCCGGCATCTCAGTCCATCGCCACGTCACACAAGTGATTATCTACTGTATATTTTTTTTTAACTTTGCACTTTATGTTGTGCTCCGTATGGAGTATAGCTAATGTTATCAATCAACTGGGCCTTTGGTCTCTTTTTCAAGACTCCTCATATCAAGGAGGTGGCCGTGGGGCCACGGGGTGTTCTTGAGGCGTGGGGAATGGTTGGGCTGGGAATTTGAAGGTCAATCATTCAAGGCAGATGATGTCGCGAGGGACAACAGGCACTGATGCAGTGGAGATCAGGGAGGATCCTGTGTGGCACCGTGCTCGCAAGTTGAAGCAGACAAGACAAGCTTCCTCGACGGCAACGCATTCTTCCTTGCCTCCGAACAGGTGCCTGTTCCGCAGCATCTACCTGTCTTGTGCGTCATTTGGTAATTAACTTCTCGAAGAATGAGATAGATAGATATTAACCTGTGAGTCTGCAGCGAACTGACTCGGAGGGATCGACCCATGATCATCGGAGTGATGACCGTGACAAGATCGTCAATCCATCGAGGCTGTTTCTATTTATGTACGCATCTAACCACTACGGTCTCATTGTCGGGATCGAGAGACAGCTCTCGCCTCTCATGAGCTACACGGCATATAACCCTACAGACACGCCGGAGCGCATTAGGAATGGAGCCGTATTTTAATATTGAATCCAGGGAGGGGCAAACTAGGTGGGTTTCCCTTTTCCTGCATCCTTTTTCTTTTTCTTCCACCCTTTTTTTTTTTTTTTTTTGGCTTCTGGCAGCCGAGGAGGACGGCAAGGACCACTAAGAGCTGGCTCTTCCATGGTTCGGCGGAAGGCTATCTCGCCGTCCAAGAGCTGGGATTTGCTCTCGCAGCTTTGTCCAGGAGCCAGGCCCTGTCGCACCATGGAAATGGAGCTGAAAGAGTATGGGGACTGGAGAACGGAATGATGTTAGTTACGCGGAAAGGAATCCTGTTGGACTGAAGGAGAACGGGAAAAAAAAAAAAAGAGGAAAAAGATAAACAAGAAGCAAAAAAAAAAAAATCAAAAATTGAAAGTAACCGTAAAAAGACAGATTTAAATATCTTGTGAAAACTTGGAGGGATCCAAGTATTATTTATCGTGCAGGACGGTTGTGGCACTTCCGCGAGAGCAGCGAAAGCGAAAAAGCAAAAAAAAGCCAAAAGCAGCAGAGAGAAGAGTCAACAGCGATTGAAATCACTAAAGAGCTAGCTAGCCAGTTATTCCGTAACCACGTCCGCAGCGAGTTGCAGAGCGAGCTCCCCGGTCAGCTAACTAGTTACTTATTTAGTTCGTCGGGCGGGCTAAGAAGATAGCAGAGCTCGCGAAATCAAGGAACGGACGGCCGTCGACTCTCTCCGTCAGGCTGCTGATAGAAAAATCCCTTTTCTCCCCGCCGTCTCTCTCTCTCTCTCTCTCTCTTACCTTTTTTTTTTTTTTTTTTTCTTTACCCTGTCCTCGTCTTGCTGCCTTGGCGACGACGACGATGCTGTTGCTGCTGCACTGACGGATCCTCGCCAACCCAACGTCCGTCTCTCTTCTTTAGCTGGTTAGTGTACGTGCTCCCTCCCCCTGCTGCCTGCTTGGAAGGCCGCCACAGGAACCCGCAACGGACCGCCTCAAGACATCACCTTCAATCCCGATTCGTCTTCTTCTGCCTCCCTTCACCCCAGCAGCACGGCACGATAGTCTGCCATCACACACTCTCTCTCCGTAGCTGGCTATATATACACACAGTCGTCCCGCTGTCCCTGCCCAGTCCTCTCATCCTCCCCGATCCACACCCCATTCGTGCAAATTCCTGACAGTCACCTCCTCTTCCTTTTGTTGCTTCCAGCTGTTCCTCCGCAATTAGGTACTCTGCTTGTCTCCTGTGTCTAACATCGAGCTCGGCTGGCCACTCTCCAGGAGCAAGATCCTCGACTCATGATTGCCAAACAAAGCTCGCTGATATGAATTGGGACCACCCAATCCACAGGTCTGTTCCTCCTCAACCCTCTCCTCTCTCTCTCCCTCTCTCTCTCTCTCCGTCTCTGTCTCTGTCTGAGAGAGAAGGGGAAAAGAAAAAAAAAAGGAAAGGAAGATTTGAATATTTACTACGTTCCATGCCGGCTCACCCTTCCTTTGACTAGTTTCACGGATCCCAATGTCGAACTTCAGACCCCCACTAGAACTCCCACCGTCCACTCCTTCGATGATACCGCCTTCCAGACTCCAAAATTTGAGTCGAGCTTCTACGATCCCCGCATAACTTGGAACACCGCAGATCCCTATGCCTCCAGCCCCGAACTTTCAAAAGCAGCGCATCGCTTTGACCAGACGCCCAACCAGCGTGCCCAAAATCCTCTCGATCCCACAATCTCCAGGCACAGGCAGATAGACCATGCTACGAGGGCCATTGGTTCGGATGATGCCTCTACGGATCATGGAACAGCCGTCACCGACTCCATTGACTCGGCCAAACGCTCTGCTGCTTCGATGCAGACCCCGCCGCCCACAAGCACAATCCGGAGAAAAAACCAGGACCGGAGCAACAATGCCAACCTGAACCTCAGCACTCCCGTGCAGCCGACATACACCGGCCAACCGCTCGAAACCCCCAGCCGTGTGGTCGGCTTTTCTCCAGGCTTGTTTGGCCTCCAGGATTCCCCCGATCCCTTTAACTTGTCCAGCAACCCAACGACTGCTTCTCCATTCTTCTCTCGCCATCAGATGCCATGGAACCACGAGTCCAATGCTGCAGAAGCTGCTATGGACATTTCTGACGCGTATGGAGATCCATTCGGCCCATCTAACCCTGCCGATTTGGACATCTTCGAGTCCACTCGAGTGGGAGATACAAATCTAGACACTCTCCAATTGCCGGTGGTGCATGGGTCTGCTGCACTTGATTCTCGTGCGATGGCACATGAGCCCTGTACGCTGGAGGCAAGCCATGCCGCCTTGCACAGTTCAATTGCAACATCTCCTCGACCGCCCCCTCTTCACGGCGAAGACCCGTCTATGTTTCTAAGTTCTCCGGCCCGACGGTTTGGATATTCAGAACCCATCTTCTCCCCCCCACTTCGTCCCAGAGTAGAAACACGCCAACCGTATCACTACCAGACAGAAGTGTCGGAGCGTGAAAGGAGGGACAAGGAACTCAAAAGATTGCACCGTCCCAAAAGCTCTAGCCGGCGTCAAAAGACCGCTCGAGTAGAAAGTGCGTCATACGTCCCTCAGGGAGCGACGGGTAAGCCCATTGTAAAAAGGAGCGCCACTCATTCCGGTGCACCACCGCTATCCAGCAGTCGACATCAAAGGCAAAGCTCGTTTTCGAGCGCAGGGCCTGTCATTGGTGGTGGTGGCGTGAAGAAGACACCGTCCAAAGGCCGTACTTCACCGCTGAAGACCCAGCTCACGCCACTCGCCCACCCACCTCCCGCGTCACTGCCGGCTCCCATGGAGTCGCTGGTCCTAAAGATTTCAAAGGATGGCCTTGCCACCACGGAGATGAAGCTGATCTCGGACTCACCCACTCGACTGCGGCCCGGTCTCCGAGACACAGTCTCTGGCGAGTCTTCTACCGAGATCGAATCAGACTCGTCCGATGAAGAGCCAGATTATATGATTGCACAGAGCCAGAACCCATCTTTTGCCTTTCCGGATAATACACTTCGTAGACCTGATTTCGTCCGTGCACAGTCTACATCTCGACCCCACTCAAAAGGCTCGTCGTATTCGTCGGCAGCTGCCTCCAGTCATTCAGGCCAACTCTCTCCATGGACAGGATCAACGCATTCCAGACAATCACAGCTTTCATCCCAGCCGGAAGGTCGCAATCAAAAGAGACGCCCGACACAGCCAGGCCCTAGCCATTCACGCAGCCAATCCATGACGGATTCAGATGCTACTTACGAAGAAGATGGCGCTGGAGATGCTCAGCATGCTCTCATGCAAGTGCTTAAGGGTAGAAAGCGACAGTCTAGACCACCCGTTACGGGTAAACAATCAGCCACGTCATCTTTCCGCCCGTCCACAATTTCCACCATGCGCTCATCACCTCCTTCGTATGGTACTCGTCCACTCTCGCGGCCAGCCAGCAGCAATTCACCAACGGTTACCGACCCAGCACCTCCTACTCCAGCCGCCGATCGCCAGAACAACCCCAGCACCGGCACAAGATGCGTTTGCAACTCTATGAATAATGGCGGACATTTAATGATCCAATGGTAATTAGGTTCCTTGATTCCAGTTCTTGGAAGCATTTCTTACTAACGATCAATCCTGTAGTGACACATGCGCGCATTGGCTTCATACAAAGTGTGTTGGGTTGGACCGGCAAAGGCTGCCGCCGGTTTACGTTTGCGTGTATTGCACTCAGACGCCCAGCCGTGGCGTTCGGCTTCGTGAACCATTTAGCATTTCAAACTCGTCGCCGTTGGCGCGTAAATCGTATGGAGGGCGGTAAGAAAGCATCATCTATGTTGCCCACATCCCGTTGGTTGCGTTCCCTTTCCGCGCAAAATAACTACATGCATATCGAATATCTTAGCGCTTACTAGGCACTAATTAGCGTCTCCTTTGTCGGATATACCAGTTACGTTATGGATCAGTTCCTATACAATCGAACTAAAATTGCTCTCTTAATGTCCTGTTGCGTCAGCTGTTGCCTTTCTGAAATACCCCCTTATATACCCCAGTTCAGCCTTTTCGTACCCATATGGTATATCATGTTCTGTCTCCAAATCATTTATATGTCTCGTTACTGAGCGTTTGTATATATTAACGACCTGTTTATTCTCGTATCGAAAGGTGTCCCCGCTCGACGTGATTTCCATTACCTTCATTCAGATTCTTGGGAAGGATTTTTCCTAGTTTGGATCCACAAGAATACCCATTGCTTTAGCTTTTTCCTTTTTTTTTCCCCTCTTTTTCTTTTTTTTTTTTTTTTTTTTTTGGTGTGTGTGTGGGTGTGTGTGTGTGAAGGCCCTGAACGACGGGCAAAGTTTGTAAACCTCCTATTATTAGATGGGCTGGTCGCTGGCTAGGCCAGCCCAGCATATCCCATCTTGTGTTGCATTGAATTGGAATATTAAACCAATAACTACCTTATCACAGCTGACAAAACGATCATCATTTTGGAGACTCGTTTCTTTTGGATAATCAAGTAGATTAAATATACCGAGCAGCTACGGAGTGTACGTGCCTGACCAAGTAATTTTTCCCACGCCAAGGTAAGAGAAAATAAAAAACAAACATTTATCAATAACCGATGAATCTGTCGGATACAAACAAATCTCGTCTACGGAGTACGCCACACTCCTTCATATCAGTATGCTGTATCCGCATGGACACGAATAGCCACAATCACGTCCAATCAGGACGACTGCTTGCTCGCCTCTCGAAAATTGTCCTGGACATATTTGCTCAACGCCGCAACCTTCTTGCTCAAATCCGTAATGCTTCCCTCCGCCATGATTTCAATCAGGGGCAATTCTGCACCCAGCTCCTTGGCCAACCATGTCCTGAACTCCATAGCAATCAACGAATCCACACCATTGTCACGAATCGACCTGCTTGAATCGATTTGGTCGCCAGCCACGTTCAGCAGGACAGATAGTTTCCTGTTGATTCCGTTGGAAACGACTTCCGCAGCCTCATCGCGGCTCTTGGCCGTGGCGAGAAGCGCCTGGACGTGGTACATTTGCGTGTCACCTCCAGCTTGGTCGCCGGATGTGGTTGTGTTGCGGAGGATTGTGTATGCCGGATAATTGAAGCACTCTGGCGGAGGTACACCGCGGTCTTGGAACGATTTCACGGTGCCGAGACCAAAGATAACCTGGCAGGTTGACTCGGTGAGAGAGTGGCGTGGATCAATGAGATATTCAACCATAGAGTGGACTTCGTCTTCACGCATTGATCCGATGGTCCTTGAAACGTGGCGGGTGTAGTCCTTGTTTTCAGCCACGAAACCAACAGATAGGACGCTGCCCAGGTCAAGACTGGCCGCTCGGACGCCTTTGGAGACAAGGGATCGGGCGAGGGCATCCTGATATGTGTTGCCAGCGGCGTAGTTCGCCTGACTTCTACCTCCCATGATTCCACCGACGGAGGAGAGCATGAGGAAAAAGTCGAGGTCTTTGGGCAAGGCCTCATAGAGGTTGAGAGACCCTTGAACTTTTGGCTTTGTCACAGTGTTCCAATCGAGGTATGACAAATTCTCAAAGGCACCGTCCTGCAATAAACTATCAGCCCGTATCAAAAATAAAGTAAGCGGAACGAATATTTACCCTCAATATCATCGAACCTTGGATGCACCCCTTGATCGGAGGAAGAGTCTGTTGACACTCTTCAACCACCGAACGCATCCTCTCAATGTTAGATACATCGCACTTGAATATTTTAACCTGACATCCCTTGCCTTCGAGAGCAGAAACCATCTCTTCAACTGGTCTAGTGATGTTGCCAGATCGAGAGAGGAACACTAAATGTTTAGCTCCACGAGTGACCATCCATTGTGCCAAGCTCCTTCCGATTCCTCCGAGACCACCGGCAAGGACATAAGATGCATTGGGATCAAATTCGAATGGTGGTGGAATCTCTGGGACCACAGGCACAACGTCCTCAGCATTTGGCGCAAAGACAATCTTACCAGTGTGCTTCCCAGACTGTAGCATCCGCAAACCCTCTTCAAGCTGAGCATAGCTCAATGCGGTATTTGGGCGTGCACCGGTGATCTTCCTCTCTGTCCATAACTGCATCGTTCTCTTGAGAACCTGCTGAACAACTTTTGGCCTATGCTCCGCCAATGCGAGCAAGTCCACACCGGCAAACATAATGTTGTGCACGAAAGGAGACATGTCGAGCTTGCCACCAGCAACCAGGTCTTTCTTACCAATCTCAATAAATCGACCGAAAGGTGCAACACACTCCCAGGACCGGCGGAGGGCTTCTCGAGAAAGAGAATTCAGAACCACGTCAACGCCGGTGTTGCCAGTCAGTCTCTTAACGCCTTTCACAAAGCTAAAATCGCGGCTAGAGAATATATGATCCTCAGCTATACCGTACTCCTTCATAATAAGCTCTTTCTTCTCGACGGTTGACACAGTTGCAAAGATCTCGGCACCAACCGCTTGTGCGTACTGGATAGCAGCTTGTCCAACACCACCAGCGGCTGAGTGAATGAGGACCTTCTCGCCTTCAGCCAGTCTGCCAACGTTCTCCAAGCCGTAAATGACAGTTGCGTAGATTACTGGCAGTCCAGCAGCAACTTCAAAGCTCATGTCATTGGGGATTCTAGCAACAACGCCTTGGTCCACTCTGCTGTACGTTTGGAACGTGCCTTTCTTTGGTGTATCGACGAGATATACCACACGGTCACCAGGTTGAAGCCAGTGAACGGCTGATCCAACTTTAGTCACAACACCAGCAGCTTCTCGTCCAACGACATCCCATGGCAATTCACCCATGACAGTCAGGAGGTCAACAAAGTTAAGACCGACTGCACGAATTTCAATCTCAACTTCATTTTCTTCCAAAGACTGGGACAAGGATGTATCAGTCACCCATTGCAATTTATTCAGCAGGCCCGGGGCAGGGTTCTGGAGCTTAACAGGACGTCTCACATCCTTCCAAGCCGTCATTTCAGGGGCGGGCGTCGACGACTGGCTAGCCAAGAAGTTGGTTGCTGTAGGATAGTCAACAATACGGTTTGTATATACCAATTTATTTCGCATCAGGTACTCTGAATTTGCGTGGTCTGTTTGGCCGCTGACGAAGTGGAACCGGAAGACTTTCGAAATAGCATGTACCAATTGCTTGTTGGGGGTAGAGCCAAAGTCCGCAATAGCGAGAGTCGTGAAATCCAAACTCTCTGCATCACGTTCCCACCGAATCGTACGTAGCATACCGTTGATCATGTTAAACGCTGGTTCAACTCTTGAATCTCCCGTAATCCATAGCAGTTTTCTGCAGCTGGATAGGAAACATTGGACCCTCTTGAATTCCTCCTCGGATAAATCAAATATCACTGGAGTCTGAAGTTCCAACAGAGAGATGCAAATTGCATCAGACATACCCTTTTCTACCAAGTCGCAGGGCTGTAGCACGAGACAGTTAGTAGCTCCTAAGTCGTTTGCAATCTCAGCCTTCAGCTCCGCAATAAGATCGGTCTCGTTTTCAGAAACGTGGCAAAGAATAACCACTTCCTTATCCTTTACACCGCTCTTGGAGGTATCTTCCACAGCCGTTGCAACCATGGTACTCACATGGGCGAGTTCGGGGAAATGCGAACTTGGTATGTCGATATCTAGGCCAGAGAAACCTGCATCTTGAAGAAAGCTGTTCCATTCGGGCACAGTGATGTAAGGACACCACTTGCGAACAGGCTCTTTAGACAGCCACCAACCTGGAAGTTGACCAAAAACAAGTGAGACCCAATGGATATCTGGCCTGACACCTTCCTGAATCAAGAACTTGCCACCCGGTTTTAGCATCAGACGACAATGCTCAAGAGTCTTTTGCAGGTCAGGCGTGGCATGAAGGACGTTATTGGCAACAATAATGTCATATTTCGCTGCCGAGAAGCCTTGGGCGAGAGGGTCAGTTCCAATATCTAGTTTGTGGAAGATGAGGAGGTCCTTCCATGGCTCCAACCTTTCCTTTGCCTTTGAAAAGAAACTTGGCGAGATGTCCGTAAACGTGTAGTTTGCAATCTTGCCCGCGCCGTGTCCGTTTTGCCCATCCTCAGATCTTGGGCAGAGGGACTTCAACATCAGCTTGGTAAAACTGCCGGTTCCGGAGCCGACCTCGAGAATTTCGAGGCCGTTAAAGTTGTCAGACACCATAGACAGATAGTTTTGAACTGTCCTCAACCCATCATTGAGAACTATAACTTCCTCGTAATGACGCGCCAAAAGGTCATCCTGGCCGAACAAAAGATAAAGTGGATCAATTTCTTCCCTCACGACTGGTGCTATTTGAACTCCCGAGCGAATCAGAATCTCTCCGTCTGTGGCGTAGTCCCTTTTTAGAGATTCATAAAGTTGCTCTTTCAAGCCTTTGTCTTCAGAATATTTCTTAAACAATTCCAAAGGAACATGCTGCAGAGTGCCAGACTCAAGCTCAGCAATCACACGTTCCATCCAGTCGAAGTATATCTTCATATGGCCCTCAAGAGGCTTGGCTGGTGGATTTTCCTTGAGATCTGCAAGGCCATCGGCAATCATGAGAGCAGTGCCAAGCTGTAAATTGACTGCCGCGCTTAGCTGCTTCTCATAGGGTGTTTTTGCCATAACCGGATCCAAGTCAAGAAACTCTTTGGTTTCAAGTATATTTATAGCAGGCTTCCAGTCTATACCATATCCGATCTGAATATTGCTTTCCGAAGTATTGTCAGAAGCAAGGGGCGTCATACGGACTCCTGAAAGCATAATGCGTGGCTCGTTGGCTTCAAGGTCCCAGCATTTCGAGCTGTAATCGTAAGATTCATATGCTGCCGTGGAAACCTCTCCGTAGCAACGGAACTTGGTTCCTTCTTGCGAACTGATGCCGGTCGAAATCCAAGCCTCTTTTATGAAAGTAGGTACCATTGGATGTTTCAAAACTGTCTGGCCAATATCGTCACAGATAGCGACAAGACCAGCAACAAGCGTGTTGTCCAACGTGGTAGGGTGAATAACATGTGGGTGAATATAGCCCTTGGGCATCACGGATCCCAAGTTGGGCACCTTCATTTCGCCGAATATGGTTCCCTTTCGTTTGCCGCTGACACTCAAGTTGGACAGGTTCCTAAACAACGGTCCATACTTCATGCCAATTGTTTCCAAGTTTTCGTAGACTTTCCCAGCATCTAATGGAGTCTGGCACACTTCTGCAGCCTGATCCAATGCATCGTCCCACGCCTGTTTTGCTGCCTTACCCTCACGGCCATTCCCGACAACGTCAGGAGCCGAAGCTTCATATTCGAGAGCGACGTAACCTGAGCAATGTTCAACCCAATCGTTGTAGGAAGGAATGTAAGACGAGACTTGAAAATATTTCCACACCGTAGAAGTCCATTGGTTGGATTCATTGACGGGAAGGACAGACAGCGACACCTCAACGCCGGTATTCGTATCTGGAATCAAAAGTGCCGCTTTAATGCTCACGTCTTTGAACCTAATTCCAGTGACCTCTACCGCCTCACCAGCAGTCTGCTTGACTGCTTCGAGAGCCATAACTAGGTACCCAGCACCGGGGAAGATGCAGTTATCCGTAACCTAGAGCCGAATGTCAGAGTTCAGTGGATAGAATAGGGACGTGGGAAACATACGACATGGTCTCTCAGCCAAGGGTTCTCAGAGAGTCTAAAGAACTGTCTCCATTTGCGGTTGAATCGGGTCCAGTCTTGCACAGGCGCACCAAGCAGCTGATGTCGCGGGAACTCCCGCTGACGCACATTCTTAGCCAGCCTGCTCTCATAGTATCCCTTTTCTTCATGGTTGAAAGCATAGGGAGGAAGATTAACAAGGAACTGAGGACGCTTCTCTCCTCGATGGACACTCTGATTCACTTCCTGCAAATTAACTGGAAATGTTTTGCAGGCCAAAGTGCCTATAGTGTTCAGAAGTGTGCTGACAGTAGGCTCGTTGCGATTGAGAACTGATGAATAAGACACAGGGATGTCGGAACTGCTGGCGGCAATTATTTCCTTGACCGCAGATTGCATTGCTCCATGAGGGCCAATTTCGATGATCTCATCAACAACCGCCTTATTCTCGGAGTTGTCATCATTTGATTGGAAAAGCATTGAACGAAGCCCGGTCGTGAATTTTACAGGGGAGACCATGTTGTCAACCCAATAAGAAGCGTCCAAAACAGAATCCATAATCACCTTTCCTGTAACTGTGGACTGCATCTGAATATCAAGATCAGAGCTTCTGCCCGGTTCAAGAGTTCCCATTAGCTCGAAGTATTCGTCGGCGACGGCTTTCATGTGTGCTGAATGGTACGCGTTCTGGACGTTGAGTTTCCGGGCAAATATTCCATCAGCGTCAAGAAGTGTCTTCAAAACATCGACCATGGTCTCATCGCCAGCAACTGTGTTGTTTTTCGGGGAATTATAGCAAGCAATGATAAGCTCGCCATCATAATCTGCATGTATCTTCTCTAAGTAAGGTCGAAGCGCCTCCTGATCAAGCCCAACAGCAAGCATGGCGCCTTTGGGATCATTCTGCTTTGCAGAGACGAATCCACGATAATAAGCGGTTTTCCATGCTGCTTCACGCGAGAGTTTACCCGCACAGTACGCGGCGGCGATTTCACCCGAAGAGTGTCCAACAACGCGGCTCGGAATAATATTCCAAGAAGCGAGTAGTTCAACGAGTGCAACCTGGATTGATGCGCACGCAGGATGTGAGAAACTAGGAGTGCTAATACGTGAATCCCCCTTGTCTTTGAGAATTTCGTCTAAAATTCAGTTAGCAAGATCTGCAAAATCGCTAAGACAACAAGACTTACCCATTAGCGACCAAGAGCTTCCAAGGGCCTTCATATACTCCGTCGCTTCCTCTAGACTCTTTCGGAAAACTGGGTAAACCAAGAGCTGTTGGCCCATACGGTGATACTGAGCACCCTGTCCTGTGAAAACAAAGCCAAGTCTCGGGGAACTTCTAGCATTGAAACACTTTGACAACGCCTTCTCATCTGCAAGGTTCTCCTCCAGTGCGGAGATCGAGTTTGCTAACAGATAACCCTTCCACCGCAGCCTAGATCGTTTCTCCGAGAGGGTGTAGGCAAGATCATCAAGTAGGCTTTCAGCGGCATACATCGGCAAATCAGGCTTTGAAGCAAGGTATTCTCGAAGGCTAGTTGCTACTCTGCTCATACCTTCTTTATCTGCTGTCGACAAGATGAGCAGCCTGGGAACCTCGCTTTGCGTAGTTGCGCCGTTGATTCCGCTAGGGGTAGGAGATGCAACCCCAGTCTCTCCGTTTGGATGTTCTGCAATGCCATTGGTTCCATTATTATTAGGAGAAAGTTCAGCGGCTTCGCTTGACCCATTCGTGATCTCCTCGTGACCCTGCTCTATAGGTCCATTGGTTTCTTGTATAGGAGCAGATTCAATAACCTCTTGGGGCTCATTCACATCTTTGTCGGTGGTCAGATCTACACCATTGGAGGTTGAACATTCAGCTTCCCGCGATTCCTTTGCAGTCTCTCCATTAGCTTGTTCTGAGGCTCCATTTGTCTCATTTGGTGCAGTAGATTCGACAGGTTCGTGGGACTCTTTCGCGGCTTCTCCGTTTGTAAGTTCAGCAGTGCCGTTCGAGTGATTCACATCTCCATCAAGATATAATCTCTGCAGTCTGGCAAGGAGTTCACTGATTTCTTGTTTGGTCGGTGCAGACTGGCGCGTATTATGATTTCCCGAAAGACCATTTTCCTCAAGGAAATGGTAAGCATCATCCAAGACGCAATGAGCATTAGTTCCACCAAATCCGAAGGAGTTCACCGAAACCCGACGTAGTCCGGACTTGGGCCACGGGATACATTCGGTGGGGAAGTCAATTTGCCACTCTTTCGTTGGGATTTGTGGATTGGCTTTCTCGAAGTTTGCGTTCGGGGGTATAATTCCAGACTCCAAGACCATCACGGACTTTATTATTCCTGCAATGCCTGCGCCGCCTTCCAAGTGTCCGATATTTGACTTCAGTGCTCCAATATAAAGAGGGGACTCTCGTTCCATTGACGTGAATCCGTCGGCAATGCCCCTCGCCTCTATGGGGTCGCCGGCTGCAGTACCAGTGCCGTGGGCCTCAACAAACATCGTGGTGTTGCGATCTAGAGACGCCTTTCTGTATACTTCTTTGATAAGATTGGTCTGTGCGGTGCTGCTTGGGAGAGTAATTCCAGGAGTGCGACCGTCCTGATTCACACCTGTTGCACGAATGACTGCTCGAATTGTATCGCCGTCCCTGAGAGCGTTCGCCAACGTTTTCATAACAACGGTCCCCACACCCTCACCACGGCCATATCCCTCGGCTCTGTGGTCGAAACTGAAGCATTTTCCCTCAGGGCCAAGGAAACCGGAATGGCTCATTGCGATGATATCAGGAACGTGAGAGATGATACTGCCACCTGTGACCACAGCCTGTTGCAATATTAGCACCAATATTTCTTAAAGAAAAAAAAAATGTTCGAAAGAGAAAAGGTGTTCAGCCTGGGTATAAAGACTTACCATCTCAGCATCACCGGATTTAAGGCTTTGAGCAGCAAGGTGAACAGCCACGATACCACTGGAGCATGCCGTATCAATCGTGATACTTGGCCCACTGAAATCATAGAACCAGCTGACACGATTCGAGATAATGGATTGCTGGCCACCGGTCGGTTTGTGCTTCATAGCTATCTCGAAGTCTGCATCCATAAGAATCATATGATCTCGGTTAAAGCCACTAGCATAGACAGACGTCTTAGAGCCAACGGCCTTCTCCATTGGAATGCCAGCTGTAGCGGCCGTCAGCACCGAACCTTACGTAGAATTGATGCACTGCCCAGCAAAAACTCACCATTCTCAAGGGCATGATAGACATTCTCCATAGCCACTCTTTGCTGGGGATCCAAGCTCAAAATTTCTGTTTTATTAACGTTGAAGAAAGGTGCATCGAATCCCAAGGGGTCCTCGGAGAGGAAATGGGCCCCTTTGACATAGAACTATTCATGATATAATCAGCGAAATCCTTTCCAATTGCAATAATTGGGACCAAGATGTACCGTTCCGCCATGCTCGGGATCAGGATGGTAGAAAGCACTTGAATTAAACCGTTCTTTCGGGAAGGGTGTTGCTGCTTGACGACGCCTTAGCAAGAGTTCCCAGAATCTGTCTGCACTGGTCGCCTCTTGGGCAAATCGTGTTGCGAAGCCAATGACGGCTAAAGGGGTCGTATCATGATTAAGATTAGAGGTATCCATGATTAGTTAAGTGTAATAGGATTCAAGGTTATGGTATCAAAGGCTATAGAACGTTGACATCCGTGGGGCTTGTGTAAGTAGTTATAGCTTTGGGTAAAGGGAATGCTTGGTGGTTACCCCGTCAAAGGTAAGAGATTGAAGACCAAGAAGCAGGGAGATATTGTTGTATTATAGGCGTTAATAAAAGGCCTTTGTTTGGTCAATTAGTTAGTGATGTATGTGCGTTAGTTATCCGAGGCATCGTGGGATACGCCTCGATAACACCGCATGAGCAACTAACTGGTTGCTTGCTGCAGGCCATTATCGGTGTCCTCGAGGTCCTTCTGACTACATGGGGGACCCATTCAAACACATTTTCCAGAATCAATGGACACGGGCCACGTGTTAAGCATCGCAGGTAGAAGCAGAGAGAAAAGTCGCTGCGCGGGGGCATTATTAGCAAGCATCAACCCGTTTCGGCGGATGTTAAGCTTAACGCTCTCCACTGTGGAAGCTCGTGGAGTCGCGGCCAGTCGCAGTTCGGAAACTTAAGGGATTTGCCCGTTAACAAGCCCCATACAATTTTGTGCGTGGCACGATCGCATAATATTTTTTTTTTTCTTTTTTTGTCGATAGTTTTTCCTTTACGCTTGGCCATGTTGAAGGTTGGCGTCGTCAGAGGCGCTTGAGGAGGGATGCCGCCGTTCTCCCCGGCTCGCGTCTTAGGTCTGTGTTTACGCTGCATATACGGAGGTCTTAGAGCTGCAACTGCAACACATGTAGGAGCAGGAGACCAAGCAACAGGCTGATTGGACCGGGGTAGTTCACGGCTGCAAAGGAAGGTCGAGTCAGCATGCATTGGCGAACCCTTGCTCCAGAATTCATTATCTGGTAGGAAAGTTGCGAAACACGCACTGCAAGGAGAACAGAACCCAGAAGTAGTGGCGGGGAGCATCAGCGGGTGCATCGCCGCGCTGGCGACAAGGCCCAATAGCGCTAAGCCCAGCAGGATCCATGCAGCTATGAGTACCCTGTTTTTAATAGCCATGTCCTCACCGGAGCGAAGTTTGAGGAAGCAAATGAAACAGACATGGCCCCGGTTGACAAAGGAGTTGGTTTGTTTCAGCTCATGGTTCTCCGTCCATTCGCATGGAGTTTGTGTTTCTCCAGGGGTCCAAACGTGATCCGGCTGGCCGGATCCCGGAAAGAGATAAGACACGGGCTCGGTAGCGATGTCAACGGCAGGCAGCCCGAGCCAAAACTGGCCTTCGATTCTGGCTGTGCGGGGATGTGTCGCTAGTGTATTGACCAACTGATGTTGGCAGTAAAGTTGGTTGGTGGTGAACTAGCGGTTGGCGCGCCGCAACGCAGCGACGATCGGGCTACCCGAGTTCTTGGGATCCACGAACCAGCAGAAAACACCGGTGTCGTCCAGGCGTGATGATTCCGGAGGATTCTGATAGGCAAACGATAAGGGAGAGGCCAGCGTACCCTCGAAACTAAGGCCAGTGCTCTCCTACAAGAGGTACGGAGTAGCTACATACATAGCGTGTGGCAAAGAGCTGCTGGTCGAGAATTGAACAGGCGACCCACCGGTCTTTGCCCTGACCAATGCTCGGCCGGGCCTCCATGCGGCGATGATGCGGCCTCCGGTGCACGTCGCGATACCAGAGAATATGACGCATAGTTATCACAGGCTCGTAGGCGCGATGTCTGCTCCGGACGATGGGGAAAACACTAGTGAGCGAGTTGTCACACTGCGAAAAAGTGGGGTTGCGTCCAGTGTCAGTCCCCGTTTGCTCACCAGATGAGATGGGTAATCGCATGTGCATACGTTAGTTAGGTACTGACCACAACTTGACCGAGTGGGAACTGATTCCTAAATGGTCTCGGGAGGGGAAGCAAGAGAAAGCTTCCGCAGGTCAATTTATTTTGACGACCCAGTCCGCTCCCACGCTTCAATGGCAACAAGTATCCCTCCGTGAGCTCAGCTGCGGGAACGAGTGCATTTGAAAACGGCACGGTATTGCATCCGCAGGGATCCGTTTAAACCCTGGCCAATAATGGGGCACCTGGCCGATGGATGCTCTTGCTTACAGGGCTCGTGAGATTCGTTATCCGATCTGTTCCATCGGACGGTTGCAGAATGAGACCGCTCCATCAGGGTCCGGAAGAGGCCAGACATGCACTCCGGAGGTGAGGTGTTCGTCCAGTGGGCCGGTGCTAGTTGATGGCGCATCGTCGGTGCTATCTCTACTCGCCTCAAACACTCCCATGTGAGGATGACGAGAGATATAGGCGCTTTTCATCTCAGCCTCGCCGGTTTAAGTGGTCTGCCCAACCGCCTTGAGCTATTTAGTTATGCATGAAGTGAAGGACAACGAAGGTTGGCCTACGTACGTCCCTCCCATGGGCGGCCCCCCGCACACTTGGGATTGCCCTGCAAATCTGCCGCCTGAATGGTTGGCTCTGTAGCTCTCGGGATCCCCCGCTCTTCCATGCAGTAATTCAAGTACTTTGCTGCAGACCTTGTTTAGTCTTGTGATGGAGCAGCAGTAGCTCATCCCGGCGTTGACCCTGATACCCTGTCTGGATGCGTGTATGCAATGCCAGCTGTCTATTTCCAGCAACACCTTTTTCATCATCTCCACGGGAGAAAACTCGAGCTCCGTAATCTCGTCCGGGCAAATGCCCGTTTCTAGTATGTGCTGCACGGTGAAAGTTAAATGCTTCGGCGTCCCTGGTTGAGAAATAGATTCCAAGGTATATCCATGTTGGTCTGGTAGGAAGGGGGGAAAACAGGATTCAAGAAAACCACATTTTAACAGGTTGACGTTTTATTGGAAAAAAGAAAAAAAGGGTCTCATGAGCTGATGAGCTGTCAGGATTTTCTCAGAGCCCTGATCCAGATGGTCGGGTTCGCTAAGCTCATCTACTCAGGGGTGAGCAGGATTGCAGACCGTCGCGCTGGGGAATTGTCGGGTTAAACAGGATGTCACCCCGTGTTTGCGGACGAGGGAGCCCGAGAGGTGCAGCGTCGAGCGGTTTGACCCATAGCAGAGAGGAATTTAATAAGCCCAACCTCGTCTGAAGCCCTCGCAGACGCTTGGTGTTGGAGATTGAGCTATGTAGCTATCAGTTTAGTTAAAAAGGTGACGAACCAGTTAATCAACTCGGAGGGCAGATCACTTGCCGTGGGCTGCCGTAAGTAAACTAACTAGCATCCCTGGAGACGATGAGCACAACAAGACAACAAGTTTCTCCATCAACACAGCAGGATGCGTCAGGTATGCAAATTCCACCACCAAGAACCCCTGGGGCCAAAAGTCCGGTTAACCAGCTAACTCGGTATCTAGCGATGATTCTGGCTCTTTCACTTTGCACCTCACCTTGAAAGCGGGATAGATGGCTAAGCCCCCTGACAAAATCCATCTTGTCCCCGCGCCAGCAAGAGATATATCACTGAAGCAGCCGAATACTTGCCCATAACCAGGGACAAATAGTATGGCTTCCACCAAGCAGACTCCTATGTCCGGTGCGCGTAAGTCTAGATCGCGCCGGAAAAAAGGTGAATAGGAGCCTTTCCCATATTCATGCCGTGGTTCGCGACTACATCAGGTTTGAAATACCTAACTAACTCAGCTTCTGGCGACTTGCTTTCATAGCGGCAAGGCGGGCTTTCGCTGAGTCAAGATCCAAAGGAAGGGCCTCGAACACGAGGGATGCGAACCCACTCGAAGCTGTCAGATTTTCTCTTCCCACTCCTCGTTTCTACTCATCGTAGAAGAAAACAATTTTCCTCAGAGGCAGCTAACCCATCTCTCCAGGTCCTCCTACACACCCAAACCCCGCCACCTGGCTACACTTTTGTCCCCAAAGGCAACGTCTACATCACCCGCAACAGCCGTCTCCAAACCCACCAATCCAACAAACCCGTCTACACAGTGGAACATTCTAAAACCAAGCGCACGCTAGGCATCTGTGTGCCATTAGATATCCATGCCAGAGTTCTTGACCTCGCTGCCGATACCTCTGAGGCACGTGGGCTTGCAGTCGCCCAAAAGGACGCCCGCCATGCACGCCATGCTAAGGCTGCTCTGGAGCGTGAATTCCCTTACATCCCGGCTCAGGACATGCGTGCAATCCTAAACCACGCCTTTCTCAAAGGCTCTGGCCGTGTGGGACGCAGTGGCACGGTCGGTAGCGATGAAAGGAAAGTGGAGTTGGCAGCTGAGGCGCACATTCGCCATTTGCATACGGGTTACGAAGGTCTTCTAGATTCCGGGATGGACCGGGAAGACGCCAGGAAGCTTGTGTGGGACAGGGTGAAAGAGGTCAAAAGGATGTGGAAGGAAGAAGTATGATATATCTCTCTACGTTAGGACATTCAGTGAAAGTTTGGGATTCGGCGATTGGAGCCTCTGCCTTAGTTGCACAGATACCCACTGTCAGGTTACTGTCTTTGTCATAGAATCTGTATTCGATTACTGCGCAAACTATTGTACGCAGTATCGAGCAAGACATTTTTCGGTTCAAAAACAAAAAAAAGACAAGAAAAAAAAAAAAAAAAAAAACTCTTTTGGTCAAATTTAGAAATCCAATCCTTTCCCACCGATATCCGGAACATGCGTCCCATGAAAGCCAAATCCAATCGCTCCATTGGTATCAGCCCTCGCAACCTCTGTCATGGTCTTCGCGTCAAGAACCAAGAGATAGGACTTGTTTGTGTTCCCATTGAGAACCACTGAGAGCAGAACACCGTCGTCCTCATCATATTCCTCCGCGCCGTCTTCCGACTTACGCGGGATAAAGATGGCTTCACTCGCACTCTGACCATGCTCGTTCCAGCCCGTAATTCGATGTGTTACCGTATCGTACTTGACAAGCCCATCGAAGAAAGTAGAGTTGTTTGTGTGTCTGACACCGTATATGTAGCGATGTGGATGCGTAACGTAGTGGGGATTAAGAGTCGGAAGTTCGAATATCTCATCGGGATCGGTTTGGAATTCAATCACAGCTCTGCTTGGTGACTTGATATCCATTGATTCTGCCGCCGGAACACATGGAAGCCGGAATCTGGTCAACCGCGTAGTGTAACTGAGGTGCGCAGGTTTGGGTGAGGCCGATGAGGGTGTAGACGTGAGGTTTTCGAGGTAGAAATGCGTTAGGCAGTTGATATTATTGTATACAATTAGATCAGCAACGATATCTTTTCCCTTGCCTGAAGAGGAGGGCTGTTCATAGGAGTTGACAGTATGGAAGCAGAAGAACGCATCGCTCTCGTACACAGCTACAAGCCCCCGCCCACCTTCATCTGGCGGACGGCGATCGATAACATACCACCGAGCAGGTCGTGTTGAATCATACGACAATGCATCAACTATATTTCGGGTCCAGAGTACCTTCAAGCCGCCGGCGACGTGGAATGAATTCCAGACACAAAGAATAACGTAGTTTTCAGTGAGACAAAACGAGTGAATATAGGCTGCGGCGGCATGTAGCGTGGCAAGAATTGATGTCTGACCGGTTGAGGCGGACACGCGGAATATACGATAAGTCGGGTCGCGACCGAATTCCAGATTGAAGTTGTACACATCCCCAGTAACCGGGTCGGACTTGGCGTGGGCGGACGAACAAGGACCCTTTAAATCTGGATGTAGGATTGTTTGCGAAGCTATGCCAACGGGCTCAAGAGTTTCTGGGTCCAGAGCCTGAAGTTTTGAGTTATCCGTCTTGTTAATCAGGTTTCGTATCTTCATAGACGATCGACTGTCACCGCCTTTTCCTTCAATCTTCTCCATCCCGGGAAACCCAACCGATAAAGTAACCGACATTGAAACCTCATCTGGCGCAGGATCGCCCCCTTTGTGGAACACAGACATTACCTTTTGGAAAAGACTTCGGCATGGATCATATCTTCTCCCAAACGACATCACCCTTGGGTCGCCAGTCTTCTGGATTTGCCTGATAAGCCCATCACAGGTGCTACGTGAGTTGTATATCACCCGCACCTTGGGGTGATCCTTATTTGGCGGCAGGATCTGGAAACGATGGACAACAGCAAGGGCGTCGAACCAGTGTCTCGTCTTAAACGTGCCATTGTTCTCCGTGTTGATCTCTGCTTGGCCAATTCCAGAGCGATAAAGGGTCCCAGCCGCCCAGGAAGGAATCTCCCCGGTTACAGTGAGGGCTATGGGGGTCCTCTCTTCGTAGGAAGTATCGAACTACTCCCATCAGCCAGCGTGTCTTTTTCAATGAGAGATGTACTACTCACGCCCTGAGGATTTGGCCAATCATCGCAGGATTTGAGCGACGCCTTTTCATAACTTGCCATGATCCAGCTGGTTGGTCTGAAGTGGCTTCGTAACTGAAGGACGGTGGTCCAAAACAGTAGAAAGCGGAAACCGCCAACATTCAATCACGGCTGTGGATCAAGGATAAGACTGCAACCATGCGAATGAAGGAGAAGCCTTGTATGGTATAATGAATCGCAATCCAAGATATCTACTCCGTAAGCTTGAAGGCTATTCCAAGCGAAAAAAAAAGTATTCTTCATGTTCATAAAAACATGGATTTCCAGAGTACGAAGGGATAGTCGACGAATAGCGAATCATCTTTTCTGCGTGCCGTTTCAGATACGGGCACAGTCCTATTTTGTGTCCACACTTGTCGAGGGTTAAAGCCAGGTCTTAGTGTCAGACGACTCCGTATCAGGTAACTATGGAGAGGAGTTGAAGGATCTTCGGCGTTCGAGACGATGCCGGCGGGAAGAAAGAAAAAGGGGCAGCGCTAGTCCTAATCTGGGGTCCATTAGCGAGCGAGATTCAAGCCACATGTGTGGCGCGGAGAGGCGGGTGCTGAGTAATCCACCCGGAATAACTATGTATCCGAATATCGGCAAAATATAAACCCGTGGACGGGATCAGCCGAGGTCAAGAAGGGAACGTCATTTCTGCGGTAAACTACGCGGAAGACTCCATACAGTGAGGGAGATCATACATAAAGTCTCCCGTGAGACGAACGCAGCTGGAAGAAGATAATAATAGCACCTCCTCCGTCTCTCCGCTCCGCTATGCACGACATGCAGGTTGGCAACACCAAACCAACATTGAATGGCTCAATGAGAGAGTCGATAATTGAGGCCATCCCACCGCCGTTTGGAATGCTCCGAGGTTATTGGCTAAGTCTCCCAATCGCTTGGTTTCTTTTTATGAGAATTTAGCGCGACCGCACGGGCTAAAATGTTCTATATTTGGACCGAACATGGGGAATTAAAGTTAAGCTTGTCTTCGGCGGCTGTTATTTTTGGAGCAAGGGGGGAAGAGGGGGTGTATATCAAATCGGATCTCCCTTGAAGGCGATGCATCCTCCAGCATTCTCCTTTCTATGTCCGCTCAATTGAAACCATCAAAATGACTGTTACACGAGCTCACCCCGTTCTTCGGCTCTCCGACAGCCCCAAACGCCTCCTAACATCAGACATGATCTCTCCTCCCCTGTCGCCTGAATCGGGATTTGATCCTAATCGTGTCACTCCCGCTTTTCTCTCTGCCTTGGAATATGTGGCAACCAAGTTTCTTTCGATGTCTATGCATGCCAGATTCATCGTCGCCCGTTTCACACCGCTCCCCATTGGACAAGGGTCGAATTTAAACATCATCCCTGTAACAACGCAAGACAAAGAAGCATGGGCGCTGTGCAGCAAATACGTCCGTCGGGCAGCAAAAAAGTACCACCTCTCCTCAAGCTGGATGACCCCACTCGATCTCTGCGACACACCAATGATGCACTGGGAGCACATCGTCAAACGGTCCCTGGTACAAGGTGACGTTCTTTTCAGCCACGAAGGGCTCTCGCTACTCAACATCGACCATGTTTATTCCTTAAAACAGCAGTCAAATGCCCTTTCTAGAAACAAAACCGACCATATTCCGAAGCACATATATCTCGATAGCTGTCTCTATTTGCTGAGGCAAACAATGCGAGAAACGCAAGGCCGGCCATTCACCCGAGGATTCATCCACTGTACATACGACCATCTCCATGTCCGTGATGATCTCCTCCTTCTCCTGGCAAAAGAATACCGAGCCCAATACGGCCAAGAAGCCATAGCCATGTTTAAACCGAGACCGAAGAACCAGAGGGGAACAAAATATTTTATCAATTGTCGGGGAAGCATGCAAAGGCAGCCAAGCATGCACCAAAAGCCTCGCACCCCGAACACTGCTACCGACGTGACACCAATTACGAGAGGCGAGTGGCAGTTTTTGTTGGAACAAAGTTTGGCCCATATGCACACAGGAGCTTTTCGATGAAAAATTCCCAGCTGCAATACAACCAACCTCTTCAAACAAAGATGAATGTCTTTACAACAACCCCAACACCGCTCAAGACCCAGAAGATTGGATGTCTGGAACCATGCCTTTCAGGGAACAGGGCCGTGCCACTGGGATCCGACGGAAGCCGTTAGATATACGGACATTGCCTCCTGCTGGACGCCGTTGAGGTCGAGACTCTTATGGCATGCGAACGGCCAACGGAATTGATGCTAAACCCCCGATAACCACGCCGGAAAATGGCCAGAAACCAGTAACAAAAGCCTTGGGTGATTTATCCGGCTTGATAAAAGGAGGTCAGAATCACGCCAGTTAGAAAAAGGAAATGGCAACTTCCTTCGGGGAATATTGAGGTGGATATCAGATAACTATAGCGCTCGATTGGGCGTCAACGCTTGAGGAATACTGGGTAATCCAGAACGACGGCTTTGCCGATTTTTGAAAGCCCCAGTTCCCCAAAAAACTGAGATATATTTGTATCAGAGATAGTTCTAAGCCATATACGAATTGAAGGACTAAAGTGTCAGAGCATTTTACCTTGCCACGAGTAGAAAGCTGTCCGTGTTGTGGGATGCGAATCATCAGCTCTGGAGCAAACAAGGCAAACATGGAGCCTTCTTTCGCAGCGCAGATATTTTCAGGCGGTCCACGCCGGTATAGCAGCCCATGTTTCTGAAGAGCATTCCAACGCGTTTACTCTTCCCACATCCGCAAAAATTCGCTTCTTAAGGGCGGTTCGCGGGTTAAATACCCATGCGCCCGCGATTCCAACCCTATTTCGTCGCTACCTAGGAACCAAAAAGGTTAATCAGTCACAGCCGAGACCTCGAAACCAGGCCAAGATCCCAAAGTTTACGACGAAGTCTCAACTGATTGTGCGACGACCTAATACAAAAATGGATGAGCACCCGTCTGGCGATGAATCCCGTCGGAAGCGCGTGAAGCTTTCGGAAGCCGACGCAGCTGCAACGGCGTCTTCGGCTGCACAGCGGGCAACTGGTGGAGTTGGAAGACTTCGAGCAGCGACGTCGGACGATGCGCAGGCATTGAAAGAGGCGGAGGTAGGGATTACGGAGTTTGTAAGCCCAGATCTACCTGGGTTCTCGGGCATTCTTAAAAAACGGTAAGAATAAAGATCCCACGCCGGGGCGTGCTCTATGGCTCAGTTTCTGATGCCTACATACTCTAGATATACCGATTTTCTGGTCAATGAGATCCTCCCATCCGGTGAAGTGCTCCACTTGCAGGACATCAATCTTCCGGCGTCTTTAAAAGCAAGCTCGCAAAATCCTTCGGTGCAGAAGAGTGGGCCAGAGAAAGAAACTGCAGTGCGGGAGAATGGAGAACCCCAATCAGCGGACAACCAGCCGGGTGACAGAGCAACTGATGCGGCTGCAGGCTCAGCAGAGACACCCGCTGTAGAGGGTGGACGGGCAAACCCCGAAGTATGACTTCCCATAACAGTCACCGTGCAGGTCGCAAGCTGATGAGCGGCTTTAGATCCCCGATGAAGACCGAAAGATCCTAGAACAGCATCTTGGGCCAGATGTAGCGCAAAAGGTCCTGAAACTTTACGCTCGTGCACTTGCCAAACCGAATCTCAGAGCTGGAGACTTGGGCCGTGTGAAATCAGACTCAGTACCGGACAAAGAGACGAGAACAATCATCCACCAGGCTCTTCGACGTATATTTGGGGGCCGGATAGAATCTTCAACCGAAAGCGATAACTCGTTGCTAATCTCCTCTGTCCCTGTTCGAAGACTAAAAGCCCAAATGAAAGGTGGTGTTGCGGACAATCGGAGAGGGAAACTGGGCTGGAGTGAAGTCGGAGGCGAGTATCTCCATTTCACTATCTACAAGGAGAACAAAGATACGATGGAGGTGATCAATTTTCTAGCTCGCCAGATGAAACTAGGCGTGAGAGGTTTTAATTTTGCGGGCACAAAGGACCGACGTGGCGTGACGGTTCAACGGGCGTGTGTCTTCCGCGTCGATGCCGGTAGATTGGCAAATATGAATCGTATCCTGCGTAATGCTGCCGTCGGAGATTTTGAATATCAAAAACAGGGATTAGAACTAGGCGAGCTTGGTGGAAACGAGTTCGTCATAACCCTTCGAGATTGCGATTTCCCAGTCACTCTTGGAGAGGACCCAATCGCAGCCGCCTCAGACCTTGTTTCTACCGCAATGGAAAATCTCCGCGAAAAAGGTTACTTCAACTACTATGGACTACAGCGGTTTGGTACTTTTGCGACCCGGACGGACACGATCGGACTCAAGATGCTACAGTCAGACTTCAAGGGAGCGTGTGAATGTATTCTACATTATACTCCGGCTTGCTTGGACGCAGGACAAGGAAAGCCACGCGAAGGAGATGATATTCTTCTAAGCTCTGACGATATCTCCCGCGCAGAAGCAATCCACATCTTCGAATCAACCGGGCAAGCCGGTCCAGCCTTAGCGAAAATGCCGAGAAAGTTCACGGCCGAGTCCAACATCATCAAGCACCTTGGGAGAAAACAGAACGATTACATGGGCGCCTTACAAACGATTCCACGGAACCTGCGGCTGATGTACGTGCACGCCTATCAATCTCTCGTTTGGAACTTCTCCGTTGGCGAACGATGGCGTCTCTACGGCGACAAGGTCGTCGAGGGGGATTTAGTCCTAGTCAATGAATTTAAAGATCGTGATTCCGATCCCACCATTGCTGAGGAAGTCGACGCCGACGGCGAAGCCATCGTCTTACCGGACACTGCCGACAGCTCTGTTTCTGTAGATAGCGTGTTCGAGCGTGCACGAGCACTAACAAGCGAGGAAGCTGCCAGCGGGAAATACACCATCTTCGATATCGTTTTACCACTTCCCGGATACGACATCATCTACCCGCCCAACAAAATGACAGAATTCTACAAGACCTTCATGGGCAGTGAGCGGGGCGGAAAGCTGGATCCCTTCGACATGCGCAGGAAATGGAAAGAAACGAGTCTTAGTGGGAGCTATAGGAAGATTCTTAGTCGACCAGGCCCCGACTATTCGCTCGATGTGAGGATGTACACGGACGACAATGAACAGTTCATCAAGACTGACCTAGAGCGAATTCGTCAAAATGCCCACAACTTTCCAGCGAAGTCAACCAATGAGAACGCCAAAGTTGGAAATGAGGATATGGACGACAAACAGAAAGAAAAGCTGGCTGTGGTAGTCAAATTCCAGCTTGGGGCGAGCCAATATGCTACCATGGCACTTAGAGAGCTGATGAAAACTGGGGGAGCTAAGGTTTACAAGCCAGAATATATGGGTGGGAGGTGATAAAAAGCTTACAATAGTCTTCAAATTATCGCGAGGAATTTACGATATATAACACAAGCTAAAAATGGTTGGCCTAAGGCAGAGAAATGTAGAAATGAGCTCCCTCATAAGGGGAAATAAAAAGAAAAGAAAAGGGAGGGAAGGAAATAGGCACAAATCCATATCCAGTCAATAATCCACGAATGCATCATCCAGGAACAAACAAAACAAACCCCCCTGCGACGTGTCACAAATAACTTCAAAGCCATATCCTATGAAGTCCATACTCCCTATACTGAAAATGTTCACGAAATCCGTAGGTTTGGCCACCTCAACCCGGGCCATTGCCCATCATGCTATGTTGCTGCTGTTGCTGCTGTAGCGCTTGGGCTTGGGCTTGGGCTTGGGCTTGAGCCTGAGCTTGAGCTTGATTCTGAGCAACTTGTGCAGCAAGGATAGCACGCTGATGGCCATTTTCACGGTCTTTTTTCATAACCTCGCTAACGTATTGTCGAGAAATCTTTTCGAGGCCCTCAAAGAACTGGGCACGAAGATTTGGTGGATATTGAGAAGGATGACCGTATTGCGACATGTATTTGGCAGCCATTTCATTTCGCAGTCGTTGAAGATGACTTTGGTACAGGTTCCCGTAGTGCTGCGCCAGTGGATGCTTCCTAGGATTGTTGATACCATTGGGCTGTTGACCAGCTTGCTGCGCTGCCGCCATCATTTGTTGCTGCTGAGCTGATAGCTGAGGCATGCTTCCGTGATGTTGCTGCTGATGACCCTGCTGCGCAGCTTGCATCTGTGCCAATTGTGAGCGAAGTAGCTGTGCCTGATATGCCTGGGGGTGCATCGGCTGTTGCTGTTGTGGGCCTTGCGAAGGTGGTTGCTGTTGTGGATGGTGCTGCTGCTGCTGTAACATTTGCTGGTGTTGTTGCCGCTGCGCTTGCTGAATATTCTGTTGAGCTACTGCGTTTGCGTGCATTTGCACCACTTGCTGTGGATTAAATTGATGTCCGGCAGCAAGATTCTGCTGTTGTGCCAAAATTGCCTGCCTTTGTTGCATCATAGCATGTTGCTGTTGAGGGGTCATCATCATTCCGTTCATCTGCGGAGCCATCATAGCCTGGCCCATTACAGGAGTTTGTGCCATAGTGGTTGTATTCGGGCTGCCATGACTCATACGTTGAGTTGGAGTAATATTCCGCATAATCGGAGTGGCATGAGACATTGCTGGAGTTCCGTGGGGCATCTGGGGCGTTCCATGCGCACTATGGCCCTGTTGGCTTCGGCTAGCGACCATCGCATGGCTCATAACGTTCGGGTGACCAGGCTGCATAGAAACTGCGGCAGCAAGAGGGCTTCCTGCGGCCTCGGCTGAGCTACTCATTCCCATAGTAATACCTTGATTCATATTAGGCACCATTACGTGTCCTGCTAGAGGTGAAGATGCATGAGGCGTGATATTCCGTACAACCGGAGATGACTGGGGACCTTGCGACGCCGAGACGACATGTGGTGGTGGAGGCTGTGTGCCAGGGACAGCGGTCACGGTTCCTCGGGATGGAGGCCGCCGACTTTGCTGGGCAGCCATAAGCTGGGCTTGGTTTGGCGGTTGAGCGTGTTGGGCGGCAAGTTGCTTCCGTCGTTCTTCTCTAGCTTGCTCCTCAAGCTGGCGAAGCTCAGGCCGGCGTCTCTCCCTTTCGGCTTCTTGTTGCTCTCGCTTCATGCGATCCTGCTGGAGTTTCCGCTCGTGATCACGCTTCGCCTTTTCCTCATATTGAGCCCGAATATTTTCCAGTGTCTTAAACCTTGAAAACCGGGGCTCAAACGGCGCCGCGCCGCATTCCTCATCAACTGCAGATTTATTTCCACTAGCAGCAGCTGCAGTAATAGGCTCAAGTCGCTCATCCATAATAAGCATATATCGCTCCTCTTCTGCCGCGAGTGCCTCATCAGCCGCCAGTTCGGCAATTGTTCGTCTTCTGGTCTTAGGCGAAGGTGGCCTATTGCGGTGAAGAGGTGATTCCAAAGACTTGAGAAGCTTTTGGCTCGCGTGGAAGCTGTCGACCGGATCCAGGTACAGTGGAGGCGCCGTAGCTTTAATCATTTTAGCCTCAAAATCCAACATCTCGTGCGGTTCCACCATCATTTTCTGGCGCTTTGCAGGAGGCCCACGATCAGTCGATTGGGATTGAGCCGCTGTCAAAGGGGTAGATGGTGAAGGGAGAGTCGCGGACGCTGAAGTCCGCGACGCTTGGTAAGCTTGCGATTGTCGACGTGGTAACGCTCTTGGATCGGGGGTCATTGACAGGATGGTTAATTCGGCTTGTAGTGATTGAGGAGTAGGATGAAGAACGGTGGTGAAGACCCTTGGCTCGGGAGAGTCTGCGTTCGCGTCATTAGAGGGTTCAGCCTGGACCTCTTTGTCTTTGTTTGGCCCTGACACTGCGATGTTCGGAGCCGGTGTGGTCTGACCTCGGGACTGTTGGTCGGACTGTGGGGCACTGCTGATTTTTGGCTGTGGCTGGCTCTGCTTCGGATAAGGCACATAGGAAGATGGAGTTATGTGTTCGTTATAGTTATGTATGGAAAATAGTGAACTCTTCTCTTTTGAGGATGATTTCGAAGAGTTTGGTTGGACGGACAGTGATTTATGGTCGATAACCCGGACAATCAGGCAGCCTTTAGAAGGAGAAATAAGTTCTCAAACTCTCTCAGAATGAGCATGTGACGAGAAATCATACCTTCGTAAAATCTCACCCCGCCCCTGAGCAATTCCTCCATCATATCGTGGGGAATGGTTCCAGCCTTAATATGTGCGATGATGACTTTCATCTCAGAATTATACGGGAAGCTCCCATCTTGCTGTTCAAAACGAAAATGGGTAGGATGCAGATGTATGGTGAAGGACGGCGGTTGTTTCGCGTATTTCTTCAGAATGTATGACGTAGTTTTCACTGGGAACAAAAGGGCGGCTGTTAGCTCTTGTGGACTGGCACTGGTGCAATGAAGGAAATGGCGATCTCACCGTAGGGCTCAGGCAGTCGCTTTGCCGGTCGCTTATCACCGTTCACGGCATCATTGCTCCGGGCTCTTGTTGTAATGCGCAATCTTGAGGACGGGTCGGAGATCTTCAGCGGCTCCTTTCTCGCCCTCGCCAATTGCCGGTTGGACACGCCATTTATGGTCACGGAGTTCATCGACGGTGACGAGGCAGCTTGGTTTGTGGTGCCGGGCCTGCTTGCTGAAGCTATAGGGGATGGAGGGGGCTGCGGAGGTTTGATGCCGTTGGCCCCGGTTTGGACGAAGCTGGGCGTGGGACGTTTGAGTTTACCGGCAGGCGTAGCGGATTTGGTTGAGATGGCTGTCGCCATGGTCGCCTAAACCGCGCCCACAACCACACGGGGTTGACCGCTATTGGGGCTAAGTATGCAGTAATGCCGGCTGACGAGTGCTCGACGTTGCAGGGGCAGATATGGCGATGATGGATGAGTTCGGCATGTGGGGAGGGATCGGGAGGCGCTCCGGGTGGAGGTAGGACCGGGTATACCGCAAGTCGGGGCTCTATGGGACGCAGAAAGTGCTCTGCATGGTTCACATGGAACGGACACGACAGTCGGACGGCAGGCTGAAAGGAAAGGTGATGCGTAGGCGGGCTGGCTGTCGTCGTGATCGGAATGAATCTCGTCGACGGCGGATGTGATGCCAAGAATGAGGCTTAATGGGGCCACGTGAGACCTGACAGCTGACTAAGCCTTGAGTATCGGCCAGCAGAACGAGCGACTTTGATATCGGAGCACGGAGCACGCCGCACGGGAGAGTGTTTCTGGGAGTGAGAGTTGTGACAGCAGTGGAATAAAAATGTTGGGAGCATGTATTCCATAAAGTGTGGACTAATTAATATATAAACTTTCCAAGACAACATTACAAGCAAGTATCCTTGCGTATTGGTAGGCGAACGATCCCATCCCGGTCCTCCAAAGGGTATCTTTCTCATCCCTCCGCATATTAACCAGCGGTGCCCTTTTTGCGCAGCACCAGAACCCATCCTCCATAGAAGTAATGAAAGAAGCATCATCGTAGTAAACAGATAAACGCCCCAGTTCCCCGCATTAAATATAAAATCCCGGTGCATCACGGGAAGCCGCCCGCTAAAAACCGACAGGCACATTACTCGTGGCCACAGACCCTTCGCTTCCAGTCATCTCCGGCCCTGACCCCATCCACAACATCAATTCGTTTCCCCAGGCCTATAACTCCCTCTTTTTGCCACCATCTTTCCCCTTCGGTTGCCACAGCCGACTCGTCATCGCTATCCACCAGACCTCCACGCCCTCCTTCATCGCCGACCACCACAACAGTTTGCCGGATCCATCTTGTTAGATTGTGGACATTTTCACCTTTATCTCCGGTTATACTCTCCTGCATGTACACGAGATCAGGCGAGAGGTTTCGGAGGATGTTTACGTGACCCGTTGGCGTGCTAAACGGCATAATCATCGACTCTTGATCGACGAGGACTTGGGCTTGATTGTAAAGTGTCTTAAAGAAATGAGATGCAGACGGGAAGTCATCACTGGCGGGCCTAGGTTCCACATCTTTTAAATCCCCCCGAGATTCAGCGCCTGCAGCTTCCTCCGGGCTGATATTGGAGTAGGAAGAAGCCATTGACAGTGCCTGGCGGGAGGAGTTCCCCTCGTTGGCACTCCTTGGTTTCATTCCCGGAGCATATATAAGAACGAAGATACGTGCCGCCTCGGGTTCGATATATTCTGGTAGGCGGGCAAGAATGGACTGTAAACATTAGCCACAAGCGAGATTAAAGCAAAAGCAAACCCCTTAACTTACAGCGTGTTCAGATGCGCTTTCCTCATCACTTTCACCACTGCATACGGATGACACAACGATAGCGACCGTCTTTCTCTTCTTCGCAGTGGGATCAGCAGCCAACGAAGCTCCACGAGGAAGCACGCCGGGCGCAGAGCGAGTAGGCGGCCCTGTAGAACCTGGCGCAGTTGTCTCCTCAGCCCATCTTGAATGATCTTCGAAGTCGTTCGTCCCCTCCTCACGGATTGCGCTCAAGGCTCCTCCAACGGCAGCTCCTGCAGCTGCAACACCAGCAGCGACCGTCTTGCTGGCACCGTCAAACAATTGCTGGGGACTCGGTGTCCGGCGCCAGGCGCCTTGCATTCGAGATATCACGCTATCCTCCTCACCCGGGGATCGGTGTTGGGTCCCAGTGGTAGTCCCTTGCGCATATCCTGGATCGTCGGCACCTGGGTCGAGACCAATAGGCGCGCGACCCTCCTGTCCATCATTATGTCCATCCTCGTCGCCGTCATTGCGCTCACTCCATACCCAAGCGACCAATCCAACAGCAGCAACTGTAACTGTAACAGCGAGAGGTACCCAGTATCCGAGAGCAGTGCGTCTCCCGCCTGAGCTGAAACCGGCCGGGCCTCGACGACGATTGTCTCCAAAGTACCGGTCTGACATGAGGGGCAGAAATCAGTGGATGTCAATGAACGATTTGCCTTTTGCGGTGCGCTGGTTGATGCGAGCAGGACAGCTCATTGCGTCCTGTTCCAGCAGAATGGTGATTCAGAGTGCTGTCGCAGGGGATGATCGTGATGGGAAGCGCATCGTCGAGGGAGCGGCAGGGGGGTGCGAAAAGGCAGGACGGGCGGGCCTTGGTGGCTGCTCCCTTCAGCCTCGGAACTTTGAGCAAAATGTGGCTGGCACATGAGGCTGGCAATGTTTGTACTGTTTGCATATTGCTCCATGACTAAACAAAATCTTATCATCATGTGCTTGTGAAGTTTGAGTCGGAGCTGCTGCGATCATCGAATGACTCCGTCAAAAGGTGTTCACTGTGGAAGAACGCGACAGCAAGCTCCGGACAGCATGGGCTTAAAAAGTAAAAAAGTGCAGATGATCTTTTTTTAATTCAAGCATCTTCCCTTCTCTGTACTCCGTACTGTTTTATAACATTCCAGTTTGGTCCTCCGCTCCAGCAATACCCTATCTTATCAGGCTTATCCCACTTTTGAAAAGCAAATTTGATATTCCCCGCCAGCCCGACATTGAAAGCGGTATAATAGGAAAACGCATAGTTACCAAAGCTTTTTAGAGGAGAGCGCTGTTCGACAAGAATCCCAGACATTTGCTTCCACCTATTCTATTGAACAATGCCTCATTCAGGGCCCCCCTTAGGGTTCCAGGCCCTTATCCTTTGCGGCCCTGGCGTCTCTCTAAACACGTTTACATCCATTCCAGAAGAGTTCCCCAAAGCCCTAGTACCTATTGCAAATCGCCCTATGGTCTGGTACCCTCTGGATTGGTGTTATCGCATGGGAATTACAAGTAAGTACTGTATCGCAACCATGCATTGTATTCACTCTCAGGCGTGCTATGTTCATAGGTTAAATGGATCTATGAGCCCACACAGTAGTTTATATTCAATCTAGTTATCTTAATATTTTGTGGTTTTGTGGGTTAGATAAACTATACGCCTCCGCTAACTAGTTGACCAGACATCACACTCATCACACCTCCAGCCAGCAAGGCAGCATTGGAGGCATCCTTATCGCAAAATCCGCATCTAACATCTCTGCCACCCCCGTCGGCCACAGTCATATCCCCGGAAAGCCTAACTCTCACCACAGGCACAGCAGAGCTTTTGCGGTTACCGGAAGTTCAAGCATGCATAAAATCAGATTTCATAGTACTTCCCTGTGATCTGGTCTGTGATGTCCCAGGAGTGACATTTCTAGAAGCCTGGATGACAACGCATGGCGCGCTCGATGCTTCGTGGGATGGAGACTGGCTCGAATCAAGAACTTCCAGCTTGATAGGTGTAGGCGGCGAGAGGTGCGGACGAAGAGGTGGAATAAGCGTGTGGTATCCTACAGGCCCGGATGGCACAAAGGTGAAGACTGAGGTCGCTGACTTCCTTGCGATCACGCCCTTAAATAAGGATGAGGCACCTGCAGTACGTCCTGGTAATAACGATGGTCCGTCCTCCTTGGCAAAACTGGTTTATACCATGCCGATGGACAGTTTGAAGGATATCATGGAAGAACACCAGGCACTATTGATGCGGCACTCACTATTAAAACGTCACGGCAAAATTAAAATGCTAACAACATATCGTGATGCCCACATCTATATATTCCCTTACTGGGTGAAGGAAATGGCCATGATGAACGAGAAATTCGAAAGCATCAGCGAAGACTTGGTAGGATGGTGGGCAAAAGCCGAATGGCAAAGTGGTCTTGGAGAGAAGCTGGGCCTTCGGGAGATCTTCGACCCCGACAGGGATCACGGAAACAAATACAGCATCAAGCGTGACCAGGTGGAAGAAGACATTGACTTGATGTCTATGAGCACCACAAAGTCTACGAGATGGCTGGATATCAACCCCAATGGTACCGTGTCCAAATCCAGACCTGGTCCCCTAACGCGCAGCGACACCCTCCAAGAAACCGAAGTATCACCTCCACCCGAGAAGCTCGTCGTCCCTCCTGTGCTGGCATACATCCACTCCTCAAAACCTTCGGAATCATTCGTCCGACGTGTCGACAATTCCTCCTTGCTCCTTTCCACCTCTCTTCGTCTCGCCAAACTAGAAGCCATTAGCGACGCCACCGAGTCCTTTTCGCCATTTGCTCATCAAAACAAAATCGCCCACCCAGCCGGCATCGCCCAACGCTGCACCGTCACCAAAGCAGACTGTCTTATCGCCGAAAACGTCACCGTCGAAGAGAAGACGGTCATCAAAGAGTCCGTTGTCGGCGCAAACTGCCATATCGCCAGTGGTGTCCGACTTACACGCTGCCTGCTCATGGATGGCGTTGTCATCGGCGAGCGAAGCCAGCTTTCCGACTGCATCATCGGGCGGAGGGGTAAAATCGGGCGTGAGTGCGTGTTGAAGGACTGTGAAGTGCAGAACGGGAACGTGGTTCCTGACGAAACAGATGCAAAGAACGAACAGTTCATGATTTTCGAGGGCTTGGACGAGGACATGGCGGAAATTAGTGATGGTGAGGAGGAAGAGGGGTTTGATATGCGTGATGACTTTGAAGCTTAAGCACTTTTGCTTTCCCCTTCTTTTCCCTAGAATCCTGCGCTGACCTTGTGCATCTCATGCTTCCTACCAATTGCCGAATAAAAAGAATAAATTATGGAACCAATGATTTTAGATCGTTTCCTGACAAGGTTTGATCCATACAAAATGGTTGTGCAAATCAAATTTGAAGGCCTGATAGGCAAAAAAAAAAAAAAGAAAGTCGAACTTCCTATTCGGATAATAATACTTAAACGAAGGTTATCAATAACCTAATACCGATATTCAAGCTGAAAGGTCTCGATATAAGCAAGCACCGTAGATTGCAGTAGAGCTATGCTAACTCGCTCTACGGTAGCCAACGATAGGCACCTCGGAGAAACAGCTGTATGTAGGTACGCGCCAATGATGGCGCTGGCATGTCGAGAATTCTAAAACAATGTCCGTAAAAGCTTGAGATCAGGAACAACGAATGTGCCAATAAGTCAAAAGATTGAGTCTCCAGAGACTCTAGTTCTAGATGTTGATAGATCCAACAGTCTCGGACCGAAGGGGGGAAATCCCGCCTGGATAGAACCCGTGCAGTTCCTGAGCTAATTCGCACCCAAGCTGTGAACAATCAAATCCACAACTTCAATTATTTTTGTTCACATCATATTCATAGACTGGGTTGGGTGGGTATCACTAGGGCAAATATGTGTAACAGTTGGATAGCGTTCTCGCGGGCTTGAAATAATTTGTAACCCTCCCACAAATCTCTGAGAAGGAGAGGATGTGGGCTTTTGTGCCTCCTTTTGGCAGTTGTGTGTTCAGGGATCGCATCAAAATGTTTAGTTGAAACAGAGACAGCTAGCAAGTTATTGTCAGCATCATTAATATTCTTTAGTGGTGAGCTAACCCTACATGCGGCAATGTTTACCCCTACTTCCAGAGTCTTCTGGTGCTGGTGCTTTGGTTGCTTTTTTATGCAATCATTCACCTTGGCTCTTGGCGGTAACACCTCAGCCTGCGATCTCTTCCTCAGCCTATATGGATGGGGGCCTGGGGCACTTTCTTGAACAGTATCGCGCTCTGCATTAACTATGGGCGAAGTCACTTTCGCCTGTGATTCCCTCCTCGCACTTCGAAGATCGTATGGAAGAGATGTTGGCACACGCCCTTACATAGCACTGTGCCCCTCATTAGCCCTGTCAGAATATTTCACCCGTGATTGCCCTTGCTTTTGTAGATTATCTGGATCTTTTGAGGGCAAACGCTTTTGCAAAACAACGCGGTTCACCCCTTCAAAATCAAAAAGATCTTTCTGCAACCCAGGACTCTGGTGTTGGTGAACGCTCTTTCCTACTGATATATGTTCTTCGGCATTTGCAATCAGGCTGGCGGCCCTTGTGGAAGCGGAACTGGGGCGATCTAAGGATTGCGAGGAGTTAATGCGGGAGCGGGTTGTTGTATCGGATACATCACAATCGCCCGGAACTAAGCTATCTAGAAACTTTTGGGAGACTGACACATCTCTGGCCTCGTCAAAGAACCTTTTTTGTCCAGAAAAGAGTGGAGGCGAAGAGAATGCTGACGAAGACATGATATTTGAATTTGGCAATTGTGGTGGACTGGAAGATAAGCTGATCCCTGACACAGCCAGATCTTCCATCTCAGCATTTCTGGATATGCCAGAAATAAAAATAAAGATATGCCAGCACCAGGCGGTGGCATCGGGATCAAACACTCGGGTGCTGTAGACAAAGGGAAAATATTCCGCGGGTTTGTTATTCCATCAACTATTTCCGCCTTTTGACCTGTAATCGAATCAGCAGTCACAACTGGCGAAATTTTTGGGGTCATTTGAAATATAGGAGGGACAGATATCACGGGTTTCTGGAAGTTAGCTGCTTAACCGAAGATGCGTTTGGTTGCAGACACAACGCAACAGCAGGGGCCATATTCATGTAGGACGTCTGCGGTCCCCGTTGTCTTGGACCCATTCCTAAGCGACATGTTCAAGCAATACTAGCAGTGCAGTTTCCGGCAAACTCAGTAGATCCAACCAGAATACTGCAACTATTGTAGCCGCTTCTTTCTCATGAACACGTCGGAGGTAACGCGCATCCTTAATGGCGTCCCCTGGGCCAACATGCTTAGGTCCAGCATAGGTGGAAAGGTAGGAAGACAGAGTGGCTCTGCAAAGGAAACCTGATAGCGCATCACCGGAGAACAAAGGCACTAAAACTATATTCCTAGGTTTCCGCACCTGATGTATTCAAGTGCATATTGGTTATTTCTTGCCGATGATTTTGTTTGACAGGAACACAGTGAGTTCTGGGGATGACCGAAAGGCTATTGGGCAGGAGCTTGAGCGCGCATCCTCATCATTAAAGAGTGAACAGCGGAAATCCAGGGATGTGGATGTAGCGCATATCCAAAGAAGCCCAGCAATGGGATACGGATGCAAAACCGTCAGATAATTCTTTCTTCATGATAGCAAGGACCGACAAGAGACCAACAGGCTGCTTATATTTATTAAGCAGACAGCATGCACTCGCCTTGACGTAGATTAAAATACTTGATAGCTAGCAACAAGTCACCAGCCTAAGCCAAAATCAAGTCTAGCTAGGATCCCTGGAGAATGCGACTTTCATCATCCTAGAGTTTTGTTAGCAGCATCGTGACAGTCAGTGCTGACTCCATTGAATGAACAACCACCTTTCTGGAGCAATCCAGGAGGATGGTGGAGAGAAGAAGAAGCGTTGTTGAGCGTTGAATCGAATCAAGCGTCCCGCGTGTTTTTCGTCGACGGGCGGTTGATCAGCGCCCAACACGTGATGCGCTGACGACGGCCCGGGCGGAGAGCGGCAGCCAGAACGCGGATCCCAACCTTCAACACGCCGACAGCTCCCATGCAAGCCGCAGTTAGCTGACATTGGTTGCGATCTCCAGCAAACCAGAGTGCCGACGTTGCTCACATTCAAAAAAAAAATGAGTGGCTTTAAGGGGATCATAAAGGATGGGTGGCATCCGAAGGGGAGAGACGGCGGACGAGAGAGCTGGCGTGGCGACTTCAAGGGGATCAACCAAGTGGTAAAGTGTTCAAGATCTCCTGAGAGTTAGTGATATGTAATGCTGTAGCTAACTCTGTGAGTCTTAGGCCGGATGGGTGGGAAAAGGAAAAGACCCCAATGCCAGCCAGAGAACAGAGCATGTTGCACGCCCACTGTCGAGCCTGAAGGATCCATCGTCTTTTGCACCACCTCCGAAACGCAGCAACACTGGGAACGGGGCGTCATACACCCCTCCTCCGGTTCCATCCCGCCGGCAAGCTGAGCAGGAGACATCGAAGAAACCTGCTCCTCCGCCAGTCCCTCATCGCGCGTCCACCACAGGCCTCTCAACCAACCGCTTCCCGACGCCTCCCGTGCGGCAGGAAGGTGACGGCACAGCGACAAAATCAAAACCGTATCTACCACCACGACTTCCTCCCCGAGAAGCGCTGCCCAGCACTGCTTCCTCTCCACCTCCTCCACCCTACGAAGCCGTTCAAAGAGCGACAGAGCCGTATCTGAGCCAAGGTGCCACGAGTCGTCTGGCAAAGGCGGGCGTCTCGGTTCCAGAATTGGGCATCCAGCGTCAAGGAAGCAATACTTCAAGCTCTCAGAGCCCAAATTACGCTTCCACAGCGATCAACGCCACAAATGAATTGCAGTCGCGATTTTCGCGGTTGAACACCTCTTCTTCCCCTGTTTCCTCTACTCCTGCCACTACACACTCTCCCGTACAAGGCGTCACTCCGCAACAATTCCAAACCGCAGCGACCGCAGCTTCACATATCGCATCCCAGCCCGCCGTCCAGCAAACTATCCGCAGTAATGTCTCCCCTGGACAGCATCCGGCGCCCCCAGGACGCACAAACAGCTTCCGAGACCGACACGAAGACCAAATTCAGTCCGTGAAGGGCAAGCTTAACGGATTAAACCAAAAATATGGGATTACCAAGCGGATCAACGATTTTATAGAAGACCAGAAGTCGCCAGCTTATCCAGATGCTCCTCCACCTCCGCCGGGGCATCCCTCAAGTCAACCAGCTATCCCAAATCATCCATATTCCTCGCCAAACACGTCAAGGCCCGATCTGGATGCATTGAACAAGAGAAAGCCACCACCTCCGCCACCACCGAAGAAGGCATCCATGCATTCAAAGCCGGTTAATCATTCCCCCTCCCCACCACCCCTCCCGTTGAACACGAAGCCGCGATGAGTGCTTGTTTTCCCCTTTTCTTTTTTCTTTTTTTTTTTTTTTTGTTTTTGTTCTGTTTTCTTTTACTGTTTTATGCATCATCACCGGTCATAGGAGTAAGGTTCGGACGGTTTAGGCGGGTTTTAGGCATTTTATTTTACACTGGGAGCAATTTTAATTAACCACCGGGAAGTGAGTAAGAATATACATTTATACTTGTATACATACATCCCAGAGAGAGTCAGCCGTGAAGCAGATAGAGTAGTTAACCCGCGTACTGACTAATAAATATGTAGATACCTATGAATTGCCAACTTGACAAGACTGCATCCAAGTAGGCCTGCCGGCTTATGTGAAGAACAAGGAAAGGGAGGAGAAATTCATGGCTCATGGTTGCATCGCCTGCCTAGGTTTAAACCTACGTTGATGCTTGGTTTATTCTCATACATTCAAGCAGACCACTTATCTAGGTTGCACTTCTGGCGATCGATACCCAGAAACATGCTCAAGTGTGGATGGGCCTATACCCCGATCTCCCCCTTTTCTTTGTTCTAAAGCACATCACGGGCAACAAGGACTCTGGATGGAAGGGCTATCCAACGTTAAGTGAAGTCGAGGGTTGAAGCATACACATTGACGAATGGTCGAGGTGAAATGATATACAGCGATTTCACTAAGCAGTCAGCGTCACATCTTTATGTTAGAATCTATTTCTTTCATACAAGATTGACAAGCGCTGCCGTGACTTGATTACAACACTCGCGCTCATTCTCTTCAGCAAGAACGTTAGCGTCAATATTTCCTCTTTGGCAGAGTCTATACCCCGATATACGTGCCCAGCCAAAGGATACGATGTCTTCCCATCCCTCAGAAAACATCCCTCTCGCCCTCTCCACAAACTGGTTTCTCGCAACCCCACCTACGTTCCCTTACCCAGAGCTTCGCGCGCACGCGCCCATCTCGTCTGCTACATACACCTGGGAATACATCGAGCGCATTGACCCCGACCCGTCCAACTTGACCACACACCCAGGAGTCCTTAGCCAAGACTGGACCGTAATCGGGGCAGTGCAATGGGAACTGGACATGAGCATAACCAAAATTCGCGTGCAATGGAACACATCCGACATCACCAACACCCTTCGCTCCGACATCAAGCACCTCCCTTCCTCGGCGCACGGACCCAGGGGCAACACCCGGGAACTTACCCGGGAGCAATTACTCCTCGCCTCTCAATGGTACGCGCCACACATCCTCTCCTTCGCGCGCTCTCGTCTCGGCACCACCGTGGCGGACGGGGAATGCTGGTCGCTCGCGTCGGCGGCCCTACAGCACACTCGGGGCGCGGCTGTGAGGGAAGGGCACGAACCACCGCAGCCCAGCACGGGCCGGGTGCACGGGCAGTTGGTTCTGGACTGGGACGTGTCGTCGCTAGTTCCGGCAGCGGGAATCCTGCAGGCGGCGGACGTGCGGGCAGGAGACGTCCTGGAGCTCAGCGATGCGCATTTTCGACATATTAGGGTGCTGTTGGGCGGGCTAGCGAGTGGGGAGGAGAATGTTCAGGTTGGTGAGCATACGGCGATTGTGGATGCGGTGGAGGGGGAGAAAGTGAGTGTGGTTGAGCAGAATGCCAGGGTGGAGAGAGAGGTGAGTGTAGGCGCGTATGATCTTGGAGAGATGGTGAAGGGGAGGGTGAGGGTGTTTAGACCAGTGGGAGGGAACGGGACGGAGAAGATGAGCTTGAACGGGCTATGTGAGGAATGGTGATGTTATCGATTCCCAGCTGCCTGCCCGTGTGTATGTAGATCGAGGTTACGTGTACTCCGTATTCATTTGAAAGACATTTTCCACGCGTTTATCCGTGGTTTGTTCCTTGCCTGGGGCATCCAAAGTGCTAGCCACGGACCATTTCGTGTTCAAACTCCCCCCCGGCCTGGGTGTCGTTTACTCCGGCGATTGGCATGCAGCCAACCCCCGCGAAACCCCAGATCCCGAGTTCCAAAAACCCCCCCCACATACCACCCTTTGATCGGCACGGATCTCACCTTCCGGTACTCCGTAGAAATGCAACTGAAACAAAAGGGAGAGTAAGCTAAAACGCCAGCAGGATTCCCCCGGCTGAGCCCCAGGATGGCCCTTGCTCAAACATCGAATGACAGCGCCAGAAAATGCCGAAGGGATCGTCGAGTTGCGATCAGGCCATCCCTCTTACACCGGCGAAGGATGCTGAGTCCTGCAAAGCTACGTTGAGAACTGCAGGGATCAAAGGGCATGGAGACATGCAGGAAATGCATTTCTTTTGGACAAAAAAGAAAAAAAGGCTATCCTAATCAATAATACACGCTCTCACTCAAACAGCAGACAGTTCATCGAATACCAGAGCACACTTGGCAGAAAAAGCACAGAAATGTAATAGACATGAAAAAAGAAAAGAGAACACATGTAACAAGAAATCGGGGGAAAAAAGGAATGGAAAAGGACAAAGTCAATATTTAGCCTACCACTTGATTAGGAAAGAAACAAGAGGAAAAAAAAAAAAAAAAAAAAAAAAAAAAGTAATTGAAGGACAGGTGTACCTCGCTGGACAGAACAAAAAGGAAAAAAGAGAATCGATCAAACCACGCGGGGAGAGTCAGCAAAGGAACGAGCAACCCATTAAATAACTAGTATACGGAACTGGGATACACGGTGCCAAAAAAAAAAAAAAAAAAAAAAAAAAAAAAATTGGTAAAGCAACGGAGCCTTCTTTTAGGGTTTCGGGTGTAATATGAGAGGAGTCGTAAAGGCAGCGGGGTCTCTTTTTTTTTAAAATGTCGTGGGTAGAGGGAATGGCGCACAATGCTATGTCCCTGTGTGGAGGTGGAGTGGTTGGCGTGACAGGCTTCCGAGTCGTCATCAAAGAAAATAGTGTATAGAGACGTCGAGGTCGAGACAATCTTCGCATCGAGAACGATCAGGACAAAAAGAGTATGGTAAATAATACACATAGGAAATCGCTAGAGGAAAAAAAAAAAAGGAAAAGAAATTCTTTGCGGGAGAAAAAAACGCCGCCGGTGATGCAGAATCGTTAAAAGAAGTGTGTATAGACTTTGGATGATTCATGCACTTCCATCTCCTGTCCATGTAGTTAGCGAATCCGACCGTTGCCACCACGCTCGATGCGAGACCTGGCTTACCATTTTAAAAGTATTAAGCTCCTCCTTGATCTGCTGAGCCAAAAGAGGAGTCAAACGATTACAAGTCGCAATATCCCCACGACGATCATATTCGCCGCTAGGCCATGTATCATGAAACTGAATTCTAGGGCTGAAAGAAATATTCTTGACGGTATTCTGGGGTGTGACTGGAGCGCTGCTTGCTCTAGCGCCACTAAAGCGGCCAGGCGGAAGGAAATATTCTTCGCCTTCAATTGTTACAGAGTCTGTACGACGATGACCAGAGCCCGGGGGCCGCTCATCGCGTGGTGTGCTGGGCGCACTGGAGTGTGGAGACTCAGCGAAACGAGCCTCTGACGGTCGCATAGCTGGAGAAGAGCAACCAGGAAGTGTTTCTACATGACACGTTAGCATCTGGTCATACGAAAATGTGGCTAAACGAGACCGTACTCTTGAGAATGCCCTTCTTTACCGCAGCTAGAACCTCAGCCCTTTCCTTATCTCCACCCAAGATACTCTTGCGCGAACGAACACTGTCGGTCTGCTCAGCACTCCTTCCAGAGCCTGTTGTGTCTTCTGAATTTCGCTGGATTCCTCGACTACCACTTGGACTCTCCGTTATGGCGGCAGATGGCATCTCACGCTGAGCCTCGACCGTCACTCTTGAAACCTGAGGCACCATTGGCTCTTCCCGACCAGTCTCGAGCGAGACATTATGCAGAGACTTGGGTCGGAATAGCCCCACAAGTGACCGAGTAGATCGTTTAACGTTCTTGCCCATCTTACGCAGCATGATAGACGCAGAGGATGCGGTGGATGAGACCGAGATGTTATCAGTCGAACCTGTGAAAAAATGGCGCTGGCTCGTGTAGATGTTCTCACCGAGACCACTAGCCTCCTGCTTTTCAGCGATGGCGGCTTGCTCGGCACCGAGTTCTTCATCGAGCTGCTGCTTGCGGGTCATTTCTGGAACTTCAGGTGAAGAGGCAACACGAAGCTCTGCGACACTGCTGAAGGAGAGTGCTCGTCGTAGTCTCGATTTCCCTTTCCCACCTTTCTTCGAGATCTCGGTGAGTCGCTTTGCAGCCGCGCTTTGGAATTTGGTCTGATCGGAGGGTGCATCTCGGGATTTCCCATCGGGCTTCTTTTGTGAATCATCTACATTCATTTTAGAGGCCTTGGAGAGAGGGGAGGAATTAGCGCGTTGTGATACTTCGGCAGGTCGTGACGGTGTCTGGTTAACCGATTTGGAATTAGGCTTGGAGGCGCTAGGTTGAGTAGAGCCCTAAATGCAAAAAAAAAAAAAAGAAAAAAAAAATTTAGTAGTGCATATAGATACCAAGATGGAGGAACCTACCAGGCTCGACGAACGAGAGGGAGTTTCCAACCGATTTCCAACAACAGAGGGCGGCATCTGGGGCGAATCCGTCTGCGATTTCAGGGGTGATTCCGCGGAACCAAGAGGAGACTTGACCTTTGGAGAGAACTCTGAAGGTGCAAAGTTAAGAAGGGCGGCGTTGTCCAAGCTTCCAAGACTCCTACGTCGATATCTCTTTGCGAGCTCTGGCGCAGGTTTGTCAGTGTTGGGAACGTTGTCAGCACTGGCATTTCGGCTGTGCTGGGAAAAGTTCGTCTTGAGTTCCGGGATCTGAGGTCTAGAAAATGACAATGCGGGGTACTTCTCGCCCAAGACTGCGTCAGGGGTTGCCGATGGACTCAGCGGCGCTGCAGCGACGGTAGTTAACGCAGATGATGGAGTCAGGCTTGCCGGCTCAGCACGTCGCTGACCACGACGGTAGCGATCAGGAGAAGGTCTCGAGGATGGAGAGGACGGAGCAGGAGGCATTGAGATGGGGATAGAAGGCAAAGACATATCTATGGAAGAGAGGGGACGTGGAACACGGTCTGGCTTCAGGTGGCGGGAAGGCAAGGCCAGGTCATCCTTTGAACGTGAGGAATGGGCGGATGATGTGCCAGATGCAGAAGAATTAGTAGATACCGAACCAGCAGCATGATGGTAATGTGTACGAGAGGGGATAACGCCAGGGTATGTCGGGGAGAGGTCGGTCTGCGACGCGTGGCTCCAACTGTCCGCTTTCATCTGGGAGAGGCTGTGTGGGCGTGATAACTGGTTACCAGCGTTGGCCAAACCGGGAGTGCTGGTAAAGGCGTAAGGTGCGACGGGCTGGGCTGACGGGGAAGACGACGAGGAATGTCTGTAGCCTGGGACGGGGCCGACGCCGCTGTAGGACTGCCGGTGGTGTTGGTTATTCCGAGCCATTTGGTATTGTTGCTGCTGCTGCTGAGAATGCAATTGCGAGGTGCCAGAGGAAGAGGCGGGACGGGGTTGAAGCAAGGTGATAGTAGTAGCTTGCTGGGGGATCGTTTGAACCAATGCGGCCATGTTTGACACACTTGCTCTATAGTTCGAAGAAGGGGGGTGGGCTTTAAATAGGTCGAGAAAGCGAGAGGGCAAGTCTAGATCTAAAGATCCGGCGACGCTAAAGTGATCACAACAGGACGTGTAAGCGAGGGGAAAGTGAGCAGAGAGGAGGACAATCTATCAGTATCACTCTAGTCAGCCAGAAACTCTTCACCATTCAGCCCCTCGTAACCACCCTCCAAAGAAAATCAAAGGTGGTCTCTATATTTTGCCGGGAAGTGAATCGTCGAGGAGGGCGCAGCGATCGAAACGATTTCGGTAGAAGCGGGGAAAAGAGAGAGAGAGAGAGAGAGAGGAGTGGGGGGTTTGAGGAAGAGAGTTCGCATGAACAGCGGGAAGAATAAGGGTCTCACCAAGACGTGAAATGTAACAAAACAAACAGCCGCTGAGACAACGCCCCGAGTGGACGATGCTTTTAACCACGGCGAACACGCATGCCGGCGAGAAGAGAGGATGCAACGAGACGATTCTTCGATAGATTCGTATGGGTCCAAAGGCTTGGAGAAATGTAGAAGAAAAATGAAAGAAAAGTGGGAGAAACAAGGGTAAAGCACTGGCTCGTGTCAACAGCAGTCAAGGATGACGACCAAAAGAAACAAAAAAGCAAAGGGAAAAAAAAAAAAAAGAGAAACAGCAGCTGCGACAGCACCAAATGGAGAAGCAAGACAAGGGACAAAAATATACTGTTTCAAAAATCAAATGGGGGGAAACGAGCTGAATAGAATCGAAGGGGTTGGAGGGGAGGCTAGGGAGCTGACGGCTAAAATGCCCCTTGAAGGAGCAGCTGAAGAAGGCGTGCGGAGATGGATGGAGCGAGGGAAGAGGAAGAAGGTCAACGCCAGCGATGAGAGAAGAAGGAAGAGAGGAAGAGGTGAAGGGGGGAGGGGGAGAGAGTGTGAGAAAGCAAGAGAACGAGTGAGAGAGAGAGTGTGTGTGTGAGTGAGAGAGTGAGGGAGAAGAGAAGAGGGAGCGAAGTGAAGTGAGGTGAGGTGAAGTGAGAACGAAGTGAGAGTGAGACAGACAGACCGAAGAGGAGAAAGACAGCCTGTTCTGGTATGGTAAGATTGAGAATAGGGGAAACAACCCACCAAGCCAATCAGCAACTGGCGTCAAATACCAGCTAGTCCCAGCCCGGCCTAGCGCCAGCCCCACCACGATCTCCCGCCCGCTGCTGGCCAACGCGCACCCTGATTGGCCAGTCCTCGTCCGCGGGCTCCCAAAACAGCTTAGCGTCCCTGACTCAGCACGGCCCTGACACCAACCCACGGCCGGGAGGTTGCGACTCACGACTCATTACATAGTCACTCGACGCTGGGCACTTCCTGTGTACGTACTCTGTACGGAGTAATATGTAGCTGGGCAGAGCGGGGCGCAGCCACCCCCCCCCACCGTTAGCGAGTTACAGGGCATTGTCCTCTGGCCCTCCGGGCTCCTAACACCCTAACCATGCCCTAAGGCTGCTCCCTAACTTCCAGGTAGCTCCAGAGTACAAGCCAGCGGCGCACCCCCAAAACCCTGCACTCTACGGGGTCCGGAGTACACCTAAAGAACCTCAACCTCGAAAACCCCTTGGGTGCCCTCGCACCACCCCACGCCAAGAGCCCACTCGCCAACCCGGGGGTTGAATTTCAACCGCATCATTAGAATCCGGCACTCAGGGAACCCACCACCACCATCCATCATTGTCATCACTGCTCCATATAGAGTCCTATCACCGTTGCCATCACCCCGAAACGAGAGTCGTCCCTCCGTGGAGACATGCCGGGCGGTCTAGAATAGCCAGCCGCTCCATCCGAGCTGCGCGTCCGCCGGTCTGGAGCCCTCCTGCTGACATCATCTCCCGCTCTACGCAATCGATCACGGCGGAGTTCCGCCGCCTCTATTTGCCATCTGATTCTTCTCTGCGCCTCTGATCTTCTGCTCTTTGCTTTCCGCCGCTCCTGGTCGGATCCATCTTCACAGCAGAGAGCAATGGTGCGGAGCTCAACATAATCTACCATTGTTCTTGCTTGGATAGTTCAAGCAACAGAGATCATAGATGCTCCGAAAATCTTTGAGATGGGCTTTCGTGCTTGCCCTTGCTCCAGAATCCCTCATATTTATACATGCACATATATATATAACCCATAGTTATCAGTGAATCTGGATGTTCCTGTTCTGAGGTAGTGCAAGAGGCTGACTGCTGTGTCATTACCCTCTTCTCACCCTTTGCTCACCCATCCTTACCGCCCTCACCATCTGCCTTATCGTTTCCCCATCTCAGCATTCCCCACTGGTCACTCATCTGGCAGAATACACTCCCAATTGTGGCAAGTATACACCATAAGATGGATTCCTCTACTTTCACTAGAACATACATGGCCCAGTTGTTCACACCGAGAGAAGAGTTGCTCTTCTCTATCTCCATATTCTTCTGTTTCTCCTGTTGGGTCACTACCTAAATTCACTGGTGACATCTTTCTGGATCACTCAGCTGAAGTCCCTCCTACTGTTGGTTGAGAAGGGGGCATCGTGTGACACTTTGACTGCTTCACCACCCAGGCAGAAACCAACTGATCTAGATTCTAGAACCAACCTACCTGTATATCCCACATTGGAATCCAGGCACTGTTGGCAACCTCTTCATTCTTTCCCATGCAAGAGACTTTATACACTATTATTGTTCGGGGTTGAAAATCAAAAGAATGGGTGGAGAACCCCAAGGGATCCAATAAAGAAGCTGGCCTGGTGGAGTTAATGAATACCATCTGTGCATGATGTATTCAATTTAGACACTGAGTAGCCTGACTACCCACTGCATCACTACAGCATACAATGCAACCAACCCTCTGCTTTTTGGTGTATTGCCAGGGCTGCTTGTCAGTATCCGTGACAAGAGCATCCTCACTTAATTTATGTATGAATGTATGTACAGTACATATGTACCAAAATTCTGGAGAAAGATAGCATCAGTGACTTGGGACTACTCTTGTACACATTTCAAGGATCTTGTAACATTCTCTCACTGCCTGATGCACGCCCTCCTATCCTACTTGACTTGTTACTATTACCTCTGCAGCAACTATAAATCTAATACAGGTGCACGGGAGCTTAAAGCATTGATATGATTCACAACTGTCCAAAACTATCCAGTCCATTTCAAGCTTGACATTGATCAAACGGCCACATTGTTCTCAATTCCTCGCGGTCCTTGTCATTCTCCATACTTGCCATAATGGTTTCATAGAAATATTGATGAGCTTTCTTCACTCCCTCCCAGTGATCCTCAGACACCCAGCCATCCCCCTCCACTCCCAGGGTCTCAACCATATCCTGCCTAAACTCTAGCATCCCATTGTAGATACCAAGCTGTTCCTTGTAGGACCTCATCTCCTCCGGGCTCAAGGCCGGGATGGGACAGTCCTTCTTAAAGCCAAGCTTTTTCCACGCCTCTCTTAGCTGCATCAGTTCGTGGGTGAATGGTACAAACCCATCTCTCCACATCCAATGGCAATAGCGAAATGGCCGGAGGAGTGTTTCATCAATTTTTCTGGTTTCTCCTAGATGTGGAGCCAGAAGGGCCCAGCCTAGTTCATATGCTTGGCTGCAAAGCGTTTCCTCAGAAGACTCTGATGTCCCCTCAGGAGAGACCTTGGCAAAATCAGGTGCATCATCTGTGTAGTAGAATGCTGGCTCAACACTGGCACATTGCCAATCAATAATCCCAGTCACAGTGGTGGGATCATCTTTAGAGATGAAAATATTTCTCTTGTGTAGATCTGGGTGGAAGAGGGTCGGTGTTGCATTAGATTTGATACCAGGGTGTTGTAACAACTCAGAGAAGACAGCCTGGCCCACTTTGAGCAGCTCCAGATGCTGGTTCACAGAGCCTTGGTAGGATGCTTGCTGCTGACAGAGAATGAGATGATCAGCTGATGGCAGTCTCGCAAGGCCAGAATCAATTAAAGCAGAGGTGTATGAAGAGAGGTTGCACTCTAGGGAGTCAAAGTTAACAAGTGAAGCATGTGAATGGAAAGAAGATCATCTTTACATGGTCCTCTATTTGGTTCCTTGAATGTGTAGTATCTTGGTTCACCAACATTGCAATCCCAGTAGGTACTCCCTCTGCAATGCGGCCCAATGCAGTACTTAAGATCATTATCCAACTTTTGCTTGGAAGCAGCATCAAGAAATGAAGCATCAGCAAAATAAAGGCTGCCATATGCCAGAAAGTCAAGTTCAGATATTGGCAGAATACTTGTACAGATTGCTCCAATACACTTTACTTTCTTGTCTGATGGCATATCTGCCCATGCTTCCTGTAGTGGAACACCGCCGGCATGTTCCATGATAATGTATGCTGAGCCAATGGGATTGTTTGGATCATCACTCCAATCCAGAATGGCCAGGATAGGCACTTTGGTATTGCATTGCACTGCATGCACAAGTTAGTACTAGATTTCTCACAAGTATACTGAATTTCTCTTATGATAAGTAATTGTTGCAACTTCAGAGTTTGTCACATATCCTGCTGGTCCAGCAACAGATGTGGGAAATTTGACAACAACATGTCTACCATTGTTGGTTTTAATGATGAATGCTTTACTAAACCCACCCTCCAGCTTCTGGCAGCTTTCAATTGAGGTGCCAGAGGGGCAGAGTGAAAGTACTTTCTCACACAGGCGGTCGACATTGAATTCAATGTACCGCGCGTCGCGCTGCGGTTTGTCAAGGTGTAGCCACTGACTGGCAGTGTAGGCAAACATTGCTATATCATGTTGTCAGAATATGCTAATCGAGACTTAGAGTGGAACTTACATGTTGGAGACATGTTTGCTGACATTGCTGCTTGCGAGATACTACAAGTAGTACTCTGATGACGCAGCCCGCATGTTGCGTGTGTCCAGAGAAGTGGTGAAGTTCGGCCAGGCTGGATGAGTTTCAGACCTAGTTTTTCAAACAAGTAGAGAAGAGACATGCGGCATCTCACACCCATAATTGTTCCAAGGGCAATGTCGACAAGTTGACAGGACCACTTCTCACCATGGGGGTTCAGTCTTTGGATCTTTCAAACGTCGAGAGCGCTGTCAAAACACCAGAGCAGAAAATACAGGAAACAGCTCAGCCAACGCATAATTTTAGATCTGACCCCAACCTCCACACGCGACATAGTGGATGTGGCCTACGTGTAAACAAGCAACCTCCCATAATACAGATGAAGATTCTTGAATTTCTATTGTTCCTCTTTATGAGTTTCATACATCTTAAAATATTTGCTAGTTGACGCAGAATAGAGTCTTGGCATCAGAACCAGATTTTCTGATTTCTATCCAGTCCAAATCTTGTACTGGGATAGAATGAAATTGTAAATTGAGACAGGATTGGAAAGCTATTCTGTAGATCGGGATGGGAATAGGATTGTGAGTAATGAAACAGGTTCTAGGTTGTTGGAAAATCCCCATCCCATCCCAGTCCCAACAGTCAGTCTATACTGAATAGTAGAGCTGTTCCAAATAGCTTCAGAGATTCAATAACTTGATCCCAACAGCGCGAGGAGAGATGAGCTTTAGGGTTAAATGTGGGGTTATGCGAGTTTGACAGTCCTTTCTTAATTATGAGACAATAAAACGCAAACTTTGGGACAAGTGCCATGGATATTGTCCAGTGTCCGGACTGTACTTGCATACATCCAAGATTATACCTTAACCCTTGAAGTACCTCATTACATTCGAGGCTGTCGTATTTGAGTCATTAGCGTTAGCATTGCGGGCGTACAGTCGACAATCATCATCGAGCACTTAACTACCAACAATATCGATTTGGTAACCATGTTTACTAAATAACGTATGCTGAGGATATCGAAGACCTAGTGTAAATGCCACAGTGCCTGGACTGATCCAAGGCTTGATATTGCGCTCTTGCAGCGCGCAGCCCGGTGTTACCCCAACTAAACTCAGTCCCTCCCACTAGCACCAGAAGGGGACTAGTTTTGATGATATCAGTAGGGGCTAGGCCTGGAAACGCAAGAGTCTCTACTCCGCACATTCAACCTCACTTCCACTCTGTGAGAGACAAGCCTTGGCTGACAATGCGAAATCACATCTTCTCCCTCCTACAAAAGATCAGTGCTCCGGGGAAACAAATAAGGCAGAATATACAGATCTCTTGTCGTGGTACTCTGTACACACTGAAGCAACACAGCCTGCTTTCCTTACTGGCTAATACAACATTGGCAAGCCCATCACTGACGACCAACTCTTTGAGTATACAAATGGAAACTTCCTTGTTAATGAGAGGTTCCAATTTGAACAATGTTATGTGAAGTCCAACCAGGATCCTCTCTGTGCTGTCGCTGCCGCAGCGGGAGGAGAAGCATCTCCCATTAATGCAGTTGAAAAGATGGAAGGTGGCTTCAGCAAGGCCATTTTAATGAAAAAAGAAAATGGAATGGAGATTATTGCAAAAATTCCATGTCGCAACTCTGGACCGGCGGTGTACACTACCAAATCAGAGGTAGCTATTTTGAAATACTGGATACAACTTATCTTGCATTCCACAACATTTGTCAACCTACCATGCATCTCATAGGGAGTCAACATACAAATGCTCTGGTCCCAAAGGTCTACACATGGTCCTCAGATCCTACGAACCACGTGGGTGCGGAATATATTATTATGGAGAGGGCAGCAGGTGTTCCTGTTTTCAAGATATGGAGCGAGATGTCTCAGTCCGGCAAACAGGAGCTCATCATCTACCTATCCAAAAAGAAACTGACAAGAGCTCAAAAAAACATACAACAGCCGGGATTCGCTGGTGGTCACCCACCCAACTACTAGCCGGCCGGCAAGTGGCTTAAGTACGGCTGAGCGGACGGGAAGCCCTGTTTTCCACTTCCTATGGTCGTATGTGCTTCTTATACGGAATATACCATATTTGAACGTGAAACTTTTCTCGATCCAGCTGCCCGCCTATGGCAGCTTGTATCCCAGGGTGCTTTATGGGAGTCTTCCGGGATGTACGCTGCTTGAGTCGGAGGTTGACCCTTCAGAATCTTCCTGGGTGGGCCGCTCAGGTGACCGATCATACGTGCCGGACTGCGAGGAATGGGATGACTCCAAAATAGATTGCAAATGCAATGGGCTGCAATAGATCCATGGAGGTTGTGCTAAGGCGTCGCGCCCATTGGTCTCAGCGGGTAGGAGATTGAAAGTTTAGGCAACTTTTTCCTCCATCCATACTGCTCTCTTGGCCTCTTGCTGCTCTAGACTGCTAATTCTGTCAACAATCGGTTCCACCTCATCTTCACGAGGTCAAGCAACGGAGACACGGGACTGTATATACAGGGCCGAGAATGATCTCTTTGGAGGGATATTCTACCTCACAGTTCTACATATACCCCATTAAGGCTCGCACCCTCCAGGGCTTCTTGTTATCCCAATAGCGGCAAGTGCCTTGCTACTGACACTATGCGAGCCCATAGCCCCCATGATGGTGATAATGAACAGCGCGAACCAGAAGATTGTGTCTATAATATTCAACGCCACATTGACCATGGTGTTTCCCCATCGCTTGAGTCGCGCGACGTGGGCGGTGACGATCTGCTAGGCCATAAAGACGGCTGATTTAACGCACTGAGGGGACAGAACATCAGTAACAACCGATAGCTACCAGCAATTTCTCTTGACAGAAAGCTTACCACCACTATCCCCCACACGTTCAACCTGCCTTGAGGAGTACCGTTGTCGGCCACACGGACGATTCCCAGAATGAAAGTTCTCAAGATCAAGGCACTGATGACTATGTGCAGCCGAAATTTTGTCTGCGGGTTGTCTTGGGCGTTAACGTTCAGTTTCTTCAGCATGATGACTCGTATTGTGAATGGTCAACGAAGTGGTGAGCAGAATGGAATATTAGCTGTAAATGATAGTAAGAGAAGGAAGTACAGGAGGGTAGTTTTGTCTGATGACAATGGGATTGGAATAGGTGCTCCATTGTTGAATGAGGAACAGTTCGATTGTCCGAGTGGAGGGCGTGTCCTTGGTATGCAAAGAGCAGGAGGTGAAAATGTGTTGCCTAACAGTTACATCCCCTAGGATATGAATCCAAAGACAAAAATCTGATCCATTTATGCTTTTTGCATGCCGCGTGACAGCTCCTTGAAGCAACAGATTCGCAATCGGATTGTTATCCTAATTAGGATATCTATACAGTTGCCGAGGGCCAGGTGGATCGACGTTGGAGGCGAGAATTGGCATCTTCTTGGCGACAACGACTGGGTTGCTTGGTTTACTGGCATTTGCCGTAAGAGGCGTCAGGGTAGTCTTAATTAATAGTACTACTCTGTGGCTGCAGCATAGAATGTAACTAACTAATAGACCTAGGAGCAAAAGGCCAATCACCTAGGGGGCGAGTTCAACATCCCCCAACTAGTTAACAGAATGGGCCGCTTGAGTCAGCCGAATTGTTTCGTTCGTTCGTCTCTCCCCAACTTCTTCCAAAACGAGTCATAGGCACTTGTGATTCTCTCAGAGCTGCCATAACTAATAGCCATTGCTTTATAACACTGTCTTCGGTCGAGCCTCAAATTCCCCAGCCGACGGGCGCGCACCGAGACATGCGTTCTGTTCTCGGTCGCCAGTTGACGCGCGATCGAAGCCTTTTGCTTCACCCATCAACCCTCATCTTCTCTCTCGCTGCGAGCTGCACTGTCATGGAGTGGAGAGCAAGGCGTCTGATATTTGGCACGATATGTTTGTGCATTAGTGGACGAAGTGCTGGCCCACGCCAAATTTGTCCCGACTTAACTAACTAACCAGTTGAGTTTATCTGCTCTGGTGAAATGCGCAATGTCGAGTTGCCGGTGTGGGGTGGATTTCGGCACAATTTTGCTTGAATCTCAACTCTGACTTTTGGCGAGATTTAAGCTTGTGGGAACAACCGCGGAAAGGTAACTCTGTTAACAAGGTTTCGGCTTCAAGCTAGAAATTATGTTATTCTTCAAGTTCTTATTCGCAAGAGCTTGATTTTTGCTCGTGAAGGAGGCAATCAAGGTTTCCACAGCTGCTAATACTTAATAGGCCACAAAAATCGCATGTGAGGAGGTAATGTTTACGCCTTTCCTTCAGTTCTACTTTTCACCATGTATTTGGCAAAAAAAAGAAGAAAAAAAAAAAAAAATTGTGGTCATCACTTTGCCGAGGGGTTTTCCGGCCGAAATTTCTTTCATTTTGTGGTTTCTCAAAACTTCTCTGCTGAAGGTGCGTACAGATCAGCCTGCGGTAGGGTGAGCTCATCCCACCGTATCCTGCTTCTGGAGCGACACTGGATAGCTTTAACAAACTTGATAGTCTCCTGACGCAAAGCCGCACCGGCCTCCAGCGTTCCTCCAGGACTGATGCCAAAAGAGTCTCTCTCTTGGCTATAGTAGGTATATATATACGTGTCTTGGGTGTGTGTCCGAAATACCTCCCCGGGGAAAAGAAGGGAAAAAAAAAAAGCAAAAAAAAAAAAAAAGAAGAAGAAGATGATGAGAAATTGAGAAAACCCAGTGAAAAAGAACCCTTAAAACCAGGACGCTGGTCGCCTTTTTGCCCGCCTCTCCATGAGTAAATCAAAATAAATGCATAAATACAACATAGAAAGAAAAGGAAAAGATAAAGACTTATGTGGGATATCATTTGGCATTTGTTGTTCTTCCTTTTTTTTTTTTTTTTTTAACGAGAACTTGCTCAACCGCCTCGTCCCGGGACCACTAATGATTTTTCTCAAGCAGTCCCCACGTGTTCATCGGCGAGGACCTTGAACCCGCTGCCTTTGGTCGGCGACGACGACGACGAGGACGACGACGCCCCCGTCTTGCCTCCGGCCTTGGTGCCCTTCTTGTTTCCAGCTTTGCTGCCGCGAACGGGGACCCACGGCGCCTCCATGGTCTTCCCCTTTGGCTCTGAAGAAGCCTGGCCCCCGCCGAGCTTCCTCTGCGCCGGGGACATCACGTCCTCCAAGTTTGCCTCGTATCCTCTCTCGTTCAGTGGCGTCCGGATCCCCTCCTTGCTGCTACGCGATAGGTGTGGCGGCTCCGGGTGCTTGGCCACACGGTGGGCCTTCTCTTCCACTCCCTGCTGCTTCCGCGTCATGATATCCTCGATGTTGGCCTCATAGGCGGCAGGATCCACGGGCGTCCGCGTTCCGGCCGAATCTCCCTTTGCGAGACTGATGCCCACTGGGTGCTTGGTGGTTGCGCTGTATCGTCGTTCTGCACGAGCCTGCCTCGCGCTCATGATATTCTCGACGTTTGCTTCGTACGCCTCTGGGTGCTGCGGGGTGCTGGCCCCTGACTCGTTGTCCGTGGTGCCGTTTCCATCGCCGTGCATCTCGATGACAGCATTCTGGATCTCGCGGGTGACACCTTTGAGCGCGTCGAGTCCCGCCTTCTCAGCGGCGAGGCTGTCGGTCAGGGAGCGCTTCGCCGAGGTCTCGGTGCGGCGGAGGTATGAGCGGATAAAGAAACGTGCAAACAGCCAAGTCAGAGGCAGGAGGTAAAACACATTCAGCCATATGGCAAAGCCTTGTCCGCTGGTGTCCATGCAGGTGAAGGTTCGAGACTGCAGAGCGTAGCGGATCTCTTGCTTGCCCAGGGCTGCCTGAGCCGCCTGCATGCCGTCGGGTCCAAAGAGCGTGCCGTTTGAGTTCACGATGTTCTCAGCTACGCCTTCATGACCGGCAGCGCGAAGTGCGAGCTTTTTCAGCCACGAACCTACCCCAGCTTGGCTCTCGTTGGCAGCCCCAGCGACAGAAGGCATGACCGATGCCAACGGGCGCAGGGCCACCGCATGAGGGACGGGGAATGGAATAGAGTAGTATATGAAGAGGTGGCTGGCAGCAAGAGAGGTGCCGAAGATAAACTGCAGGATCTGCATCGTGGTTAAAGATTTCTTGATTCGAACTGGGATTCGAACACTGAGGGCGGTCAAGGTGTAATAGGTGTACTATTGGACCCAAAAAAAAAAGGGTAAAAAGTCAGCATCGTCCTGTTGGCACATAATTTTTGGAGGGAAGAGAGGAACGGGGATCACCTTACCATGAGTGCGTGGATGGCGGAGTTGACGAGCGCGAAGATCCAGATGGGAGCGGCCATGAACCTGATACCCGCCCACATGCACATCATGGCGCCCGCATGGTGGTAAGTCTGCAGGGTGGAGCTCTTCTTCCCCTTCGCGAGGATGATGGCGGTGTCCAGAACCTCGTAGAACTTGGAGAGATAGAAGATCCAGCCAAAGAAGGCGAGGCCCTTATTCCAGAGCCTGCCGACGTCCGTCGGATCGGGAACATTTCCAGGTCCTAACTTGTACTCAGGGTTGAAGATAGTCCACGAGCCGGCGTCGGTGTCGTAGACGGCAGCATTCCCAAGGCCCCGGGGGCCGTTGATCTTGCAGAAGGCGTCGACGACGTTGACCAGGCCACTGCCGTGCATCTCGGAGCGGGCGGGCCACGACTCGCGGAAAGCGTCCAACATACCGAGGAAGGTCCACGCCGAGTACACCGCCAGGAAGACATTGTGCAGGACGACGAAGAGGTGGAATGGCTTGGTCTTGCTGATGGCCCACGGCTTATTGCCTCTCTTCTTGTTGATGCGGTTGAGGAGGATGACGGTGGTCGCGTAGACGAGGGCGATTGTGATGGGGACCTGCACCTTCAGGGCGTCGTTGTACAGCTTTGGGGGGATGGTGAAGGGCTGCAGCCACGACCGTTCGACCGGGGGAGCGGGGATCGTCCCTGGCTGGGAGCCGGGAGGGAATCTGAGGAGGGAGCGCGGCGGAAGGCCCAGGTGAACGGAGGGCAGATCGGGCCTCTCTGTCGAGCGGAACAGACCCATACTTGCAGGTTCTCGTGGCTAGAGTGACTCTCTGCAGAAGCGAAAAGAAAAAAAAAAGAAAAAGAAAAAGAAAAAGGAAAAAAAAGGGCAATTTGGGAGAAGGGAAGAGGAGGGATGCAACGATGAGCTTTTTAAGAATGACGGCCGCTTGTGGACCGGTGGCTGTGGACTGGTAGCTTGGGAGCCAGAGCAAGAGAAGGTTGGTTGTCTAGAATTGAGCGGGCGGGTGGATCAGAACATGATGATGCGATGATGCACTTCTTCGCCCAGCAGCAAGCTTTCAGTGGAAGAGAGGTAGAGGGAAAGGATCGCCGGGCGCGGGCGCGGTCGCTGGCGGGCAGATGATGTGACCCAGTGCTTGCTTTGTTTCCAAATGCCAATGGAGGTGACCTTTTTTTTTTTCTGGGGGAGAAGGGAAGCAATGGCAATACTACAAAGGAATTGAGCCTAAGAAGGCCAGTGGAGTCAGGAACAGGGGATAGCGGAAGAGAGCCATGGTCAAGAAAAGAAGAAGAAGAAAAATAAGAAAAAGAGAAAAAGAAGAAAAAAGAGAAGAAGAAGAAGAGAAGAAGAAGAAGAAGAAGAAGAATAAGCGGGAAGGGGGCGAACTGGTACACGGCGGAGGAGGAAGAGCCTCGAGGAGCCCGCCTTGTAAATCCGTAACTGTAATTTTTATGGTTTTCTTGGTTTGTTGGGAAAACAAGCAATACAGGTGAGCGGGAGCCATTGGCCAATGGCGGGGCGGGAGGCGGCCGAGGTTGCTTCCCGATCAGGCTTAGCGGGGGATGGTGGGCGGTGTATTTCTGGTATCGATGGCGTCATCGTCGAGATCGATGATTTTTTGAAAACAACAAAAGTCCAGCCAGACAAAACAGCTTTTTGAAGCAATCAGATCGAGAGAAAAAAAAAAAAAAAAAAAAAAAAAAGAAAAAAAGATGCATGCAGAGAACAAGATGATATACATATCCATAGCAGGTGGCTTGGGGCTGTGTTTTTTGTCTTGCTCAGCCCTACCCACGACCAGCTTTCTCTCTCTCTCTCTCTCTCTCTCACTTTTTTTTTTGGTTTTTTTGGTTTTTCGGGGTTTCTGCCACCTCAACGGGCAAACCCACCGCCCTCACCGCCCTCCACCAGGCTCCTCGGCTCGCTTCACTTCACTTCACTCTCAATCATTCATTCATTCATTCATTCATTCAGTCATTCAGTCATAGTCAAGTCAGAACTGTCACATTCACACTCGAGTCAGTTTAGCCAGTAAAAGTGAGATACGCTGTCTCTGTGAGGACCTGAGGAGTTGCTCTGTAGTTAGCCTTCTCTCGTCTGCTGTCAACAACATCCATCGCTGCTCAACAAGAATTGCCTCTTCACTGTAATCAAGCTCGGCATTCCGTGGAAAACACTCTCCTATGTAACCATGCATGCATTGCAAGCCATCCCCTCCCAGGGGGGTTTTTGAGGCACGACTCGCGCATAATGTTCTCTCTAGTCTTAAACGTCATGACAATGTCAACTGTCCCAGCAATCAACTTTGGTTCCCTGGATTGTACTCAATTTTTGTACTCAATTTCTTTCTTGCTCTCTCTCTCTCTCTCTCTCACTCACTCACTGTCTCTCTCTGTATCTCTCTCTCTGTATCTCTTTCTCTCTTACTCTCATACAGACACACACACACACACACACACACACAAAATCTCTTTTTTTCCCCTCTATTCCTCTCACAAGATAGGCCATCTTCACGTGAAGGACACCCCCGCGAATTTGCCGCAATTCGAAGACACTAAACTCCATGGATGGAGACAATGCAGGACTGCTCCATACAGTATGTATTGCTCTCCCCAACAGTTTTGAATTAAAGCGGAGCCCTGTTCTCGCTTCCTCCTCGCCTGGAGATAATCTACTGTACCCTGCGGACTACATACATATGCACTTCTAAAAGAACCCCCCTTCTCCCTAACTTCCGTAAATGCATTTCACATGGCTTGCTTGAAGCATCAATCCGAGGCCCCTACGGTCGGCTTCACTTCCTCCTTCGTACTCCATATTCAGTGGAGTAATAATGACCATATTCTTTTCTTCTCTTTTCTTTTCTTTTTTTTTTTTCTTTTTTTTTTTTCTCCCCGGTTTCTTCACGTCTAGAGCCGAGTCTGGGCTCGAGCCTGTGGTTCCTAAACTCCATATTGGGTGGCGGTTACTTCGATCACCACTTATTATGCGTTGAAGTCGACTACGTATCGCCCCGCGACCTGTCCCCGTCGGAGTTTTTCGACGGCTTCGGGCATCCGGGCGATCGGCCATTTCTCGTAGATCGGCTTCAACAGTCCCTGTGTTACTAAATGTCAGTGCACCGTCCATGGGGCAGACCACGTCGATCGTTGACCTACGCGTTTCGCAAAGTCCAGCGCCCGCGCCGTGTCCCTCATCGATCCAACGAGCGTACCGACGACCGACATGTTCTTGAAGACAAACTGTGCTGGGTGCGCCCCAAACACATATTCACTCGCCGATGCTGTTCTCGAACAAACGCAACCCAACCCCCTTTCGGTCAGACTTTGGTGTTTTTTTTTTTTTTTATAGTTTTATCTCCACGGTCTGAGGCAACTTACGGAGCCCGATGCACATCACTTTGGACCCAACCCGCCTGCCGGTGAAAGAGATAGCGTCCCTGTAGGCCTGTGGCGCCGTCACAAACACCGCATGGGCACCGATCCCGTCGCAGAGTTCCACGACCTCTTCCGCGACATCTTTGCTCTCGCGGAAGTCAACAAAGTGTTCGGCACCCATCTCCAGGCACAGTGCTCTCTTTGCGTCCCCGGTATCGATTGCAATTGCGCGTATTCCCATGGCCTTGGCGAGTTGGACCCCCTGGATGCCAACTCCTCCTCCTCCCCCCGGGAACACCGCCCAGTCACCCGGTCGGAGTTTGGACTCCTCAAGGCTGCGGAGCACCGTCGAAGCACTGCACATGATGGGCTACACACACGCTGTCAGTGTATCCGATGAGACGGGATATACATCAAGCATTGAATGGGAAGTCTGGGGGAAAGGGCTTTTTTTTTTTTTTTTTTTTTTTAACAACTCACTGCAGCTATTTCATCTGGAACACCGTCGGGAATCGGGGTCGTGTATCTCGCCGGACTCGTGATATACTGCTGATACGTTCCAGAGACCTGTAGACCCGTGGAGATGGACTTGGGACAGTAAGTCTCCTTGTCGCCCCAGCACAGCTCGCAGGCACCACATGTATCCCACATCGGCTTCACGCCCGCTCTGTCACCGACTTTCCAGCCCTTCACATTCGAGCCCACCTTGACAACAACACCAGCGCCTTCGTGCCCAGGCGATCGGACGTTGTTCCCTGCCATTGTAGGCCCTCCCAGGTCCCCCAGCATGAAGTGTATGTCGGAGTAGCAGAGGCCGGTGATGTTTAATTTGATAAGGACCTCATCGGGTCCTAGCAGCAGTCAGATTTTTTTTTTTTTTTTTAATATATATATGAGGCTATAACCAGGCACATAAAAATTCTCACCAGGCTCGGGCACAGGTACATCTTCCACCTTCAAGACGAATTCAGGGCCTTCATTGTGGACAACACCCGCTTTGCAGGTCTTGGGGATCTCGAATTGAGGATCCTCTAGGATTTCGACTGCCATTTTTGAGTCTTTTTGAAAGTGAATGTCTCCAGAACTTCAAAGAGAAGTGATACAAGGTTCCCGACAAAGAAGCTCATACCACAATATATATATATATATATAGAGAGAGAGAGAGACACGCGGGGTAGAGCTCAAAACGCCAGTCAAGCATCCCCCGCAATTGACTCCGGAATCATGCCGGACTCTGGGGATAAACGAATAAGGATCACTAGTATGGCCCATTGCTTCTCTCCTATCCATCTCGGTGCTGTAACGGCGCGTTGCTGTGAACGAGTCGAGGTCGAGAGGCCAGATACCCGGGAGAGGCTGCATGTACGAGCGCGGAATCGAGAAGTCGATGTCTTTACTGTTATTATCATTCTCACCCTGTCCTGCTGTCGCCGGCGATCGTCCAGAAAAGCCGTACGGCAATGTAGTCGGATCTACTTTACTTCCCTGTACGAAGTAATCCATGAACCACCCATGGTTGACGGCCGTCCACTCGATCTCAGGTCTCGTGGCGCAGGATGTTCTCGCGGAACGCTCTGTGCGTAGGCTCATAGAATCGTGGCAGACCGGGAAATCTGTCGATGTCTCCGCCGTAGTCCGAGGGCACGAACCGCCGACACGACTTGCTTGCCCGACTGGCTGCAAGCATGGCTTCTTGAGCCGTGTTGTAGCTGCGCGGATCATTGGAGTGCAGGAAAGAAAAGAGCGCCGTGGCGTTGGTGGCGTCGAGAATCGCTTGGATGGAGGATGCGGTGTAGTCGGACACTCGAATGGAAATGTGAGGATTGCTGGTGAACCATGGCCTGGAGGACGTCGAGCGCGTCATCACGACGATTTTTGGCGGTGCAGAAGGCTGGGCGGCTGCCATTAGCTCCTCGATGAAGTACTTGGCTAGATCGCTGGCGCCAGCGATGGCAATGACATGGTCGCAGAGAGAAGACATAGTTGGTGGGTAAAATAGCTTCAGTGACACAGTTATTGGAGGCGTGCTAGGATGTGTGAGAGAGAGACAGACAGACACACACACACACAGAGAGAGAGAGAACTTGAGCTTTCTGGTTGGTGAGTGAATTTCTGGGGAGCTGAATTCATGTCTTAAATATATGCTCTATCCGCTTCCCCCCCGACGAGGTATCGAAATCCTCACGAATTAATAATGAAACGGACACCGGCCGAGCTAACTATCTAGCTTGCCGCCATGTGCTTTGCTAAACTATCGCCGTAGCTCGTTGTAACTCGCTGTCTACACGAAGAAGGCAGCATTATTTGACTGCTGGTTCGGCCTGCAGGACGGACTTATCTGCTAAAGTCCGACATTCTGATAAACCAGATTGTTCTTGTTTTGGCTTCTTGCGCTCAGATACTTAACTATCAGCGGTTGCTTTTCTTCCCTCCCGAAACCTTCCTTGCAGATCTCCACGCCAACCATCCTCGCTGGCCACTCCAGCGCAACGCGCCATGGCCCCTCGACATTCCTCGCCAAAGCCCGGACCACAGGACCCGGCCACCCATTCGCCCACCATCTATTTGCTGGAAAACTCAACAGCGTCACGAAGTGCGTAATGATCACCAGCGCCAAGGGTCGCTTCTGCGTGAGAAGCTCGATGTATGATTCCGGCACGTAGAAAGGCCAGCTTATCGTCATGACCCAGTCGGACGGTATGCACAGCGCTTCCTCGTAGCACTCCCACAGACGATCGATGGCGGCGGCGTATGCTGCTCGCTCATCTTCTCCCCCGGTCAGACACGCGTTGAGCTCGCGCAGCTGCTCAGTCGCGGCCCGTGCGTCACGCAGCACGGGCGATCTGGCGCCGTGCATCTTGTGGGAGTGCAGGACTAGGTCACGAACCGGGCCGGTTTTGAACATGGGCATTCCCATCTTCCACAGGATGAGGATGCGTCGCATCAAGAGGACTTTGTCGAGGAATTCGTCCAGGGGATCAGTAGAGCGCGCGTGGACGAAGTAGGACGGGTGAAGGACGGCCAGCTCGTGGAGGAGGAGCAATCCGGAGCAGACTATAACGGCGCTGCAGTTCTCGTGGGTGATGCCCGGCTTGCGCCGCTGGGCGGCTTTGATGCATTGAGACTGGTGCTTGGCGGCGAGGTAGGTGAATCTCCCTTGCTCAGAAGGGCGGAGGTGAGCCAGGTGCAAGGCGGCGAGGGATAGGAGGTTGTTCAGAAGAAAGGGGAACAATTGCGCCTGCTGTGGGATCGCGTGCTGCCAGAGCTTCCTCTTTCTTCCATCCTCGGCTAGGGTTAGGCTGGTGATGGTCGCGTAGTGGTGGATCAGCTCCATGTCCTCGGAAGAAAAGGGCGAGGGACCGAGAGATCTTTCAAGCGGAGCATTGAGACAGGCAGCCTGTGATACTGCCCGTGACAAAGCTTGGTCTTGAGTCTTCGAGGAAACCCCGCTGGTGACGCCAGATAGCGGGTGTATATAGATCTTTAGATTCGGTTCCGGTGGTTTGGCGGATGTTGGAACTTGAGAGTTCAAGCCGAAGAGATCCTCATAGTCACATCTTATCCGTCGTTTCTGACAATTCCTGCAACGCGGAGGCAGTTCATCGCACTGATATGGCCCATCAGTTTAACCAAATGATCGATAACGCCAAGTGATGCTGATAAAAACATCTGACGAGGAGAGCACATGGCTGCCAGGCATCACTAGTTTATTGAGGACAAGGGGGGGGGGGGGGCGGGAGAACGGTTACCGACTTTTATCCTCCTTGCCTTGCACTGGGCGCATCCGTTCCTGGACTTGACATGGGGCCGCCGTGAACCGTTGGGTCCCATTCTGTATGCAACGCTGGACGCCGGCTTCAACAGTACATAAAATTTCTTCCTCGCGCACTTTTTCCAAGGAAAACCAATATATACTCACAATCCAGCTGCAAAACTCAGGATGCTCTGGATTTGATCTTCGTTACTTTGCGGCTCCCAGCTGAGCAAGGTGGGCGGATACGAGGGTGATTTGAAATAGCATGCCGTTCGCTCCTTTGACTTGCTGGCTCCAAAGCCCGACGAATTTACGCAGCAAACTACAAAAGGGCGCAGAACAGGGCAAAACAGCACGATCAACGTTTTAAAACTAGTCAAAGCTAACCTGCTCGCTAATGAGTACTACGATGTATTTACATATACCCTGTGTTACGGAGTCGCTTTCCGAAAAATATATGCTCCACATTTATCTGCCGGCTCTGGAAGCGCAAGAGGATACTCTTCATCTCCCGCGACGACGTCCAATCCTGGGTTCGGATACTTCACTTCCGCAGTCTCCTTTGGTGTCTTGCAGCCGTTTCCAATGTTGGCTAGCAGAAACCCAGGGCGGGCCATGTATGCGGGATGAGTGATTCCGCGGTCTGTGATCTGACCGGTACCCACCCGTCTAGCGCGACCCCGATGCCTGTCCAGCGCGCGACGTGGTGACCGCAGTGTTGACCCTTGTCCATTGCCGTCAAATGGTTTCTCAGCGTCCAAGGTGCCCGCTGTGGACGGGGTTGCTGGAGTACCCTGCTCGACGGGAGAGGCCGACAGGGTTGCGTTCGCACTCGGATCAGCTCTTGCTGTGGCCGAAGATGATCCGCAGAAGCCATCGGAGGCGTAACCGGGGACAGGCGGCTCAAGAGAGTCAGAGATGGTAACCGATGAGCAGACCATATTGAACTCCTGCTCTCGGTTGACCCATGTCCACGCAAAGACGTGGTCTCCGGAAGGCATGTCCGAGGGCACTTTGAACTGGAAAATCTGCTCTTCTGGAGCGTTGTTCCCGCCCTTGCGATGTGGACAATTCCCTTCATAGCTGCTGACTACTTGCCAGGTTTTGCCTTTGTCGATGCTGAAGCCAACCTGGCATGATCCGCCGTAGTGTGTGCCGCCTCCAACTAAACTGAAGTTCTGAACGGAGCCTGCTGGCCAGGTAGCTACTGGCTTCCCTTGATCGGTTCCAAGAAGGTCGAGGTAGCCACGACATGGGTAGACTGTTTTTCTGCCGCAGCAGTTATAAGGATAGTCGAGTCGCTCGTCGGGAGGGCCGGTGCGGTGAGGATTGTTACTGGCCGCGAAAGGAGGGGGGTAGTATAGCCTCATATGGGCATGCACAGAGGCAGCAAGCGCTATGAGCAGGATGATAGTGTTCTTGAAATAATTCATATCTGGTACCGCGTAATGAAATGATAGACCAAAAGTTGAGTGGGTATCAGTGCAGTGCTACCGAGAGTGTAGGGAGAGGATATCAGACCAATTCTAAAGATGCATGCATGTAATCTCAACAGCAACAAAAAGAACAGGAAGACTAAAGCAAAGGAGAGAAAAATCTGCTTCGGGAGGAAGAAGGTGGCTTCACGCCACACCCAAGGAGGTTCCCGGAAATATCCAACTTGCTTCAGATGAGGACCCATACGGTCATCCTCGAGCATGGCAATAGAAGGAGTCCCACGAGGGAGCGGATGCCGCATCTTAGATGGAGACAGCCCGTCAATACGTATCCATTATCTTGGTTGGTTCAAGCCCAGTTCCATAAAGGACTGCTTCACAGCAGCCCATGAATGGTGCGATAGCAACAAGGGCCCCATCGAGGCCGGAAAAAAAAGAAAAAAAGCGACATTCTATGTATCCTTTGAAGAAAAGCGTCCACACGCACAAAGTGATGGTTGCTGTTCCCCATAGATGGGGCGTAAAAATCGCCACGCACTGTCCGTCCATTCAGATCCTCTGGGCATAGGGACAGGGATCGGACTTCAAACATTTGGCTTGAACTTTGAAACACCCTTTTGCTTTTGCCTCGCCCTCGGTCCACACATTAACCGCCAGCCGGTTAACGGCAAAGATTAGTGTCAAAGTTGACATCGCATACTCAGGCGGAGGGTTGCAGAAACTACC